TCTTTCCCAAATCTTATTCGGCTTACTCAAAATACGTCACTCAGACAGTCGTTATCTTTGCAAAAAGTGCGCAAAACATCGCCCACGGAAGGCAAACACCAGTCTGCATGTCGCCGTTCTTTCTGCGTCGCTTTCACTTGAGACCACGAAAATTCAAGTGGAAAGGCTGAGAGCAAGATAAAATTTGCATTTTGCACGCATTTTTCAGAAATGTCAACGGTGAGTGCTAGTTTGTTCGCGTGACGGGTAGTGTTATCGCTTAAATTTGCGTTTCCGGTAAGATGAGAGATGTTATGATAAGTCTATAACCATCTTGACAACGAAGATACGCAATCAAAACAAGAGTAATTAGAAAAATGGTATCTTTAAAATGTTAAACGTAAACATTCATCAACGCAAGAAACAAAACGTGCAGAAAATCGCCTTCGCGAAATCCCGCGTCCTTCTCTTACCCCACAAAAAATCATAGCATTAGATTTCTGACGACAAGGGACATGGACCACATACAGATAGATTGTACTAATTGCTTGTGCAGAAGATCAAGTGCGCAGTCTATGAAATTGACTAATTCCTGACATTTTCTTCTAGTGGATGAGAAGCTTCAAGGAAAGAGTTCATATCCCTGGACTCGCGGACAAGACGAAAAACGCAACATTTATTCGAAAAAGATTTCGATATACAATGCCATTTTAAAAAACTTGTTGCAACTCTTCGTCTCAAAACGAAAAGAAAATTGGCCATTATTTTCAAAGGAGAATGTTTAAAAAAAACTTCAATTTTTGGTAAGGTGTTTTATAAGGTAAAAGATCCGTCGATTAATAATAATGCCATTATTGAATAATTCGGTCTTTTTCGATTCGCACACCCACGATTAACTTGTATCATTTTGATGTCTTGAGTAGTGTCGCTATTCGCTAATGATGAAATTTCTCACATGGAAGATGCCAATCTTTCACAATCGCGTCAATCGATCATGAAAAGCGGCTTTCATCACACATAGGCATGTAAAAAGTTGCTGCATACGTAAGTGCTAACTGTCATCCTTTTAATGCTTTTGACACACCATTGAAAATAAATAAAACCTTCAAATATTCGTGTTCATATGCGCATGCGTTTTTCAATCACTTGTCATATATGGCACATGACCGGTTGCTACGCAACTTGGTTAGAAGAATATTTTCCCATTGTCAACCTAAACGTCGTCAAGTAAATATTTCGGCTTGAAATCTCACAAGTGAAGGTGATGTACCATATTACACGAAGACTCGTACCAGGCCTTTTTCTCAACGCTCGTACCAGGCCTTTGAGCAACAGACAATAGATTGCATTTACAGTCTATTATTGTGTAACTTTAGTCAGGATTAGCTCAGTTTCCATGAAATCAATCCCAATATATGATCCTGATCTCAACCCAATCCATCACAAATCGTATTGTCATTGGCTGACTATGCCCCCTAGTGCTTATAATCTGTTCGTGAAATAGCACGTAAGAGAATGGCGGATAGAAAATATATCTGTGCTCGAAATTTATTGTCCAGCAACCATCGTGTGTGGTAGTTTTCAGGTACAGTAAACCATCCAAGAGTTTGAACAACTCGACTTGAAATAAAATTCTCATATAGATGACGAAACTTCAAAATTTGTAGTGCAAAAAAAAACGTGTAGTTAAAATGGGAACTGAGAAGTTGTACTTGTATTTCTACAATTTTACCTATCACTAGAGTACGATTCAACTAAACTCCCGCCGAAACCAAACGCTAAGGAAGATGAATCGCATTTTCAATTGAAATAATCTCGTTTGCAGCTTAGACAGAACAGGAGAAAACAGAAAACTGCTCCGAAACACTGTTAAATCGCACACAAGCGTAAGTATTCATCCCCGCAGTTTGTTTATTTATCTCCACATTTTAACAGCTCCACGTCTTTGAAAATCACTACTTAGTTCATTGAATGTGATACACAGAACACGCGTTCAGAAAAAACACGTGGTAAACGTTAAAAACGCAATTAAATGGTTGTACAATAGCAATCAAAAGGTCTTGTTGCGAAATTGTCTAGTGCCCAGCTTGCAATAAATTTAACTCTGTACTAGCATTGTTCTCTTTTCTATTGCGACAAATAAAATAACGAAAGATAAAAGAAGCATGGTTCGTGTTTTAAAAAGCCGTTTTTCGTTGATACTTAAAAACATGGGCGGTATAACCGAGACATATATGCCCTATTTGATCTCAATACTCCAATAGTAGATATACCACAGATAATAGGCAGGTTTATTTCTCGAGAGTTTGTGGATTTCTGACAGGCATAAACCAACAAATGTCAAACAATAAGAGTTGACAAGGAACTGACACTATACATTAGCTTCAAATTTTCTTGTTTTAAGAAAGGCATGTTTATGATACAAATTACAACATCAAACATAAAGTTTGGCTGTTTAATAAACAAACTGATTCAATGATATGCACTGTCTAAGCGAACCGGGCCATATGAGTTCCTTCAAATTCAACCATTGAAATCAGAAAAGCAGATAATTGGACGTGCAAGAACAAAATTCAATATTTGCTAGCCGATTTCCTATACTTGACGTATTATTAACACTATCTGGATTGTGTAGACAAGACAATATTTATACAAACTTAGCACGTGTGCTTTAGCACCGTGGTGAGAAGTATAAACGAATTTCGTTTCATTCGAATAACAGATGCTAAATCACTCGTTTCCAGCATCTTCGACGCACACAGTTCAGTTAAGAAAGATTAGCGTAGATCATATGGCAATGAACATGATGGCAACTCGGTCAAGGGAACAACTGATTTCATTCATTGAAAACTTGACATGCTTAGCAATTACTCAATCAGCGTTCGTTTCTACAAACATCCGCAATATCGGTGAAAATCCATTGTAAGGATAAAGCTATGCAAATTAAATGAAGGATACAATTCCGCTTTTCGCCTCGATTAAAATGTAACCTACAATCTATCAAAACACCTGAATGACTGACCAAGAAATCTGAACAGTTTGAACTGGTTGATGTCTAAATAATTTGAACAACGACATACTAATTCACGATATAGTCACGTGATCTTACATGTCAGTCATATTAAAGCCATAAGGACAACATGATGAAGATGAATGAATTTCAATTATAGCTTTACATTATCAATATTGGAGTTGAGTAAAAAAGATGGTGCTATTTCTCTATATAATTATGTCAGAATACATACTACAATTAACTCGCAAACACATAGACAATACACTCCACTAAAAGTGCCACTGATAAGCCATTTCTTTTTATCAACAGGTTGATCTTTTAAAGAACGAATTCTACTTTATGAACTGATAGGTGAAGACATAAGAATTGCTCTTTTCTAGAATGTACGATCGAACCATATAAGACACAAGCAACTTATAAATCATGACTGACTTAACCTCCTCAACTACACACAACATTCTCAATTCATGTATTGTCAATGTACTACAGGTATTTTATTGCAGTTTCTACGCAAGATGGATGAATAAGCCAAGACAAAGATAAACCAGGCCAAGAGAAACAAATTTATAAATCGCAGATGCATGAGTTCGTTGATAAAATTGTCATTGTAGTTGAGGTTAGGTCGGTCGAGATTTTCAACCTACTCGTAGTTTGCTTGAAAGATCAAATTGTTGATGAACGAGAAATTCGTGTTTTACGGTAAAAAATACAATTTCAGTGTACATGTGGACTTTGAAAACGATCCATTAGCATGATACATAAAATGCAACAAATAATTCAAGCTAAACTGTACAAGCGACTACGTTTCCTATAATATCGAAAATATCGTTTAAACTAAAGCAAAAAACAAAGACGCATGATAGCATGTTCGTGAACGTTATTGAAGTAATTTTTTAATTCATGAATGCAGAGAATACTGAATGGTCAATATTCATTATAATTTAAATGGCAATTAGGCATTGATTCTTTACAACTTCGCCCACAACTAACAATTACAACCTATAGTTCGAGTCCCGACGAAACTCATCCACAGAAATTAAACATCCATGTTGTTTCTAATAATTAACATCTCTACACAGAACAAAATAGAGCAATCGTGCTTTTTAACTTGTGCGCACGATTTACGGATTTATAAAGCGAAATGCTAATCACCCCGAAGTATGTACATATATGTAAAACCAATTAGGTAAGATATGCTCAACAACTTTCCTGCAAAATAGCTTGGCCTTGTAAGACAAAGGCAAAAAACAAAGACAAAAACTTAATCTATGCGCTACACACGATAATCAACATGCGAAAGGGGATGTGTGTATACAAATTGATATATTTGACAAGTTCCAAATGACTTCAACACACGGTCGTTCATGTCAAACCGTTACAACAACACGACACAAAACAGTTTAAAGCACATAAGAATTGTTAACAAAACTAAGTGCGAGCACAACAATGAGCAACATGTGTTAGAAACAACTGCCGATAGTGCCAGAATAGTTGCGCCATCTTTGAAAGATTTCGTACAGAATTAGCTAATAACAACGACATCATGTCTACGTCAATATTATTTTAGCTAGATGTCGCCTGACAGAAAAAAACTATAGATCCCAGTCACGATACGTCGTCTCAGTAATTCACAACGAAGCAAAAACGAGCTAAATCCTCTAAATATACTTTACGAAACTCGATGACCAGAAGTGCGGTCTCGCGACAAATGATACGGCCAAGAATTACACCAGACATTTAAATTAATATATTCCAAACGTAAGGATTGCGGTTTCCCTGTTTACATACCAAAACGACTTTTCGCAGATTTCGAAGATACGAGAGCATCTCAACGCTGGACGCGCGCAATCACAAACAGATGGTGCAAAAACTTTCAAACTCTCCAACATCTCTCTATTTTTGAGAGAACAGTCGACTTATACACCCGTGTTACATAGCAACACCAATAAACTCTCATCAACGCGTGCACAGACTATAACAAACCAAGAATTGATGTAAAATCGCTTACTTTGATTAAGACATCGCCATCCACAATCTTCGTTGCAAACGCAGTTCGCATTCTTCGGGCAATCTTTATCGTTCTCGCATACAGTCCCCCATTTGCAAAGCCGAGGTTTGAGTCTATAGTTGAGTCGACCGGGACATTCGTACTTTTCTCTGGATCTCTGTCGCCCGCCGTACGTTGCTTGTTTAAGAAAAATAAAAATACATAATATTAGTGACAGAAATATTTGCCAGTATAGATCAGCATCGTCGTCCGTGAGAGAAACAACTTTTCAGAATACATGAACGACACTACGAGTATAAAATCGGTGTTACCTAAACTATCAATAAATTGAAACATGAAAAACCACTGAAGGTTAAAAATATTCCTCATAATATACAGATACAGTTCTATATTTCAATAAGAAAACGCGTTTCGCAAATACACACAACGCGACTACATGACGCATGTACATTCGCTATCACATCCACACGGAAGAACCTTGAAGACCTCGAGAACATGCCATCGTTGCAATTTTGAATGAAGTGTCGAGGGGAGTGGGGACAACAAGGTCAAGTTAAGACTACACCGCACATGTTTGTGCATGCACCAATGAAAACAACGCGTGTGTCCAGTGTACAGGAAGACGGCAGGTGCGGGCTTAAATATCCAAAATTACTCTTTGTTCTTCGACGCCAAATCGATCGCGTGGCCATTGTGAATAATTAACTGATCGCGTCAATGATTTAGGAGCATAAACAAGCATCAAAAGCGCGCTTCAGATTTTTAACAAAAGATATTGTGTCCGTTTAAACCTCAACCGCTCAATGACTGGTAGAACCAGAAAAAGCAGACGAGCACATTTAGGGCGAAAAGCAATGCATATAGAAACCCATATCATTTGACAACTATATAACCAATGGTTGTATTATCTGGTGGATATTATATGCACGCTGCTCTTAGTACCTTCTGCTCGCACGAACGAGCACTGCGTTCATAATCGTGTAACGGTTTTCCGTTGATCTTCGACAAGTAGGTTCGTAACTTAAAAAGAATAAAATTTACACGGAGTAAAGAAGTGATTTTTCGTGACCAATCAAATTCTTCAAAAATAATACAGACGATAAAATGTCAGGGCACATGCTTGTGATATGAAAGAAAAGAGTACAGATCTCAAAACATCGCTATCCTGCAAATGCATGGCGCATTCCATGACCCATTGCCGACAGACAATCTTTCACAAATGCATGCTTTCCATGTATTGTTGAAAATTGCTAGAGCGCACGCGTGCCATTGTACAAACACTGTACCCGAGACAACTTGTGTATGGCGTGCGTTATTAAACAACATAATTAATTAATTGCGAACTATCATTACATCCTAAAATAAACACACACAATACAACGTACGTCAAACTGCAATCAGATATTATCAAGTCCAGTAACTACGGAGTGGTATACAAATTATGACAAAGTTAATTATAAAATAACGTGCCCAATGCACATGTTCATGTACAAGGCAATATATGGACTATACAATTATGATGAGATCCAAACAATAGAGCAACACATGTTGCAAATTAAAAGAGCACGTCAGTCGTTTAAGTGGAAATATAAAAGCCCGGTAAGGAGGACGGGGGGAGGGGGGAGGGAGGTGAAAAGTTATTATTTTGTACTGTTAGGATTTTATTTAACCGGATTCTCCCCAGTTCTTGGTGCAAAACTTATGTAATCTTGGAATAAATTGTGTAATTTATGAATAAATTGTAAAACTTAGACGTATACAAATCTGAAGATACTAAATGTCAGTGTGGTAAAACTTGTGTAATTTATGAATAAATTGTAAAACCTAGACGTATACAAATCTGAAGATACTAAATTTCAATGTGGTAAAACTTGTGTAATCTATGAATAAATTGTGTAATCTAGGAATAAATTGTAAAACATAGACGTATACAAAACTGAAGATACTAAATGTCAGTGTGGTAAAACTTGTGTAATTTATGAATAAATTGTGTAATCTATGAATAAATTGTAAAACCTAGACGTATACAAATCTGAAGATACTAAATGTCAATGTGGTAAAACTTGTGTAATCTATGAATAAATTGTGTAATCTAGGAATAAATTGTAAAACATAGACGTATACAAAACTGAAGATACTAAATGTCAGTGTGGTAAAACTTGTGTAATTTATGAATAAATTGTGTAATCTATGAATAAATTGTAAAACCTAGACGTATACAAATCTGAAGATACTAAATGTCAATGTGGTAAAACTTGTGTAATCTATGAATAAATTGTGTAATCTAGGAATAAATTGTAAAACATAGACGTATACAGTTCTGAAGATACTAAATGTCAGTGTGGTAAAACTTGCGTAATCTATGAATAAATTGTGTAATCTATGAATAAATTGTAAAACATAGAAGTATACAGTTCTGAAGATACTAAATGTCAGTGTGGTAAAACTTGTGTAATCTAGGAATAAATTGTGTAATCTATGAATAAATTGTAAGACTCAGACGTATACAAGTCTGAAGATACTAAATGTCCGTGTGGTAAAACTTGTGTAATCTAGGAATAAATTGTGTAATCTATGAATAAATTGTAAAACTCAGACGTATACAGTTCTGAAGATACTAAATGTCAGTGTGGTAAAACTTGTGTAATCTAGGAATAAATTGTGTAATCTATGAATAAATTGTAAAACTCAGACGTATACAGTTCTGAAGATACTAAATGTCAGTGTGGTAAAACTTGTGTATTCTAGGAATAAATTGTGTAATCTATGAATAAATTGTAAAACTCAGACGTATACAGTTCTGAAGATACTAAATGTCAGTGTGGTAAAACTTGTGTAATCTAGGAATAAATTGTGTAATCTATGAATAAATTGTAAAACTCAGACGTATACAGTTCTGAAGATACTAAATGTCAGTGTGGTAAAACTTTTGTAATCTAGGAATTGTAAAACTCAGACGTATACAGTTCTGAAAATACTAAATGTCAGTGTGGTAAAACTTGTGTAATCTAGGAATAAATTGTAAAACTCAGACGTATACAGTTCTGAAGATACTAAATGCCAGTGTGGTAAGACTTGTGTAATCTATGAATAAATTGTAAAACTCAGACGTATACAGTTCTGAAGATACTAAATGTCAGTGAGGTAAGACTTGTGTAATCTATGAATAAATTGTAAAACTCAGACGTATACAAATCTGAAGATACTAAATGTCAGTGTGGTAAAACTTGTGTAATCTAGGAATAAATTGTAAAACTCAGACGTATACAGTTCTGAAGATACTAAATATCAGTGTGGTAAGACTTGTGTAATCTAGGAATAAATTGTAAAACTCAGACGTATACAGTTCTGAAGATACTAAATGTCAGTGTGGTAAAACTTGTGTAATCTAGGAATAAATTGTAAAACTCAGACGTATACAGTTCTGAAGATACTAAATGTCAGTGTGGTAAAATTGTGTAATCTATGAATAAATTGTAAAACTCAGACGTATACAGTTCTGAAGATACTAAATGTCAGTGAGGTAAGACTTGTGTAATCTATGAATAAATTGTAAAACTCAGACGTATACAAATCTGAAGATACTAAATGTCAGTGTGGTAAAACTTGTGTAATCTAGGAATAAATTGTAAAACTCAGACGTATACAGTTCTGAAGATACTAAATATCAGTGTGGTAAGACTTGTGTAATCTAGGAATAAATTGTAAAACTCAGACGGACGTATACAGTTCTGAAGATACTAAATGTCAGTGTGGTAAAACTTGTGTAATCTAGGAATAAATTGTAAAACTCAGACGTATACAGTTCTGAAGATACTAAATGTCAGTGTGGTAAAAATTGTGTAATCTAGGAATAAATTGTAAAACTCAGACGTATACAAGTCTGAAGATACTAAATGTCCGTGTGGTAAAACTTGTGTAATCTAGGAATAAATTGTGTAATCTATGAATAAATTGTAAAACTCAGACGTATACAGTTCTGAAGATACTAAATGTCAGTGTGGTAAAACTTGTGTATTCTAGGAATAAATTGTGTAATCTATGAATAAATTGTAAAACTCAGACGTATACAGTTCTGAAGATACTAAATGTCAGTGTGGTAAAACTTGTGTAATCTAGGAATAAATTGTGTAATCTATGAATAAATTGTAAAACTCAGACGTATACAGTTCTGAAGATACTAAATGTCAGTGTGGTAAAACTTGTGTAATCTAGGAATAAATTGTGTAATCTATGAATAAATTGTAAAACTCAGACGTATACAGTTCTGAAGATACTAAATGTCAGTGTGGTAAAACTTTTGTAATCTAGGAATTGTAAAACTCAGACGTATACAGTTCTGAAAATACTAAATGTCAGTGTGGTAAAACTTGTGTAATCTAGGAATAAATTGTAAAACTCAGACGTATACAGTTCTGAAGATACTAAATGTCAGTGTGGTAAGACTTGTGTAATCTATGAATAAATTGTAAAACTCAGACGTATACAGTTCTGAAGATACTAAATGTCAGTGTGGTAAGACTTGTGTAATCTATGAATAAATTGTAAAACTCATACGTATACAAATCTGAAGATACTAAATGTCAGTGTGGTAAAACTTGTGTAATCTAGGAATAAATTGTAAAACTCAGACGTATACAGTTCTGAAGATACTAAATATCAGTGTGGTAAGACTTGTGTAATCTAGGAATAAATTGTAAAACTCAGACGTATACAGTTCTGAAGATACTAAATGTCAGTGTGGTAAAACTTGTGTAATCTAGGAATAAATTGTAAAACTCAGACGTATACAGTTCTGAAGATACTAAATGTCAGTGTGGTAAAAATTGTGTAATCTAGGAATAAATTGTAAAACTCAGACGTATACAGTTCTGAAGATACTAAATGTCAGTGTGGTAAAACTTGTGTAATCTAGGAATAAATTGTGTAATCTAGGAATAAATTGTAAAACTCAGACGTATACAGTTCTGAAGATACTAAATGTCAATGTGGTAAAACTTGCGGAATCTATGAATAAATTGTAAAACTCAGACGTATACAAATCTGAAGATACTAAATGTCAGTGTGGTAAAACTTGTGTAATCTATGAATAAATTGTGTAATCTAGGAATAAATTGTAAAACTCAGACGTATACAGTTCTGAAGATACTAAATGTCAGTGTGGTAAGACTTGTGTAATCTATGAATAAATTGTAAAACTCAGACGTATACAGTTCTGAAGATACCAAATGTCAGTGTGGTAAGACTTGTGTAATCTATGAATAAATTGTAAAACTCAGACGTATACAGTTCTGAAGATACTAAATGTCAGTGTGGTAATACTTGCGGAATCTATGAATAAATTGTAAAACCCAGACGTATACAGTTCTGAAGATACTAAATGTAAGTGTGGTAAAACTTGCACAGACGTTCCTATTCGTTAGTTAGACAGTTTCATAGACTTTGCCATGGAGATGACTGGAGACAAGACCCTCCCAAACAAAAACATGCATTGAAAACACATCAGTTAATGTCCTACATCATCGTGACTGTGTTCATATGCACTGAATTATTCTTCGCCAAGGTAGGAACAAAATTTGTACATCGTAGCCAGCACTAACGATTCACATCAAACATCAATAGCTTATATTATGAAATACGAGTTTGAATTTTAGCATACGACGCACAATCGGAGCCACGAAATGAACAAAAAGACCAACTTCAAGATGCTTGATGAAAGATAACTAAAACTCGCCTACTCATATATCAAGCTCGGGCATTAAAGTTTCATGAATGTTTATCCCGCCCGCTACCTCAATATTCAGACTTAAACGAATCAACTGATAAAATTTATTTTTAATACCGACATACGAATGAGCTTCGGAGGAAAAAATCAACTAATTTCGCAAAATCACGCACAAATGTAGTAGTTTTAGAAAACAGCCGGAAGTTGTGTCCTCCAGTTGAGAAATTTAATTGAAATAATCTGTGAATAAGAGACAAATAAGCTGATTATTATTTTATAAACACGCATGTATGAGGCCAGAAGTCTACAAAGGACTGCGTCTCCAAAAAAGTTGTGTGTTTAAATCAATAACAAGAGCAATTGACTATCAATTCGGGGAGAAACGTCATGCAACAAGATAGAGGAGAGGTTTTACAAGCGAACAAAACCGCCAGCTCTAAAAAATGGTCTACAGACGACTGGGAAGTCAGCTATGCCGACCAACTGACCGCAACAATGGCAGAATTTCGAAAAACCCAAAAACTCTGCGATGTTGTCATTTCAAGTGAGAACTGCACGTTTCATGCACACAAAGTCGTTTTGGCAGCAAGTTCCTCATTCTTCCAGAGCCTTTTCACGGTGGATATGAGCGAAAAGAACAAACAGATCATTAAAATAGACAACATCGATTCTTCAACAATGCATCATGTCCTTCAGTACGTCTACACAGGTCGCACAACAGATGCTTGCGTTAAAGAAGCGAGGGATTTGTACCTTGCGGGAGACTATCTCATCCTACCGGGCTTGCGACATCAAGCCATCGACATGATGGTGAAAGATCTGAAACCAAACAACTGCTTGTCCACATTAATGTGGTCACACAAGTCCATGTGCCGTCCTCTCTTCACGCACACATTTCGCTTTATCTTGGATAACTTCCATAGCGTTTCACGTTGCGAAGATTTCGTGAAATTACCAACACACGAGGTGCAATTGTTGCTTTCTAGCAACAATCTCCGCGTTCCCGACGAGGAAGTTGTCTACGAGGCACTGAAACGCTGGTGCCTTACAAATCCTGACGAAAGAAGCATTCGGTTTGCAGAACTTTTTAAGTTTATAAAACTGGAGCACCTATCAAAATATTACATCGAAAACTTCGTGCAGGACGACATCTTGTCATTAACAAACGACGACACCCGATTCGAGCTCTTGGAAGCCACAACGGAATATACGGTTTCCGAGCGCACCGAGCCTGTCATCAATCCGTTGACGCCACCACGACGTCAGGTTGCCATGGTGATATGCGTTTTAACCCCAGACGTGTATGGTTACATTCCGACGACCAAAGAATGGCTGGAGCTCGCCTCGGTGCCAACACCAAGAATATTCAGTTCTTCGGTCCTTTTGAATGGCTATATCTACAACATAGGTGGATTAGCAGGGACAGGAGATAACATAGATGGATTGGCAGGGACAGGAGACAGTTCTAATATTGTGGAGTGTTTCGACCCGACTGCCAACGTGTGGTCTTCGAAAGCATCGCTACCAGTCCCTACACGCGCAGCTGCGGTGTGCGTTCTAGATAATTTCATCTACGTGGTAGGAGGGAGAAGTGACAGCGCCCGCTTTAATATCGTTCAGCGGTACGATTCTTGGAAAGATACGTGGACGTTAATTACGTCACTAAACGAGGAGAGAAGTGGCACGTCCTTAGTCGCTTGCCAAGGACGTCTGTACGCGATTGGTGGTAGGAAATACGAAGACACGTATCTGAAATCGGTCGAATGTTACGATCCAATAAAAAACAAGTGGACTCTCGTTTCACCCATGTGCGTTGCACGTGCATCTTCTTCGGCCACTTCAATCAAGCATACTATTTACGTCGTGGGAGGCGTGCGCTCACCAGGTATATCCCACACTTCCTGTGAAGCCTATGACACATCTCTGGACCAATGGAACGCGATTTCCAATAATCTCATTCCAAGATCATACGCTGGCATTGCAGCGTTCAAGATGAGCCTTCTAGTTTGTGGCGGTGAAGACAGCGGTAATTTTCACGACGAAATAGAGCGCTACGATGTCGTGAACGACACATGGGAGATTGTGGGAAAAATGCCGAGGGTCGAAAAGTTCGTAGATTGTTGTCCAATGTTCATTTCTAAAGATCTATTGCCCATCTTTCCACAGGCTTAAAGAATGGCCAATGACTGCGCATGCGCTGTAACTGCCCTAGTAATTATCGCTCGCGGCGTGTTCCATTCTTACTGAATATCTTTAATTTTTAAAAACAAAAACAAGGATATGTTACTGAATACCGAAAAACTATATTCTCACTCAGTGCTTAACAATATTAGTTGTGAAGTGACATTTGAACATGATCAAGACTCAACTGGATTGAATGTTACAATCAAGAGTATACAGCAGAACCATAAAGCCAGGCGTGCAACATAAAAAAATCTTTAGCGGGTATAAAGTGTCATAAAACGATGTTTTGGGGATCTTTGTCCCATTGTCTATTTTCATACAATTAATTTCGGTTAATTAATATACCTTAATTGATAACATGAACATAATTAATATTGCATACATAACTTTCTAAGGTATAATGATAGAAACAACATCAGCAGATGTGATGCCAGGCAACACGGTTTGTCATTGAAACGTCGTGCACATTGTATTAAAAGTCACAATTTCCACATCAACATTTTGGGCGTGCTGTGAATTTGTAACCTTTCGTTTGAAGTTGATGTTGAAAGAGTCATAATTCACTCTCTTTTATATAAATATCTTAATGTTTCAATTTCTCGAGTGTTTCCTCTTGTTAGTTCATCATCACCTTTTCGAAAAGTGACTGAAGTTATGGCAAAGATTTTACCACGACACAAGTGAAAAGCAAAACAAGCAAACGCCTTTTCTTCGCAATTTCTATTATGATCTTCGTATAATTAGCGACTAACTTTCCCGACATAGTTTTCATTCACTTGAAGTTCTGCTTCGATAAATATTCGTTAAACAAAAACATTTATGTCTTAACCGGGATTTTTTAAGGCCGGTGATACAATTGAAAAGCGTGCTTGATCCATGTCTTTCTGCGTGGAAACGCAACTCTTTTCAGAAGCAGAATTTTGGACCGTTAAAAGTCACCGTACAAACAAAACAAACAAAATACGCACCGATAGAATTTCCTCGCCGATTCATTTCTACCGCAAATTTAGCTTATCTAAACGGAAGAAGCCCTTATCGAACCACCAGCCAAACTGAGAATATTTAAAGAAAGAATTCAAACTTCATTGCATTAAGAGTTATCAATAACACGCCTGAGTGAATTAACAGCCAAGCATCGTGCAGTTGATTTCGTGTCAGAAATATGACGTCAACAACAAACACAATTGTCGTGGAATAATGGCCACCGGTCGGAAGAAAGTCAACTTTCATAAGAAAATATTTCTCGCGCGAGAATCTCTTTAAATGGACGATCGTGATGTGAAAATGTCGAAAAGAATACCGTCTTTATAAAACCGCTTTCAAAATCCAAAGGTAAGGTACTATTTTCAAAAAATAAGTCAAGTTCATTAACAGTGAAGAACACAAATGTAAAGCTATACAGCGAGAAATTATCGTAACAGTTGAGGGGTTTTAACCACGCATCAGTTGTGCAGGTATTCGGAGTGTTAAAGGAAGCCAAATATCAAAAAGTTCGTGATGTTTTAAAGACAAAAATCCGGAAAAGAGGGAACAAAATCAACAAATTTTATTCTGCATTAGTTGAACCTGCATCCGAGAAAAGGCAACTGATCAGTGCACCAAATCGCGAATCGCTCCAATTTTTCATCAAGAAAGAGAACGTTCAGGCAAGCCCCCTCAAAAAACGAAAACTTAAAAATTTCAAACTAAATCAAACGTCCTACACCTCAAAAACTTGCATGGTTTATAGAGTAAACGGGACTTTCGTTTATGGGCTTGTAAGTTTCCTGCTTTTGCTAAAAACTGCGCAAAATCAGATCTTTAACAATATGGCGAATGTTCAAATTACCTTCAATTTGTAAATCATGTAACAATTAAGAGCATGTATGATTTCATCTTTACTTGAGTAAATATTTAAAGCAAAGTCCCTGATGAAGAAGCAAAAACGTTTCCCTTTCTTTCTTTTCATGTCTTACAAAGTGGGAATGGCCATTATCTCCATGCAATCTGTAATCAATTTGGTGAGAATCGTTTTACTACTGGAAATAACAGATGTCTTTTCGAAGGTAATATATCTAAATCACGCGATACCGTTTAAATAATCACGTGGTTGGAGCAGTTAGAATAAACCATTCACAATCACCCTTAAACACACACACATCGTGGAGTTTGTGACTGACAAATTTTCTGTAGTCAACAGGCTTTCATCTCTATATGAGCAAGCAAGAGCTCGCTCGCTATTTTGGAACTGATGATCACGAAGAAGGTACGAATTACAGTAGTACATAACAAACATTAAAATACTTACGGTTCATTAAGGGACTACGAGGGACTTCTATGACGCATATATGTTTTGTGGTTTAAGTCCCGGATTATGAAGTCGTGTATCCAAAGAGAATGGGACAGAATGAAGAATCCAAGAGAGAAAAAACGAACTACTTACATTTTAACATAAAGGCATTTGGCGATGATTTCAATCTTCACTTGAAACGAAATGACAAATTGCTTGCCAAAGACATGCGGGTTGAATTTCTTGGTCAAAATGGCAAGATACTTCGAAAAGAGAAAGTGAAAGACTGTTTCTATCATGGTCATTCGAAAAATCATCCCACGTCGAAGGCGGCAATAACCACTTGCAATAACTTGGTAAGTTTGTGCAACACATTATCATTACTAGTGGCGTAGCGCAACTTCCGCGAATGTCTGATAAAATCAGGTTTCACGTCATCAGTAACAGTTCACTTGATTTGACAAAAAATTAATGACGTAGTAGGATGCTTTGGGGGAAACAGAAAAATCTTCGACCGTATAGCGTTCACTTTTCAACATCATTGGATACCATCACAAAAGTTAGAAAGACGCACTATACTAGATAAAGAAGTCTTCAGGTTTATTTCACATAGGCGGGAGCCATACACACCAATGACCAATCATATTACATTGAGCCGTTGCCAAAACACATTGCTCAGCGGTACAAAAGAGCCCAAACCAATGCTGGTACTCCTCATATCATTTACAAAAGTGGATCGTCGAGAATGCGTAGACATGCAGCAACAAAGAACAGCAAAAACAGAGAGCATTTTTGTGGAACTGAAGGTAAACCGATGAGAAACTTTAGGAATGTTATGTTCAATAAAACTTTTATGCTTCTAAAGACGTTTTCGCAACAGATAATCCAAGATTACGCCATCCGCGTGACCTTGAAAATGACCCGGAACTAATGAGCACTGACGTCAGCAAAGACCCCGAGCGCTATATTGAGACACTGATTGTGGTGGATGAGAATATGTGCGCCTTTCATGGCGAAGATGCCGTGAAGCAATTCGCTCTGGCGGCATGCAATATAGTAAGATAATCTTCATTTGTTCTCACAGAGCGGTAAATTCGTGAGTGAATTTCGCACAGTAAATTAAACAGCACAGACTCGCCATAACTTGCTTAATGAATGAACGATTTTATAACGAGTACAAACAGCAGCAAAATGTCGCTTAAGCAATAATAAAATTGCCACCAGGAAAATTTAACATGACCACATTTTATCTCTAGCTAGACAACATCACAATAGTTGGAACACAGCAACTGTAGAAAAAGTTCTTCACATTTACGTAGGGGTCCATTTTTTTCAAACGTATATGACAAACTCTGAATTCATTTTAGCTTTATGCATGTTTAGGCAGCAGGATTGTTGAAAGATTCCACCATTGGTACCAATCCAATCAACCTGGTCATCACTAAAATGCAGATTCATACCACACCACAGGTATAGCGACATCAACGTTCGTTCTCATGAAATACACAGTGACCATACCATATTGACAATAATGACTATACAGAAGAATCACTCATGTCGGAACGTTTGATTATTTTCTCCTCGCGCATGTTGTGCTGCGCATATCCATGGCCATTATTCCAGCAAGTTGAGAATCATCCAAAGTCACAAGTCTCAAGTCAAAATATTCTCGAATAGATTATGAGAAAAATGGTTAGAGACAAGTGACAAACCCTAACCAAATGCCTAAAATAATGGCCGACGACGTGAGGACGCGTTGTACACCTGAGTGAGACTTCTGTATAATCATTATTCTGTGCAACGGTACCAAACTTTTGTCTTTAATGTCTGCAGGATGGCTTCCTCATAAATAACCATGCCATGAATTCGCTGTCAAACTTTGGAAGATGGGCAGAAAGGAACACGGTGCCCGATGACACGGATCCCCAACACTATGACTACGCTACATTGTTTACGAGGTTGGTGGATAGTAGAGGATAATAGAGGACAAGAAGGTACAAGAGCACTTCAAGTGCCGAAAAATTAAACAACGAAGGAATAACATGAAAGAGAAACATAATTGCACACAAAGCAAAAAAAAGATCGCGCGTATAATTTTACCCAACACAGTAAAAAAGTTATACGTGTAGTTTTACCCAACACAGTAAAAAGGTTACATGTGTAACTTTACCAAACACAGTAAAAAGGTTACACGTGTAATTTTACCCAACACAGTAAAAAGGTTACACGTGTAATTTTACCCAACACAGTAAAAAGGTTACACGTGTAATTTTACCCAACACAGTAAAAAGGTTACACGTGTAATTTTACCCAACACAGTAAAAAGGTTACACGTGTAATTTTACACAGTAAAAGGTTACACGTGTAATTTTACCCAACACAGTAAAAGGTTACACGTGTAATTTTAAACACAGAAAAAGGTTACACGTAATTTTACCCAACACAGTAAAAAGGTTACACGTGTAATTTTACCCAACACAGAAAAAAGGTTACACGTGTAATTTTACCCAACACAGTAAAAAGGTTACATGTGTAATTTTACCCAACACAGTAAAAAGGTTACACGTGTAATTTTACACAACACAGTAAAAAGGTTACATGTGTACATTTACACAATACATCCGGAAGTGTGATCATTATATCGTACAGTAATAGCATGAAAAAATGTGACAAAATGAGCTTGAAGCAAAAGGCAAAACTTTTTCACTGATACATTCTAGTAACGTTTCAACTGAGTTAACAAAAACCTTTCTGCACCCAGAGAAGGAAAATCCAGTAAAAATGGTAATATATTACGCGATATTCTAATGTTTCCATTTAATTTAGAACGGATATTTGCAAGGATAAGAACCAGCCTTGCGAAACGCTTGGTGTCACGAATGTTGGTGGAATGTGTCGTTTTCCAAACTCGGTGTCAATTTGCGAAGACAACGGCCTGACGATTGGAAGAACTCTCGCACATGAAACAGGGCATTCGTAAGTAGAGAAGTCACTGACCTATGTGAACTGAGTACCTGAATGTACACTCAGCGGCTTATCAACCGACCTGCATTTAATGGTTTTTACCAATTAATGATAATAAATCGATGAACTGAATTTCGCATCTTACCCAAAATGCTACCGAAATTCTATAATTCCGAGCTTTGCATAAGTTAAATGGTTCCGGCTAGTAGGAGCTACCTAACTGGCAAGAATGTAGCTTATCTTCAGCCGTTCCCACAGTAAAATAGTTTTTAATATACAACTAGATGAAATTATGACAGTTATTCGTCTGTAAACTTATAGCCTTGGTATGAATCATGACCGTAGACCATTTTGCGGGGACAGCAAGAAGATAATGTCTTGGCATCCGGAAGGAAAAGACGCTTACAAATGGTCAAAATGCAGTCGCATGTTTTTGAAGCAATTTCTTGAGTACGTGAAATTCAAAAATATACATATGGTTTTGTTTCAACGACAAAGATGTTGGAAAGTCCCACACAGTTTTCATTATCTTACAACAACACGCACTGCAAATTCGACAGTGTTATTTTGACCTCGTTCATATCTCAAGTACATGTGTTGAATGTGTTCTTATAAGCATAAAATAGGATAATAAAATAGATTTAAGGGCAACTTTTCGATCGTAACATTGAATTGTTTGTATTGCAAAAACATGCACAGTTAAAATTTTAATCTGATAAACAGGCAAGCAATCGGCTTTTGTAATCCATGGCAGATTGCTTCTAATCATGCAGAGTAAAGGCTTATTTCTATTCAGTGCAAATTGTCGCGCGATCAACTTTTTGCGATCACTTTCTTCTGAATTGTGTTCAGCAATGTGAAACTGTTCCAGTCGAGAGCTTACAGTGATCGGAAAAAGTCGATCGCGCGAGAATTTGCACTGAATGGAAATCAGCCTTAAAACGGGTGTTCAATAGAGTGAAAACTGTTGCTCACCTTCTTTTCAGTCATGTAATCCTCTTCATTTGTAGTTCGAGCAAATCTCGTTGTCTGGAGGACAGGCCTACGACAAGAGAAACAATAAACTTACAAGTCTACAATGATCCGGGATTGCTATACAGTGCAGATCAACAGTGCGCGTTGGCCTTTGGGAATGGGGCAAAATACTGCGAAGATACACCATCAGAGGTAGACGATATGAGACGCAAACCTTATTTAGACAACAGATTTTTTCAATTGCACATATTCCTGCTTCATATCGTTAATAATTGTTAAACCTGAAATGAGCATGCTCATTTCCAAATTTAAAATCTCTTCATTTTCGAGATACGTTGCAACAAACTCATTAGAAACCTTTTGCGATTTAAATGACGAGAATTTATATTTTGGAAACTGTTTGCGATCACATTTAAAGGAAACAGAAGATGTAATCCTGTTTTTTAAAGTACATAGTTTACACAGTGTACAAAAATAAGTCGTACACAAGTTTTGCCCCCCAAATCATAATAGTTTGCCAAATAACAACAAAAGGTATAATTCCGCATCGTGCAGGAAATTTGCAGTCAATTATGGTGCAGCATTCCATATGGAAAAAGCAAAGATTGCCAAAATCTAAATGAACCATTGGCAGACGGAACAGTTTGCGGTGAGCTCAAGGTATGATATACCACTATCAATAAAGACGTGAAAACATGGGGCTAAACCATTCTCTCGTATTCGTCCTTGTCTATTGACCTTTAGAGGTGTAAACAAGGTGTATGTGTAAGCCAGTTCACAGAAGACACGGATGCCGTAAATGGTGGATGGTCTGACTGGTCTCCAGAATATACAGAATGTACGCGGTCTTGCTCCGGTGGTGTTCAATACAGAACAAGACAATGTAATAATCCATTGTAAGTATCTGAAGAATAGCTCCATAATATTAAAGGAAAAGTTAAGGAACGATGGCCAAACATATCCCCTTATGCTTAGTAAAGGAATGCGCTACTGCAACCAAAAGCTTCAAAGCCATATTTCATGTGTTTTTCTCACAGACCAACAAACGGTGGCAAATTTTGCGAAGGGGAAAACAGAGAATACCGTCTGTGCAATACAAAGGTAAATAACGTAAAATGATATTCGATACGAAAGATTTTAATGTACAAATGTCGCGTGACTTCATGTAGAAATGCACAGATAAAACGGATTTTAGAATGTGGCAGTGCAAACAAAAGAACCTAGAAATGTTCAACGACAAATTCTTTGAATGGGAATGGAGACCGTCAAATCTAAGTAAGAAACCAATTGCTAAATACATTCTTCGCGAATCATGTCCGGCTTCGGAATAAAAGTTGAAATAAATAAATAGAGTAGAGTCAAAGTGGAGAAAAATACATCAGAGAGAAGTTAAAATTTGCAGGGAGAAATGAGTGCATATGAACACGAATATAGTACATATGAACACGACTATAGTACATATAAACACGAATATAGTACATATGAACACGAATATAGTGCATATGAACAAGAATATAGTACATATGAACACGAATATAGTACATATGAACACGAATTGACGAGAGTAAAATCGTAAAGAGAAATAGAGTTAATTAAAAAATAGAGTTTATAATAGAAATGATCTACAGCATGTTCTATCATTGCAGTGAACAAGTGTACGTTGGGATGTTTTATAAAAAACACAAATCAAGGCTATGCCTTTGGAAATGTCGAGGATGGGACGAATTGTGAAACAGATTTCGATGGAAAATGTGTGAACGGTGAATGTATGGTAAGCAAAACATCGCAAAATAATTTCTTTTCATCACAATACGTTCTTGTCAAAATGATCCATCGATTTTAGCGTATAGGATGCGACGATGTGATTGGCTCTTCGGCCAAACTTGACCGTTGTGGAGTGTGCAATGGTGACGGCAACTCATGTCGTTATGGCAACGGAAACGACAACATAATAAAAGCATATCTTAAAGAAAAATACGAAAAGCAAGGGGAGAGCTTCAACAAGACGTTAAAATTGCTCCAAAATATGGGCTATAATATCTCGAAGTCTTTAAATTTGAACATAAACGAAGTTGTATCTGATTTTAACTGGGCCATTATGAAATCAGGGTGCAGTGTAACCTGTGGGGGAGGTAAGAGAAATGGAAACCATTATGAAATCAGGGTGTAGTGTAAGCTGTGGGGGGAGGTAAGAGAAATGGAAACCATTATGAAATCAGGGTGCAGTGTAACCTGTGGGGAGGTAGGAGAAATGGAAACCATCATGAAATCAGGGTGCAGAGTAACCTTTGGGGGAGGTAGGAAAAATGGAAACCATCATGAAATCAGGGTGCAGAGTAACCTTTGGGGGAGGTAGGCAAAGCAAAGTCGGCCTTTAGTCAATCTATAATAGCAATCTCGTTTAGGTATTGAAACAACAACGGCAGAATGCCGACGTTCTGACGATGGATCACCAGCGACAGATGAAAAATGTGAAGCAAAGAATAAACCAACAGAGAAAAGAAGGAAATGCAACACGAAGCCATGTGAACCAGAGTATGTATAATTCACACAAGATCATTGTCATGTGAACCAGAGTATGTCTAATTCACACAAGATCATTGTCACGTAAACCAGAGTATGTATAATTCACATAAGATCATTGTCATGTAAACCAGAGTATGTATAATTCACACAAGATCATTGTCATCTAAACCAGAGTATGTATAATTCACATAAGATCATTGTCATGTGAACCAGAGTATGTCTAATTCACACAAGATCATTGTCATCTGAACCAGAGTATGTCTAATTCACACAAGATCATGGTCATGTAAACCAGAGTGTGTATAATTCACATAAGATCATTATCATGTAAACCAGAGTATGTATAATTCACACATAATGACAACAAACTGTTATGAAGAGGCTTTCTAACTGGCTTGTCTATAAAAACGTGTTTATAACATAAGCTCGCTTCTTCCCACTTTTTTTAGATGGCGTGCAGAAAGATGGTCCGACTGCACTAAGACATGTAATGGTGGTAAAAGAACAAGACATGTGAAGTGCATTCAGATGGTTGATGGTTCCATTGAGTATGATATTGAAGACGAGCTATGCGCCCACCAAACCAAACCCACTACAACAGAGAGCTGCAACACGCATGAATGTAGGCCGGAGTGGGTGGTGGAACCTTTTGGAGCAGTAAGGACTTTAATATCTTGCGATCCATTTGAAAACCTTTTTATCCATCTTCAACTGTTTTCATTTTGTTATCATATTGACACTTTCTCCTATAGTGTTCAACAAGCTGTGGCCAGGGTCTACAAACAAGGAATGTAACATGTCGAAAGGTCAATACAAACGGAGAGACGGTCGACTTGGAGGAGGAGAGATGTGCTGAATCAGTGAAACCGCAAAAGGAGGAATTTTGTAACGTCCACAACCCGTGTCCCGGTGAAGGTAGGAAAACATGAAACATATAACGAAAATAATCTATGCACGATTTAGACATAAATGAAACACGAAAAAAGGACGCCGTAACCGGGGGAGCTGGAAGGGCTGAAGTCCCCGTCTTTTTGCAAAAGCAAAACAAAAACGATAATTATACTGCGCTGAAGTCGTTGTTCAGAAGTGTCTCTTCTAAGACACTGCAGTAGAATTGAAGACTTAACCCCTGCACTTCATATGTTGCTCCGCCGTACCTGCAGAACTCTAGCTTCAAAAAGAAAAAAAAACTAATTACACCTTCCATCTAGGAGAATGTGGTGGAAAATACACAACGAACAAAGGTTTCATTACGAGTCCGGGGTTTCCAAGCAACTATCCACTCAACAAGGAATGTGTTCACGTCATCAGCGTCGATGAAGATAAACTTGTTAAGCTGGTTTTTGAAAGGTTGGTTGAAATAATTGTCGTTGTCTTTTTTTTACTTTTTTAAAATGAATGAAAATAGAATTGAATGGCAAGAATGGCATTAAACTTCACACTAATTCACAATGACAATACACATTTCCTGTGCACACAATACAATGACGTAAGAACCAGATAACAAATACGGCTAACCTGACGTTTACTCCTCATTTGACTCTGAAGATGACTACCGCTAAGGTTGTCGAAACGTCAGTCAACAACAACAAAAACAGTCCTTCTCAGGACTATACCAACCTGGACGATCTAAATTTACAAACATGTAACGATACTACCGTGTTCAAACCATTTACTTTATTGCCCCTCTAGTTTCGATCTTGAAGATGGCGGAGGAAAATACAAGGACGGAATGTGTGGTGGAGATTTCGTCAAGGTTGTTGATGGTGAATGCCATGATAAAGGTTCAGAAACTCGTTACTGTGGTAACAAGCACGCTCTACCGTTCGTGGCTACCGGTAACAAGTTATGCGTGAAGTTTTTCTCTGATGATTCAAAAACAGGAAGTGGTTTCAACGCATCATTTGAAGCGGTGGATCCCCCAGCTATGCCTAGGGATATGTGTGGATCAACAATAACAACATCAACTGGCATGGTAACGTCACCCAACTATCCAGAGCCGTATCCAGCCAATGAAGTTTGTAATGTGACAATTAGAACACTGGAGGGGCCGATCGCGATGAACTTTCAGTATTTTGATGTTGGAGAAGATGAGTGAGTAAAGGTCGAATTTCATTTTGTATTATCAACGAAGGCATAGTAGTGAGGGAAGAATTTATGTTTCAACAACATCCAAAACACTTAGCTGAAGTAAATGAAGACCTTCCACATCATTCTTAGTAACACCATTTACTACAAAAACTTATGTATCAATATTGGATAGGTCACTCCTTGATAAAGATGAGGTATTGGAGAGTACATATAAGGATTCAAGTCGAAACAATTGTACATTCATGATGAAGACTTTTCACACACACAAGACTTAAATATATAGGGACTTGGTTGAGGTTCGACATTGAGTTACACTTGATAAAACCACTAGTCTATAGTCCATTAAATGAAACAAATTTTATCAAATAATCAACCACGATAAGAGCTCCGGGGTGCAAATTAACATGTCAAAATTCCAAAATATGATACCCCTTTGATGCAGTAAACAGCAAAAACTGTGATACACAAAGCTAGATAACTAAACTCCTTGAATTAAACTTTGTTGCCTGGGTAACTTTTTAGACTCCTAACACATGGCAATTTGGTAGAATGAGGATGTTAAAATAATGAAGTGTGTAGAACATTAATTGGTAATCACAAGTTTGATTACAAACAGCTTAATAAACCACAAAAAAAACAAGTATTTACTCTGCTAAATTTCAGACATTTACACATAAACAAAAAAATTATGAGCAGATGACATGAATACTGGCTACTACAGATTGCAAATGCTAAGCATAAAATTCCTTTCAGTTACATCAACATCTTGTTGGGGGTCTATTACGGCTGAATCATGAAAATTTCAAATGTCTGCTGATGTCAAAAAAGTTGCTGTTTACATACACCTTGCAGAAATGAATTATGAGTTTTAATACATTTTTACACTTTTAGGAACATTTGCAAATGATAATATAAATTGTATTAAGTGAAATGTTTTTTCTAAAATGCCAGGCTTGTATGAAGCAAGATTTTGTTTGTTGAGGAATTAGGTGAGGTAATAATGTTTCACAACTAAAATCAAGAAGCATTTTTCTTTCCTTTAATTTGCATCCTGGAGCTCTACATTAGAATGGCCATAAACGCCCTGAAGAAATCATAAAATCAAACAATGCAAGAGCCCACACTCCAACAAAAATTCAAACAAGTTTTATCAAATACATCTTTGACAGGAGCTGCGATGAAAATTATTTGCTGGTCAAAGGGGATCAATATGAATCAAAATTTTGTGGAAGCAATAAACCAAACACCTACAATGTTACTGGCAACACAATAAAACTTAGCTTTAAATCTGGTCAACAGAATGAGAAAAATCCCGGCTTTGTCGCCAGTTACATTTCAGGAAAAGGTGACTACAGAGCTGACTATTGTCTTCATGCATGTAATACAGACTACGGGTCCAACGCCAAACTATTAATAAACATTTCTCTACTTTTATATGCAAGATAATAAAGACTTGGAAAATAATAAAGTAATTGAAAGCTACGATACTCGAAACTCATCGGATGAAGATATTAAAACACTGAAAAGCATTCGAGGTTGGAAATACGCATTTTAAAAGCGAAATTTGGCAACTTTTTGTGAATTAATATAAAGCAAATTATGGACAAATTTCTCACTTTAAACAACGACTTATAACTCATGAATAAACAAGAAGAAATGCTCCCGAACACAAAAATAATCATTTTTATAATGTACCTTTTAATGTTTGTAGACACCATAGCAAGGCCACAATCCAAGCGAAATATTTCCGTTAGTTTTCTGCCAATACCATCGAATTCCTTGGATAGAAACGAAGGTAACATTTTGCACTATATATTTGATGTATAAAGAACCAAAGGATGCTTAAATTCCAAACGTGATATACAAAAAAAAGTCCCACTTTGACATTTCCACGTGGGTAATAAAATTTTTACTTTCTTCTACTGCAGTCGCAAAAGAAGAGGTCAGCAGTATCTCATCGCCTCGTAAGTCATGTAATATAGTCAATGTCATAATTTACATATTTTGCGATTATCTATTTCTTGAGCCCAAGACACCCCCACCCCCAAAGTAAAGCCAGCATCGTTTGGTGATCACTGTTGAGTCCCTCTTTAACTTTAATCATGCTGCTAAAGCCCTTATATCCACTCCAATAAAATGAAATCTTCTTGAAATAACTCCTAAAATTCACGACATTTATGAAATGACAACTGGGCTCGTGTGAAAAAAGTAGACTAAAGTAAACAAAAGGTAAAAATAAAAGTAGATAAAAGAAATCGTCATTTCATAGGAGTCTTTTCATCGTCCTCTGTGTACCCCTTTTGTCTACCTTCGTTAGGCCTTTGTTTAGTATGTGTCTACCTTCTTGCCTACCTTGTCTGCCTTCATTTCTACCTTTATATTCACATTTGTCTACTTTCATGTCTACCTTTATGTCTACCTTTATGTCTACTTTAGTGTCTACCTTTGTTTACCATTAAATCTACCTTTATGTCTATCTTTGTGTCTACCTTTATGTTTACCTTTATGTTTACCTTTAGGACTACCTTTGTGCCAACTTTTATGTTTAAATTTAAGTCTACCTTTATGTCTACCTTAATGTCTACAATTATGTCTACCTTTGTGTCTACCGTGGTACCCTTTTTTCTACCTTTTTCATAATTGGCAGAGTTCTTAAAGATATAATATTTTTAAAAGCATTTTATTCAATCCAACAACCTGCTCGACCAGTCGACGCGATGTCTTACGCAATAACCTAATGTTTAGATTTAGTTTGAAGGAACTTCTTCATAATCTCCAAAAAATTTAGGCAATAAAAAACATGAATTATATAAATTTTGTTTCTTGTATTCTCGCGTTTACTTTCATAGCTACTGCGTCCTCACAGTCGTTAGAAAAACAAGGCCAAAAGACGAACGAAACAAAATCAGCAGGTAAAAATGGAAATATAATAGAATAAGTAAACACAATGCAAGACATCTTGTATGCCATGTGATGAGCATAACAAAAAAAAAATACAACAGTTTCAGACAGTACAAAGTTCAAGATACAAAACGATACACGGCTAGCGAAACAAGGTTAGTACAAACGAAAAATCATAGATAGTTTTCTCAATTTTTTCACCGCAAGAATTCTGTTGTTCCTTTATTTCCATGTAATTCGTACGGTTTAAATTCTTTTCAGCATCGAAGAAAACACTCGTCAGACCGCTACAGAGTGTTTTAGAACAATCTGGATCGTTGATAACGAGAGGTAGTTAATAAATTTATTCTGGTGGCTTACCCAGCTTGTTTACGTAGTCTTAACGTGTAAATATTTGTGTTAACTCAATAAGAAACCATTTCTAAAGAAATAGACGAGGGCAAATTAAAAAGCTTGAAGGCTTGCTGCACTTCTGATTAGTTGTCGATTCAAGACTCGTTCTCAAATTGTAAACCATACCGGATACCTCACTTAAAAAAAGGACAGACAGTCAAAACTGTTTTGGATATTTGATTGTGCGCGTATGGCGCTTTGACCCACCGTCATGGGCAGATAGAAAAGTTCTGTTTAGCACGAACATAGCGATGAGGAAAATGAAAGCAGAAAATAAGACATGACTTAAATACTAGAAAGATACATTATTATATGACGTTCTTCCTAAAGTGTCCATACATTGATCCCCTTTATCCTTCTAGGTGAATGTCCGCATCCATCCAGATTATCCTGCCTAAACGTTCTGTATTCCTACCCGTGCCAAGATAACAGAGCTTGTCAATTAAGGGGAATGGATTGCTGTCCAACAAGCTGTTCATATGGGCCAAGTATGTGCGTGCCAAAAGGTAAGACCATCCAGGATGTTCATCTAGAATTGTCGTTTAGAAATCACATGTGAAACCAGACTGCCAATTCAATTATTTGAGAAACAAAATCATGTTGAAATTGCAGTACTTTGTGTTAAAAGGTACTTATATTGTTGATGTCGTATCAGTGAAATGAAGTCGAAAAATCATAGTTAATTAATATCAAATGCTTCATGAGCAATGCGATAAGTTATTGCTCCAAAAGAACCAACAGTAAAATAGTAATTTATTTGTTGGGGGTTGGGGAGGGGGGATAAGCCTACAAATGTGCAAAAGTTGAAAAAGTTTGAGCCAGGGGGGCGGTACATTGGTCATTTTGGATGGAGGGTCATATTCATAAATGCATATTGTATAATCCATAATCACAGTTGATTCTAACAGAAACTAACACATTAGAACCACAACTAACAATCTTTAGCCGACCCTAGTTTGAACGCGCAACATTTTACATTTATTAGTTTGGAGAGAGTGTCCTTTAATGACGCCTTACGTTGGTAAAATTCAACAACATTGTGTAACAACGGCAGACTGTGGTCCAAATCAGATATGTTGTATAGACATGCTAGCTAGACGTTACTGTCACGAACACGAGGCAACGGACAAATAAATGACATCGCTTAGCTCAAGTCTTTGGAACTTTAAAAAGTTTTCTCATGAAAACTAATGATGCCTTAAACTCGTGGTATCCATTGTTAAAGAAATATGCCGTAGAAGCAAATTTCAAGCTATAAATGAAATGTTATGTTTTCAATCAAATATGCTTTCATTTACAATGGTAATTTGCAACCAAACAAAACCTATCATAAAAAACAAAATCTAACATGTACATGCATGTCTGCTATACAGAAGAATATGTAAGTATAGATATGTGCATATGTAAGTGTGATATTTAGATTCGATTATTTAGTTTTGTACTTAGCCTGCAAACGGCAAAAACGCTTACCATGCAAACTCGCGTATGTAATAAGAAATACTATAGTTTTTGAAATTCATTTCAACTGATTTTTTCGTCATTTCTAACTTTCGTTCTGTGCTACACATTTAAACCGCCTGGAAAGAGCAACGATTATACGTATGTAATGGCGACGACATTATTAATAATGTACCACATCCATTGAACTAAAATACACGGAACGCTACCTGTAATAGAAAACCCTAATAATTTGCTGAAGCTAAATTTTACACCCAGACACGCGAGATTACACCCAGATACGCGTGTGTAGACAATCAATTGTAGTCAATCAATTTTCGCTCCGCGAGAGAATCTCGAAACACTAAACACGCGTGTCTGGGTGTAATCTCGCGTGTCTTGGTGTAAGATTCGGCTTTACTTATTTGCTTCAGGTAGCATTCCATGTATTTTAGTTCAATGACCACATCACACGAAATGTCACGTATGATTTTTTGTAAAAAACATCCAGCAACAGCGTCAAACAAAACAGAAGCTTCAGATTTGTAGATGCAGATCGTCAAGGCTAAAGGGACTGAGAAGGACCGTTGGGGTTGATGTTGACTTGCATTTCTACAACCTTAGCTGAACGAAACGTCAGTCAACATCAACACCAACAGTTCTTCACAAAACTCCAATAACCTGTACGATCTACATCTATAAACATGCAACAATACTCCCGAGTTCAAACCATTCACTTTATAAAGGAGAAGCTTCTTCATTTCATAAAGTCCAAACATGCATAAACCTACTTTGGTCCCTTATTTCCTTGCGCTCTACCAACCCTCTCTCCAACAGGTAAGCACAAAGACTTGACAGCAAACCCTGAAGGTAATAATTTTTAATGAATATAATGTAATTTTATATTTACCGCAACAGCATGGAGTCACGTGTTATTTTTTGACGACCACTCGGCAAAGGATCAGATTCCCACTTGTCATCCTTGGGTCAAACTTCCCCTTTTAGTTGTCGGTCCCAGGTTTTTCGTACATAGCTCGTCTATGCACAAATCACGATCTTTCAAAATCAGTCGGTCGCCAAAATTGCCCCTAATAATTATCAGAAAGAGCAGAGCCCGCAAACCGACTCGACAGCAGGCTTTCTCGGGGAGGAGACTCTTCTAAACCATGAACGAAAGCGTTTAAAATCAGTTTAGCGAATTTAATAACATCTGTCATTTGCTTGATTGGCGCTGCTTTGAGGAAAAACTCTGTAATATATAGTTGTAATACATGTTGTTGCAAAGTTGTTGTGTAGGGGAGTGAAGACATTTGTTAGTATTCGGCTTTTTGGATAATGAGTTAACACAATTGCATTATATCTTTGTGTAATCCACATTTTGTCACCCTAAAAACAAATGGTGTATAGGTGTCAACAGGTGTCTATATAAATATTTAGAAACCTATAATTTTCTTTCAACTTCACCGACAAAGCAGAGCTAATTTCAAAGTCAAGAAAGCTATGCAACTGTCTTACCATTTCTTACTCCACCGACAGATGAGAAATTCGAAAATTATAACCAAGTCGCAAATACTCTTGATAAATTGACTCCAACTGACAACGTTTGAGATCGCATTCAAATTTCACGATTCAGCGAACCGTTTTCCTCGAAATATCATCAACATTCCTTGCGAAGTAGCTAAAATAAAGCGAATGAGAAACCACACGCGTAACTAAAGAGTAAGGGAAATAATTCACACTTTAACAAGAGTTAGTACTTGTAAGGTTTACGCGTTAGAAAGACTTTATCTGAAAGTACAACAGGTGTTTTATTCTAAAACACCTGGGTTAGGTTACACGGAGACATTACAGTGTAATAATTTATTGCATAGGAATCTATAACGTAACATATGAGAAAGATATTTTTCTTCATAATAAAAACGAAAATTTGTAATATTAGAACTATTGTTTTGATTCATTGCTCGTCAAATTCAAATCGTAGATACTTTTCTACTGAAAGAATTTTGAAACTCTCAAAAAATTTGCGATCCCTGGTGACGAGGTAACAAGTCAAGTCTCCACACATGCAATGACACTCAAAGCCACAGTCTGTAGGCAAACAGGACAGTGCTATTTCCAGGCGAAATGTCGATCCTGAGATGAGGCATATACAAAACTGACACTTACTCGTCCGTCTCAAACGGGAACACTATATTTGTTCGAGATTACCATAAACTATACACATAAAATTACAGTACGTAACACTACCAATATACAAAGCATCTGCTTGAGGTTAATATAATATAATCAAGGCGATATGTTACATGTTCAAAATTTCTATTCACAATTTGCATGTTCACTCAATGTTCCAGCATTCAAGTGTTTTATATTGGAGTTACATAAAGTAGTTACGTTAATTCTCCAGATCCGTGATCATTCGTAATTCAAACTTCAATTGCATAATCAATGTATGAATGATAGCTATAACCATTGCATCAACAAAGGATACATGAAGTAATGATCAGTTCATTACTCATATTGTAAGCAGGCTCAACTAGACCATAAACATTTTCACGACCTTCGTAATACTCTGACGGCAAATCGGACATTCGCTTAAGCCAGACGAACACCTATAGCAACAGCATACGTGACCACAAGGAAGAAAGATGACATCTCGCTAAAAACATGGAACGAATATAAATGAAAAACGTCAACAACGCGTTACGAAAGATCGCGAAATCTTATGAAGATTGATAATAAATTATTCCTGAAATTACCTTTGCGTCCAAACATATAACACAAGAATTTTCCTCGCTATATTCAATGGAGTCAATAACAGGTATACTTGATGGTTCAGCTGGTGCACTTGGTGAAGCAGGAACAATAAAAGCAGGCGTTAAAGCATTTTCCTTCGCCTAAAGTAAAGTAAAATAAAAATAAAATAAGGTAAAATAAGGTAAAGTAAGGTAAAGTAAGGTAAAGTAAAGGTAAAATATAAAGTAATAAGGTAATTAGAAAAAGAAAGTTATTAGTGTAATAAAGTAAAGATTAAAGTTCAGGTGGTAATAAGTAAAGTAAAGTAAAAGTAAAATTAAAAGGTAAAAAAGGTAATAAAGATCAGAAAAAGTATTAAAAATAAAATATGGATAGTAAAAGGTAAAATAAAGAAAATGGTAAAAAGTAAAGTAAAAAAGTAAGGTAAAAGATTAAAGTAAGGTAAAGTAAAAAGTAAAAAAAAAAAAATAAGGTAAAGGTAAAGTAAAAAAGGTTAAAAAAAGGTAAAAAAGCAAGGATAATTTCATTAGATGCTCTAATATTTGGCATCAATACCACAATAGACAGTTATCATTAAAGGAAATAACGTGGAATCTCGAAAGTAGCCCGACGGCTACTTTGGGGAAGCGCATAGATTTGACTAGTTATTTTCAGCATGTGTTAACTCCAATGACTAACTCTTAATCCACGCTTTATAAACATTATCTTAGTGTAGGGTTGCGGTAGTTGACACAAATGTACAAGATACTTCGATAAAAGTGCAAATGTTGAAGGCTCTCAAAAGTTCTATAGAAAAATAGAGCGTTTACTTTCAAAGGAGGCTGTTTCTTTCGGGGAAAAGCTAGCTACTTTCGAGACTCAACGATATATACATCGAAATAAATAGCAGATAACATCCATAACAGAAAACACAACTTCACCTTGACATGTTCACTCTCAGATTCCAATTTCTTCGTTTTCTCGGCTGCTTTCTTTTCTTCATCCAATAAGACCCGAACGGCTTGTAAGATTTTCCAACGAAGTCCAAATTCGTGAACACCAATCTGACAAACAGGAAAGAGAAATGTTGCACAATTCTCCGAAATTACAATACAGAAGCAAATCTATGAAATACGCATGCATAAGCTGACATCATAGCAGCAACTTCTTCAACCTTAGTCAATACCTGTTTTAAATCATCATCTTTCAGATTGCGAAGAATTTGCCAGGAAATTTTATTGCGAGCAAAGTTGGCAATGTAATCTTGAGCATGCGCATCAGCAAGGACATGAGCGACGTTTTCATCACAGCCGTTTTCCTAAGGAAAAATTATGGATATTTGGGAATGTTTTTCCTCCACAGCTAAGTCACCCAATATACTCATGTACCCAACCGTGTCCTGTCATGTACCATGTCACATCTTATTATGTTTTTTTTGTCATGTCCTTTCATGTTTTAACATATGCACAGTCATGTCCTGATATGTGAACTAATCTTCACAAAACGCGCAATAACATGATTGATTGTATAGATACTCAGATACACAGAGGTACATACCTTGATGATAAGTGTTTCAGGTTTCTGATCCATCAATCGCTGGAATTGAATTAACCAGTAATCTTCAAACTCTCCCTCTCTTCTTTCTTCCAACTCCACCTGAACAAAATGTAAAAACTACTTCAGTGTGTTTCTCCCATGTAAACTTATAGCTCATTATCATGAAATATCCATGGGTGTACATATGCTATATCACGTTATCATTACACATCCATACGTGTACATATTCCAAATAAATAAACACACTACCAGTCGCTTGGCCAATTCTTCTTCTCTTTTCCTCCGTTCTTCCATCAACTGAACAAACATTTCCGCAAGGGCTTGCCGATTTGATTCCAAAACAGCCTATCATAAAAAAGACACTCAAAGAAGACAAGCCCGAAGTAGACTGGGAACTGCGAACATTGCTTTAACTATGACATTGATCTGACATGTCTAGAGGTAAAAAAACATGTCTAGAGGTAGTTAACATTTGGCTTCCTACCATATTATCCTCTTTCTTCTCCTTCTTCCGTTCCATTTCCAAAAAACTCAGCTGTTGAAGTTCGCGTTCCAGTAACTCAAGCTACAGAAGAGGAATTTATTGTAGCTATACTACGAATGTAAAAACAGAGCTCTACGTGAGCGATGGAATGTGCTCATTCCCACAAGTTACCTGAGTGGTTATTCGAAGATGTTTATCGTCGGTCTGAAGTTGGAGAACACGAAAAGCTTCCATTTGAGCAAAGTCCTAAAAGCAACTTCATTTGTTTATTTGCTGTTCACGATAGAGTTATTCTTCGACCTTCCCTCCCTCCCTCTCCGTGAACTTCTACTGAAATTCAACGACAGAGTTATTCTTCCACCTCCCTTCCCGTGAACTTTTACTGAAATTCATAACAATCCTTACAAGAACATTTATTACATTGGCAATGCTTTCATCTCATAGGAAGGATTTTTACCTCATTTGCGATATTTTTCAACATATCTGAATAGTCTTTATCTTTTGCGATGAGAAGTTCGTCGATTTTCATGGAGTGATCAAGTGCCCTGTTCATAAATATCGAAAAATGGAGGTCGATTATTGCTCGGATGGATGATGTTAATATGAAGAACGAGCTGGGATGGATTCATGATATTTCACTTCTAAAGTGTCCCCTTCACACCAGGCATGTCATTGGATTGTTCACGATAGTTTACTTCCTAAAGTGTTCCCTTCAAACCAGGGATGTCCTGGATTTATTCATGATATTTTACTTCCTAAAGTGTACCCTTCAAACCAGGCGCTTTAACGAGCATTTAAATAATGTACATAACATACAAGGTTTATAAAAACCTTCAAAGACCATAATTTTTATGCACAAGATTATACATACGTACATTAAAAATTCAATGGCTGTAAAAAAAATCACACTTCGGGAATTTAAAAATGCATTTAAGGCATTGGCTGAGCCATTCGTAGTCGAACTAATTAAATACCCTTTTTATATACCCCGCCCAATGTACATAATATATAATGCATAAAAAATATAATGTATATTGTAGTGATGTATATACATTTAATAAATAAAGAGTTTGTATTTTATTGAGTATATCAGCCTATACAAGTCCGGACTTTTCGATACCATCAAATAAGAAAAAATAAACATGGTAATGGATATAAATTGACATTTCCTTCACTGAGAAACATAGTAATGGATATAAATTGACATTTCCTTCACTTAGAAACATGATAATTAATATAAATTGACACTTCCTTCACTTAGAAACATGGTAATGGATATAAATTGACATTTCCTTCACTGAGAAACATGGTAATTAATATAAATTGACACTTCCTTCACTTAGAAACATGGTAATGGATAGAAATTGACACTTCCTTTACTTACGATTTCATCGCTTCAGAATTGGCTTGGTTTTTCATGTTGAGATAATCCTCAAGCAACTTTTCCTGGTTTTATCATTTTCGAGCAAAGCATTCATGGCCGCCAATACTTCTTTCTTTCGAAGCTTTTCGGCGTCCTCTTGCGTCACCTTAACTAGATTCTCCATTGCAATTTTGTCTTTTTCCATCTGTTCAAGTAGTTGCTCTGAATACTTTGTCCTTTAGGGGATAAGATGGGTAAAATGCAAAGTTTTTCGCAGTGATTAATTCTGTAACAAAACTGTTATCATGATGAATCTTGAAATATTTAGGTTTTATTGTGTTGTCATTACGAGTTACGTTGTTTGTAATAAAAACCAAGTCCTCCATCAGTAGTGATCTGATGTAGAAATTTGAGTTCTTATGTACTCCAGTCTAGTGTCGTCATCAGGAGTGATCTGATGTTGAAACATGAGTTCTTATATACTTCAGTCTATTGTCTTCATCAGGAGTGATCTGATGTTGAAAGTTAAGTTCTTATATACTCCAGTCTAGTGTCTTCATCAGGAGTGATCTGATGTTGAAACATGAGTTCTTATATACTCCAGTCTAGTGTCTTCATCAGAAGTGATCTGATGTTGAAACATGAGTTCTTATATACTCCAGTCTAGTGTCTTCATCAGGAGTGATCTGATGTTGAAACATGAGTTCTTATATACTCCAGTCTAGTGTCTTCATCAGGAGTGATCTGATGTTGAAACTTGAGTTCTTATATACTTCAGTCTATTGTCTTCATCAGGAGTGATCTGATGTTGAAACATGAGTTCTTATATACTCCAGTCTAGTGTCTTCATCAGGAGTGATCTGATGTTGAAACATGAGTTCTTATATACTCCAGTCTATTGTCTTCATCAGGAGTGATCTGATGTTGAAACTTGAGTTCTTATATACTCCAGTCTAGTGCCATTATCAGGAGTGATCTGAGATTCGAGTCATGCCAAATTCATGTCTTCACTATACATGCTACGCATAAAACATGACTTGCACAATTGTCAAAACTAACCTATCATTCATTTGCAAGATGGCCGACACTCTTTCATTTGCCAGTTGCTCCTCTGCAAACAAAAGAAAACTGCAATATAAACATCAAATGAAAAATACACAACGTGCATTTGCATGAACAAACCTTTGGCTATACTGGTCAAAGCATGATTCATCTTCCTTTCTTTGTTTATTTGCTCAATAAGAAGCTTCTCCTTTGCTTTGCTGTCATCCTACAGAGAAATATCGTTTCTTCAATATCTCAAAATCAGCAACAAAGTATTTATTGATGCATTTCAAATTCTTCGAAAACACTACCCAAACATAAAGCACTGAATATACCAGAGTTCTCAAAGGGTTCTCTTGGGATAACATTGGATAAACCCTTGTGATGGACAATACCTGCGATAATGCTTTCAACATGTCTTCTCGTTGTTTCTTATTCATTGCAATTAGTAATGCTTCTTCCTCCTTAGCTTGACGAATTTGCTGTTCCACCATTAACTTGTCAAGCTTCTCTGCTCTTTCTCTTTCCCGGTCTTGTATCTTTTTCTGGGAGTCATGAAAACATACAAACAGTTCGACGCATTTCACCAGGAGGGGCACACATTAGTGGGGGGTGGGGGTGGGGAGCTTTTGTGAAGGAGTAAAAGAAATCTGATCAGAGACTGACAAAGGATGAAAAAAGTCCGTCTAGCTAAAATTGTAAACTTAATTTTCAAATACAGGCACTAAAAAATGGGTCACGGAACGCGCAACACAAAACCGCCAACTTTTTGGATGGATGTGCATTTTGATACAAGTGTGTGTTCATTATAGAATGTGTTGAGTCATTTTACTGTAATTGAAAAGATTTAGCTCAGTTACCGTTGCCTACAGACTTGATCTAAACATTATCAATCTACATGAAGAATGCTCTCATCCAAAATTTTCCCAAAATTCCTCTCAGTTTTTCTTTACAACCAGTATTTATTATTTGCGAAGATTTAGCTCAGTTACCGTTGCCTACAGACTTGATCAAAACATTATCTATCTACATGAAGAATGCTCTCATCCAAAATTTTCCCAAAATTCCTCTCAGTTTTTCTTTACAACCAGTATTTATTATTTGCGAAGATTTAGCTCAGTTACCGTTGCCTACAGACTTGATCAAAACATTATCTATCTACATGAAGAACGCTCTCATCCAACAATTTCCCAAAATTCCTATCAGTTTTTCATTTCAACCAGTATTTAAAATGGCACCTGGATATGCTGATCTTCAAGTTCGGCATTGTTTTCAGGAAGCTTGATGTTCAAACCACCATCTAATTAAGAACAGACATTTCGCGAAGTCAAATATCGCGACATCAAAGAAACACAATTTTATTACTTCGATAGACAACTTCATACCCAGAACAGGCAGGAGACATTTTGATGGAGGTACGTACTCAATGCCAGCAGCTAAAAATAAATATTAAATAACAATAACATGAAGTACCTGCATCGTGAGGACGGCCACATATGTACACAACATATTTTAGTTCTGCTGCTATGTTAACTTTAGAGCTTTATCTATTAATTTCTTTAGAAATGTATTGTTGTTACAGTGATTGAACAGCGAGTAAAATTCACATAGCGCAACAACGTAAACTGCTGACCAAACCATTGCATTTCACGTTAAACTGCAGTGCATTTTTGAATTCCAAAACAACAAGTGTGACCAAAAACATACAGTAAACATACAAAAATAAATTTACCCACCAGTGCAAAGACTTTTCATCATTTCATCAGTTCCTGCGGTGGCTATCTCTATGGAACAATGAAGAAAAAATATCATCAGCCAAAGTTGCTCAGTGGAATGAGAGTTTGTTTAATTTGATGGATAGACAAGTTACAAATGGATAGTGGAGGTGGTAAGGAGATAAGTATGTACAAAATAATAAACCACTTCAATCATGGAATATTCATTTACCTTGAGATGGAAACACCATACTATTGGCATCAACAATCAAATTCTATAAATAAGTTCAAAACAAGTTCTATAAATACGTGCACAATTTGAAACTGTGTTTGAAAATAAATTTAGGCAAAATGGAAATACGTAGACTAAATTGACACTGATTTACCTCCAATGTTTTGACATTTGCCAGAGATATTGGTAGCCTTGTCACAAAATTATGCGATATATTTAATGTTCTTAATGACTTCATGTTGCCAATCTCATCTGGTAACATCTTGAGTTTATTCCCTACATTAAAAGTAAGTTACAGTTTTCCGTTGTTGGAAAGTTATCATCAATCACTAGTATGTTCCCTAGACAGTTTTCCGTTGTTGGAAAGTTATCATCATTCACTAGTATGTTCCCTACATTAAAGGTAAGTTACAGTTTTCCGTTGTTGGAAAGTTATCATCAATCACTAGTATGTTCCCTACATTAAAAGTAAGTCACAGTTTTCCGTTGAAAGTTATCATCAATCACTAGTATGTTCCCTACATTAAAAGTAAGTTACAGTTTTCCGTTGTTGGAAAGTTATCATCATTCACTAGTATGTTCCCTACATTAAAGGTAAGTTACAGTTTTCCGTTGTTGGAAAGTTATCATCAATCACTAGTATGTTCCCTACATTAAAAGTAAGTCACAGTTTTCCATTGTTGGAAAGTTATCATCAATCACTAGTATGTTCCCTACATTAAAAGTAAGTTACAGTTTTCCGTTGTTGGAAAGTTACCATCAATCACTAGTATGTTCTCTACATTAAAAGTAAGTTACTATTTTCGGTTGTTGAAGAGTTATCATCAATCACTAGTATGTTGAAAACATGAATAAAAATAGAAAAAAATAATATTGATTATACTTATAACTAACCTTGAACATTAAGAGTTTGCAAAGAAGATAATTTATTTATTTCCTTAGGAACAAACTTCAAGCTGTTATTCGCGACATCTAAAACCTAAAGACAAAAAAAATGTAGGTAGTATAATCACGAATTGTGGCAAGTTAATTTTTTTTTCTTAAAAACCTGAAGACTTGTCAAAAACTTTATTTCTTCCGGCAGCTCCTGGATTAAATTTCCGTGAAGATCTAACACCTACAGATCATAAGACTTAGTTCATGACAATTATTACATTTCCACGCTGAGCCTGACAACTTTAATCATTTTGGAACACACAGGGTAAAAGATTTGAGTTAGAAACAACAACAAGACTGCTACATGAAAAACAGCATTCTAGGCAACATTTTATGAAATCAGGCCAGAGGTGAAGCTAGCACAACCTTTATTCTTACAGGGTAAATTTTTCAGCAAAATAAATGTGCAGTTTCATTCATTGTTCTTCAAGTGATTGAACACAAAAACATTTGCATTGTACTAGTAAAAATGGGTAGGCTTTGCCAATGAATCACATAACATGTGGAATGTGAATAACATGACAAATTGCAAAATCAACAACTGAAATTTGAACAAATCACTACTAAGTGTAACTACAATGCAAATGATTAATCATTACACTGCAATTAAATTGTGGTAGCAAAGCGCTAATTTTGTTCTTGTTTTGCATGACATGACTTACACAAGTGTCGCATTTAATCTCCCATTTAAACAAGACCAGACTTACTCGTAGTTGTGCAAGGTTCTTGAGATCACCACCACTTTTAAGATCTTTTATACTGTTATCATGAAGGAGAAGCACCTTAATTTTAAATTTATTAGACATTAATGCTACATATTTACATGTTAACAATTTAAAAAAAAATGAACAAATGAATAAGAATTAAGATAGTAATGAGCTTGTTTCAAAAACATTTCCTTATGCATATACGTGTTTTAGTTATTCAGTAAAGAACTGATTTAAAAGAAAAGGCTGCATGCATACATATTAAAATATACAAATCTCACTGACCTCTTTCTGCAATACTTTGCACATCGAGTAAACTCTTTCTGGAATCTGTAAGTGTGATAAAAATCACATAATTAATAAACAAATTTAACCAGACTGCGAGTCATGAGCTTATGTGTAATGTATGTAAAACCATTGTTTTCATTTGAGAAAAAACCAGACTACCTTAGTAAAGCCTTTATAGGTTATGAGAAAAAGCAATCATTGCTAGAGGTTTCTGGCTACACTAATATTATCTTTCTATGTAGGTTACAATATTATGGCCGTGAAGAAACTTGGCAAATAACATAAAAAAGGATTTTCGTGAGAGCACATTGGTTATTAGACATTTAATATAGACGACAAATTTCGTTATAGCAAACACGTTTCAGCATACTTTATGCCATCTTCAGTGTGAAGTGAATCAATATAGGAATTTTATAGGAAGTTTACATGATAATATGTTATAGTTAACATGTTTGCCAAAAAGAAATTTGTCGTCTATTTTAAATGTCTTATAAAAAAGGAACATATTCATCATTCATTTAACTGCTTTTTAAATACCTGTTTGGCTCCACATGAAGAGATATCAAATGTCGGCTCTGGATCATCTTGAGCCTGTAGGAAACGAAAAAGAAAATCGCCAACTTCATCCATACTCCACAAACAAAACCTTATCTTATCGAAGCAATTTCCTTACATTAAGAATTATGCATCAAGCCACAAAGTTCTCACATGAAACCACAACTTATAAGATAAAACACATGAATAATACTAACTAGAACTAATTTTCGCTCGATTGCACGTTTATCCTCAACACTTCTTTGCTCTTTCTTCTTGAACAGTGGCATGACAGAAAATAAACAAAATTGAAGTCTTGTAATGTATTGTCATTGTTTTGAATTTTATATAACGTAGTTGACGCATGACGGGCAACAGTGACGTAACTCCAACAATCTTTCCTAAAATATCATTACGTCATCATACAAGATGTTTCGTAATTGTATCATAAGGCATGAGTTGATTAACTCTCAATTTAATTTGTCAAAATGTTGAATTGTACAAGAAATTCATTTTAGTATTCTTTTGCAAATTCTTTTATTTGATTGTCTACTTTAACATGAACTATCACCTCAAGGAAATCCCAAGCTCGCAATCTAATTGTCGAAGAGAAATACCCAGGAAATTTGTCATTATTCTAATCATGATGCCATACTTAAGGGAACTTTTTGCACACTTCAATAACACCATTATTTACTGAATAAATTACAAGCAATATTAGCAATCAAATTAATGGTATAAATCAATCGTTACATTGTTACTCAGATTATGTCTAACTTAACTACATTTTTTTAATATCATAAAAAATATCCCCCCGGCGAAAGTTTACTCCATCCCCGGGCATGGATGAAGGCAGAAATGGGCTTATCCACGCCATGTACCATCGTGTACCCATGACATCTTTAATGTTATCAATGTATCCTAGATCGTACTCCCTTTTCCCATGCTTGTTTTCATATGTGACTTGACCATTGAGAATAAGTTTTATTTGAAGATACAACAAACAGGAAAAAAGAAACAGCGATAACACAGAGATTCCCGCCAAAAACAATACATAAAACTGGTAGCCAGTTGAATACCCACATATAAGCATGATAAATGGCATAAACATTGTGAAAAAGGTAACCAAACTGAATCCACCAGCAATACTGTGAATGTATTCAAAATGATATATGTTTGCATACAGGGCACCAAGCCATAAATATACAACCATCATGAGGTAATAGCGATAGTTCTTGTAGCCAACGCATGTTCCACCAAATACACAATGGTGATCTCGTTTGAGGATGCATGTGTCACACACGTGGCAATGATATGATCTTGGTGGTGAATTGAGCTGACAGAAAGGACAGTAGGTCCAACCAGGTTTGAGTACAGCAGGAAGGCTGGCACTACCACTGGTTGTGTCCGTAGCCATCATGAAAAATAAGTTTGAAAAGACGTTAAAGGCCGCAAAAAATGCACAAACCGTATGAATTAGCCACCATGTAGAGTATGGTTCGTGATATATAGGCAGAACAGTTCGTAGTTCAAAATTCACTACAATTACTAAAGTTATTACCATAAAGCAGCAAGCGATACGATCTCCCGTACGCTTTGGAAAAAACGTGTGGCCAGACGACATGTTTCGACGAATGAAATGGCAAAATTGTTTACTTTTTATAAAATTTGTAAACAAAACAAACCACACCTGAGTCAATAATTTAATTCGTCTGAGCCTGCGGGTCCAAAAGATACCGGTCAAAAAATAGGTTACTTTATATTTTATGGCAGTATTTCTAGAGTTCATTAGACTCAAAGTTTATATTGACAACACGTTGGAAACTACCAGATACGTAAAAGCAAGAACTCAAAATCTGTAACCATAATAATGAAAGAATTTTGAAAACCATTGAAAACAATAAAATATTTTGCCTTGCGTATACTACTTCATCTTACATCAAACAAATTAAAACTGTCCAGCATGGCGGACGAAGTTCATCGTAAAAAGCAAACAATTTTGTTCTTGAAAACCCAAAACGTGAATGACAACTACGAAAAGCTCTTTACCGAAAAGAATTACTTTCCCGTATTTATACCTGTACTTTCATTCGATTTCATCAATCAGAATGAACTTAGAGAGCGACTACGACATCCACAAAACTGTCGCGGTTTGATCTTTACAAGTCAACGCGCTGTGGAGGCGGTCGACATTTGCGTCAAAGATACCAACTTTATCGAAGAATGGAGCTCAGATTTGCACGAAAAATGGTCCAAAATCCCAGTTTTGTAACAGGAAAAGCGACAGGCAAATACGCGAGAGAGAACTTGAAATTTGAGACGATTGTTGGTGAAGAATCTGGTTGCGCCGAGGAACTTGCGAATATTATTGTAAACAAGCTCACTGCGTCAGATGCAGGTAAAGAATTGCTTTTTCCTTGTGCTAACATAAAGAAAGAAACATTACCAAACATAGTGATGGAGAAAGGATTCAAGATTTGTTGCATTACGGCTTACTGTACCAAACCTCATCCAGATATTATTGAAAACATACAGAAATTATTTTGTGCGGAGCGCGACCTTTGTGAATTGGATGCATCGGAAAAAACCGCCGGGAATCCGTCGGGAAAAGCAGTTGTCCGTTCGCAAGAGCCTGCATGCATCGTTTTCTTTAGTCCATCTGGAGTTAATTTTGCGGGCGAAGCTTTGCGAAAACACTTGAAGACATTCAACGAGTCAAAGCTAGTTGCTATAGGAAAATCAACTGCTAAAGAGTTAGATAAACACAAATTATTTGTTTCGGGAACTTCGCAAAAACCAAATCCAGAATCACTACTTCAAGTAATCAGTTCTATCTTGGAATAGCTTAGAGTTGTTCGCTTTAAATTTGGAACATATATTACTGATATGCTTTATAAGTCATCACAGACCAATATTGAACAATATTTTGAAATAAAGAATGTTCATTAATACCTCTATGTACAAGAAGTGATTGTGAAAACCAAAATCGCGATGTGTAATTTTTATGAAATTTAATTTGTAAGAAGTTCATTCACAATTGTCACCTCAAAGCTTCCATTATCTGTATAGCACACTTGGCAACCTGGGAATAGTCATTAAAAATGACCTGTTAGAAAGCAAGATGTGATAATGAAATACAAAGTACCACAAACAAATCAATAATTTTTCACAATATGCAACACAACGAGAAAGCATTGTTGAACACATATACAATACTTGTATGGAATACTCAACTTGTCTACGTTTTGCTGGCAGGCAAAATTGAACTATTGTGAATTTTTTTTGTTACTCTGAAGATGACTACCGCTAAGGATGTCGAAACGTCAGTTAACATCAACTACAACAGTCCCTCTCAGGACTCTACTAACCTGGACGATCTACATCTACAAACATGTAACGATACTCTCGGGTTCAAACCATTTACCTACTTTACAAGCTAAATAGTTAACCTCTCTTGGGATTAACCTGCCTGCCAGCATCGTTTGTAAATCCTATGTACTTTTCGCAAAAAAATACTCTGTTTAATACATATATGGTGTAGAATTAATATGAGTGTAATTTAAGCGGCGATGCTGACAGCTTAGCAACACCGTAGTACCATAAAGTTATTGTATAAGCAATGAAAATTCCCATACTTACCTTGGAGGGGTCTGATATGGATGTTAGTGGATTAATCAAATTATGAAAATCCAACGTTTTAGCATATGATACACTTTCTTCGTCCTTCCAAATCTTAACAAAAAAAGAAAGATAAAGGATCTAGCTCAAAACTTTCTTTGACATGTACAACCAACGTTCCTCTAAGTGCCCTTTAAAACAAGGCATTGAAATGACCACTTTGTAACATTTTGTTGGAGGTTACTCTGCGATAACTAACACAATAATAAACACTGGCATACCAACGTCCCCAACGCAACCATAGCACGAAATTTCGCTTCGTTGTCCTTCAAATAATTCATTACCTTAAAACGCAATGCAAACTTCAACACAATCGAAAACTATTTTCATGGATATTTTTATGCAACAATGCACAACACACTCGAATCTTATTATCAGAGAGCGTAACTCCGCTCATGCAGGGTGCTTGTATCATAAAACAAATTTCAAACAGGGAATTATTTTGAATTACCGTTCGCAAACTGTTTATCCAAGGAGCTTTGAGCTCGAGACCTTTTTTATCTTTAGACTCAATAGCATAACTATTAAAAAGAATTGAATGAGGAAGTCTTAAGTGAAAGACACAACATATGTTTTTAACCTATGTGATGTTATAATAATTTACCAAGGTTATTATGTTATTACAACAGTTTAACATAAGGACACGATAGTTTACATGAGGATACAATAGTTCACATGTGAATACAATAACTTTTCATGAGGATACAATAGTTTTACACGGGAATACAACAGTTTTATATGAAGATACAATAGTTTTATGTTGGGATACAACAGTTTTAGATGGAGATACAATAGTTTTATGTTGGGATACAATAGTTGTACATGGAGATATAACAGTTCTAAAAGGGGATACAACACTTTTAGATGGGGGATACAACAGACCGGTTTTACCAAGTTCAAATAACGCGTTCCATTTAATACTGGTGTGTAATTTTTTCAGGCGTGCAAAAATGGTGGCCATTCTTACTTTAGAAAAATTAAACTTTAGTATTAGAGAACAAATTTTGCATACTGTTAAATCGACGTGTAAAGCGAAGCTCGCATGAAGATGAAAGTTGAACTTACTTTATAAGAACTGTACATGAAGCAATTTGAGTCATTTTATTGGTATATCGACAATTATCGTTGATGCATTGCTGGATCTAAGAGAAAACAAAGAAAAGCATGTACGCTGTCTTTATAATAGCTTATGGAAAATACAACACACACCAGATATATGCAATAATTCTGAGAAAACAGCATTGAGCCGACAAAATTTAAGCTGTAAGCATATAAATGCATAATGCAACAACACGCCAAAAAGGGGAAGTTTAGACACAAAGGATCGCGAGTTAAGCCTAGTTCTCATTCATTGAAAAGCGTCGTTAGAATCGGCGACGTTTATCGCCGATGGTCGGTGATATCGCCGGTTTATCGCCGATGGTCGGCCTAGTTCTCATTTAATGAAAAGGGTCGTTAGAATCGGCGACGTTTAACGCCGATGGTCGGTGATAGCAAGTGCACAAAATATTCTCATAAATCGGCGATGATATAAAAGCCAACGCGCTTTAGTATCCATACCAAAGTTTAAAATGCCTCCTTTTAATCTAAAGTTGGTAATTTCTCTGCAGCTTCAATCGTATGTAATATACGTCATCACCGAAATTGCCTGACTAAACAGATTCTCGTTCTAAAAGAGGTTTTAAGAAAGTAGCACACGGCAATGATCGGCGATGATCGGTAATGATCGGCGATGATCGCAAGAAACGAATTGTTTTGTTTCTAGCGATGGCAGCGCCGATGTTCGGAGACCGTAACAAAAAATCGGAAACACAATTTTCAATGGGTTCCCATTGATCGTAAGCGCTCGCAGATGTCGTAAAAGCTCTATGCCGACGTTTTGCAATGAATGAGAAGTAGGCTTTAGAGAAAGATCGCCTTCCAAATGCATACAGCGTCCAACGAACAATGAAAACTGCGCGCACCTCTTCTTTTTGTTTTAACATCACAATTCGGCCTTGCTGGTGAGCGAAAAGATTTGAAAATATTCTGAATACGACAGCGACGGTGAGGTCATGATTCTTGGCCTTATCACACCTAAAACGGCGGTAAGCCAGCGCCAATAAAAGAAAAAAACGACAATTATTTCGATTCGACGAGATTGGAAAGGCAGACATCAAACACAGTGCTTATACGTAAATCATCGACAGCTTTACTTTACCCAGTAATTTTTAATAGATGCTGAACAAGCTCATCGCCATTCTTGATAAAATCCTGTGAAATGACGTCATCTCGAATGAACATTCTTAGGACATCTAATCCTACAAGCGTACGATGAAAAATAAAAACGAGATGATATTATCATAAATATCCATAAAACGTGTGGCCGCCATTTTCAACTGTGTTGTTAAAATTGTCAAACATGTATCATATTTAACTTTAATTAACTTTTCACACAACATTTACAACATCGACTTTACTACTTTTTGACAACAAAAACGGTAGTTAAAAACTAGTCGAGAGCTTTATATAACCGGCTTACTTGTAAGCATGATAACTCACAAGATATCAAGCTTATTCATAGAAAATTTTCTGACCGCATTTCCAATCGGCAAAGAAAAAATCGATTAAAATCTGGCTGAATTACATTTGATTAAAATATGAAGTAGAAAATAACGAAGATTTTGTTAGGCAATTGAAGAAAAACAAATCCATCAAACGACAAACCTGGGTAACAAATATCAGTTGGCCATCTGATTAATTTTGTAATGGTATCAACTTGTTTAGGAGTCAAAGGATTCGAAGGACTTTTTTTATCCACAGCGACGGACAATGCCTCTGTTGGGTACGTAAAGATGATGAAAGTTATAATCAACAATAATATCAATAAAAATAAAAATAATAAAGGGCGTCATAATAATAATATTTCACGATGGTGAATGACAACTGAGAATTTCTTAGAACTATTGAAAACCAAAATAAAGATGGCAATGAAACTAAACGACGCGATGCTTTCGGCAGACTTCTCGCGTGGTGTCACGTCTGCTTCGATGAAAACAAAAATTACTTCTATTCACAAGAAATGGGCAGACGTGCCATCTGTCTGTGACGAAGTGTCATTTCATTTTACAGTTATCTTTATTTTGGTTTTCAACAGTTTTAAGAACTACTCAATTGTTATTAACCATGACAAACACGCTATTCATGCGGAGATGTATCGTGTCATTTATTTTAGATATCTTTATTTTGGTTTTCAACAGTTGCTTTTAAGAACTACTCAATTGTTATTAACCATGACAAACACGCTATTCATGCGGAGATGTATCGTGTCATTTATTTTCATATATCTTTATTTTGGTTTTCAACAGTTCTTTTAAAAATTACTCAATCGTCATTCACCATGAGAAATATTCTATTCATGCGGAGATGTATCGTGTCATTTATTTTCAAATATCTTTATTTTGGTTTTCAACAGTTCTTTTAAGAACTACTCAATCGTCATTCACCATGACAAACAAGCTATTCATGCGGAGATGTATCGTGTCATTTATTTTCATATATCTTTTTTGGTTTTCAACAGTTGCTTTTAAGAACTACTCAATCGTCATTCACCATGAGAAATATGCTGTTCAGGGAAATATTTAAGATTGTAACCACAGCCAAGTCTGTTTTGTAAAAACAATTCATGTTAATTGGTTGCGAGACAGGTTGGCAGAATAACTTCAGTGTTTCCTCGACTCGGATAAGTGATTTGAACGGAAAAATAGCTGTACCTTATACACAAAACTGAGTGATTTGTTTACCTTCAATTTCTGAAAAATCGTCATTGGAAAGCATCTGGTTCTAACGAAAGGAAAATACACAAATATTCGTTTTACTTGTACAAGATTAGACATAATACTTTATGTAAGACTATTAAGCGCTTCAATTAGTAGCACAACATTCCGTTCCCATGTAATTATTTTTTCAGGCTACGAGTTACCATTATGAATGATTTAACTGACTATGAATTTATGATACTGAACAACAGTCATCTTTGTAAATTGCTCTACCAAAATTTAACTTTCGATTTTAGCTAAGAGTTACGATCATGAAATTCTCTATATAATGCTGGCCACTAGTTACCACTGTGAAATTGCATCACCAACATTAACGTTTGATTCAAGCTACGAGCGACTATTGTAAAGCTCAATTTGTAATGCTGACACAAGTTATAATGGTGGAAAATTGAAAAGAAATAATTAATAACAAATCAAAATAGTCCACATTAAATTCAGATTTCTCATTAGAACGTGATCGATTGACGTCTACCGTGGAAAATGAAGAAATTTTAACCAAAATAGCTCAGACAAATAAAACAGATATAAAAATGAGAAGCGTGTTCTTTGAATGGTGGACCATCTTGTCGTAAAATGTTGAAATTTTTCTCAGTTCTTCAGTAGAAAGTCGTGTTGTCGTAGCCTTACCTTAACTTTGTGGATGATTGTCTTTCATTTCCTGTCTATATAAGAATACATTTTACTCAAGTTTAAAGCGTTTTCTCATACTGGACAAACCTCTTCATCTTCTCGACGAAGAATAAAAAAACGACACATAGTTAAGTATAGAGAGTCACTATTTGCTTGCTTGAGCACAGGTGGCTAATTATAGGTGAACAATACTACTAACCACGGATGTTGAGTAACTTGGTTTGTAGCTTCCTTGTCCTAACGTAAACAAATATAAAATGGTCAAACTTCCACAAAAAGTATGCACAATTCATATCTATGCATGGGCAGGTTTTCTTGGGAGTTCAGGGGGGGGATTTGGTGCACACACCCCTTAAAATGATCGAAAATGGCGAACATAGAGTAGATTATAGTCATAATGTTACTATTCGCTAAAAAATAAAAACGAGTAAGAGCACCGATGCAACCCCCTTGGAAACCCCCCTGTCAGACGACTATTAATCCACCTCCGTATACACGTATTATTAACTTTTATTTTGCAAGTTGAAGTGTGGGACATTTGGGGATCTCGTGTTGTCTTTTACCTGTAAAAGGATCAGCTCCACTATGAATGGCATCAGGCGCATTATCAGACGTTGATGCTCCAGGTATATAACGAGACCCGCCGGTAAAAGGGTCGGCGTATGAAGATTGATTGCTTTCGGCACCAATCGTTACCGACTTCGTTCTCGCCATGATGAAGTTAGCAACTTGATCGAGAAATTCTTGACTAAGCTGGTTCCTTTCTAAAAATTGCTGTGCGGCAAGCCATGGGTCGTCTAAAAAAGATAAATTCCATACAAAATATAGCGATAGGTTGATATGGGTCGCATTAAGACGAAGAGCAGATATCGCGGAGTTTCTATTGAACAGTTATTTTTACCTGTGATATTGTAAGGTAACTTCAATGCGGGTTTCCCTTCCTGAATATCAACATCAAACACATAATCATACTCCTGTCAAAGAAATCATAAATCATATCAATTAACAGAATTTTTACTACTGCTGTATCATTTAAGAAATAAAAGATGTTTACTGCGTTTGCAGAGGCTTATTCAAACCGAGGAGACCTTTGGGTGAGCTCGAGAGCAGATCAGTGCAAGTCAAGATTGAAAGTCGAGGGTTGCACATGCTCGAGAGTTCTCACAAACATCTCCGAGGTTTGCAGAAGACAGTGCGCAAACACGAAAAATCTTTTACTTCTTTCATAAAATAACAATAATGCGAAACAATAAAATTTAAAACAAATGTTTTAATTTTCCTTCTAACATGTATTCATGATTGATTTGCAAATTCTCTTTGATTGATTTAATGATTTATTGTGCTCAGATCGGTTTGCACAGGCTATAGACTATGCACGCGATATGTTGTTGTTATTTTATATTTACGGATAAAAATGACCTTTACATGAAAAGATCATATGATAAACATTGGATAGTTTCAAGTTGACAAATTCAATGAACACCTCCATTAAATCACGAATAACCGTGTTCCATTTGGTAGTTCAGGGAAAGAATACCATTTGAATCTACAATTTGACAATACCTTTCCTTCGAAAACTTTCTTTCCTGCACTTGTAGACGGTCCATCAGATCCACCGCCAGCTCCAACCACTTCACCAATCTAAATATCAATAAAGATCATCTTTCATACAAACGAGTCAATGTCAATTTCGCCACTCGTGTCGACTATATGGCTTGAGGAATGGATATGGGAAGGTCGATGATTGGATGACTCGTATTCATATTTGCATTATATGTCGAAATAAGTTCCTTTGAAATCCATTGTCTATGGCCTATGGCTTGTGGCATTTGGTCATTATGGATTCGTCATTGCAGAGTTTATGAAACTCAGTCATATCATCTCTTCTATCACCTTTAAACAAAGCTTGATCCCTCGTGAACATACCTTATTCCATACACTATCCGAATCATTCCACTGCAGGGAGAGAAACAGTTTTAAGGAGCAATTATTGCGTGAATTGTCATTAAATTGTAAATAGACTTTCCCACCTGATGGACCTCGATCGTTCCACCTCTCTTTATCAAAAGATTCTGTCCACTTGATTTACCTAGAGCAAGAACGACACGTCTATCATTGGCAAAGAGGCTTGGATTCAGATATGGAGGTGTAATAACATATTAAGTCAACTCCCTAATATCCTATATAATTTATCATATATTATACATAATTGATTCTGCCCACTTGATTTACCTAGAGCAAGAACGCAAATTAAATTCTTCACGTCTATCATAGGCTTGGATTCACATATAGAGGTGTAATAACATATTAAGTCAACTCCCTAACATCCTATATAATTTATCATATATTATACATAATTGACTTTACATTACATGACTGATTTAATAGCACGCATCCTTACAGGCTAAAAGTGGCCCACCTGGTCTTAATAATGCCTCGGGTCCGGGTAGATCTTTGACATCAATATCGCCTAGTTTGCCATCGCTTAAAGACAAGGCATTTTATCAAATATACATTGCTATAAAACGACAACACTGAATATAGTTGAATGATATCCTAAAATTTATTTTTTCGATAAAAATTATCTCACCTGGAAACTTGCACAGGAACAGCATGACTGGCGACCTCTTCTTGAAATTGCTGCATAAAAACAAGCCGATAATCTTATTTTAAGAATCATCTACTATGTGTACTCAAACAGTATGCACGCAAACCTTCAATACGTCTTCGTCTGCAATTCTTTGCGGATCGGATGTAAAAACACGAACGATACCGTCACTAAACAATTTAGGTTATATTTCTAAGATGCTCGTCATTTCAACAGCAGTGGGAATAGCCATGGCGTTTCCAGAGCCAGCTCACTCACATTCAAGTTAAAATAAAAAGATTTCCACTAACAGTTCAGCAAGGATAACCTGCAGACAGGCTACGCTATAAGTGAAAGATGCTCCAAAGAGGTTTAACCAACGGGTAATTAAACCCAAAGTCAATCGACGCGTAAAAGGCACATTAAGCACAGAATGCTCTAATGAGATGTATAAATATTTAACCCTTCAACCTTCAAGCCGTGAATAATTTAATCACGAAGGAAACCGTTGTACTTTAGATATCGTACCGATAATAATTAAACCAGTGACATTCTGCACGTTTCCACAACAATTTGCTGTTGCCATGGTTTCTCAAATAAAGTTTATTTTCTACCTTGAGCCGACAGCGATGTCCACCGTTGTGCCAGAGCAATTGTCTGAACGCATTGACCGTCTACACGGATTGAAGTCGCTGGCATGAGCAATTTGTCTGAACGCATTGACCGTCTACAAAAAACGGATTGAAGTCGGCGTTCTGTGATTTACATGAATAACTTTGACCAGCATATATCGTTTGTAGCATAAATTTGCTTTAAGATAAATTCCTTCAAATAATCCATTAAGAGACGATTTTAGGAATAGCATTTACAGGGAATTCCGATTTTAGAAATATGCACTGCAAGGCTGTTTTCAGATTGTTAATCAAACACTTCTACGTACGAAAGACAAGTTTACGTTATTGATATATATAATTATTGACAATGTTTGCTGCGTTGATGTTGTTTATTGCTCAAGAACACAAAACTTTGACATTTATATGAAATATCACATACGCCTGCAACTTAACTATTTGCACGAATGAAATTATAAATACCTTTCCAAACTCTGACAGTTCTGTCCTCTGATGTAGAGATGAAGCTATCGCTCTCGTTCGGAAAAACGGCGAGACTAAAAAGGAGAAAAAAAGTCCCATATCAAGGGAAAATGTTTACAGCAAACATGAACATGGTTAGATACAATATAACGACTTAAATCATACATAATTATTACACATACCTGTAAACAAAGTTTGTATGACCTTGGTAAACTTGTATGCAATGACCAGTTGTACTCCATTTGCGTATGGTACTATGAATAAGAATGCAGTTGGTAAAGATGACGTGGTGTTAGGAAGAATTTTTATTACAATTTATAAGATCAAATGAATTTACTTACTTGTCGTTTGAACTGGAGATGAATTCACTTGAAGAAAGAACGCTTATGCTACGGACACAGTCGGTGTGACCTGTACATGTTTTAATACATGATCCGGCCTTCCATATCTTTATTGTCCTGTCTGCAGAGGCTGCGTGTATCACATATTTTGAAAGAGATTGTTCAATTGATATAGTTGGTAGGATTTATAAGATCATCAATATAATTATTTCAGACAACAAAGGCAACAGCAAAAAATATCCTTGGCTGGTTTTTTTATTCAACATGCACCTGAATGATGTGAAATGATAACAAACCTGTGAGCATTAATCCTTGGTCTGTTATCATGGCCACAGACCAAACAGCTTGCTCATGACCTTTTAAGTTCATTATGCATTTTCCATCAAGCCATACCCTGGCTGTTCTGGTAATATAAAGCCAAAGACAATGGCACATGAAAATATTACATATTTAACATACATTGAATCTAAGTATGTTGCTTAATGGTAAAATACATAATTAAACCTATCTTTAGGTTCCTGGTAGGATCCTAAAAGATCTTGAAGGGTCCTAAGCTATGATCTGATGAGATTTTATAAGATCCTGTAAGATGCTGCACAGGGTCCTATGCAGATCCTGGTTTTGTCAAATCCAGATCCTAAATAATCTTATATAGGATTCTACATATAACTTCACAGGATCCTGCGATGGATCTTCAACCACTCCTGTGCAGGATCCTGAATCATATTAGGATCTTGAAATAGAGAATTTACAACTTATGATCCTAGGTATACGAAACTCAACATTTATTTATTTGTATTAATTTGTCCAACATGGTACTTACTTGTCCCATGATCCAGACAGTATTGTACCATAATTTCCAGAAGTTATTGTACAAACGGCACCAGAGTGCCCAGGTAGTTTTTGAATTGGCTCTAAAAGAACATAACAAATTCTTGCAGTCTTAAGCATTCAAAACAACAATTCAAAATTCAGTTGGTCTTAAAGAGGTTGTCCTGTCAACCATAAGATGACTTGCCTTGACTTACGTTTTCGGCAGATTTGGTCGAGTGCTTTTAGACAACACTTGCAACAATGCCTTGCCTCCATTGGGCATTATTATGCCTCCACCAACAAAATGTAAACAAGGCAAGTCATCTCTAAGAATTTTGACTAAAATGATATTGAATACACAGTCTGCTTTGGATCAGTGTATGTTCAATGTCATTGGTCCAGTTCAAAATATAATCAAAATGCAACCATTTGACTAACTATAGTTAAGTATAATACCCAAAGATTCGATACTCCAGATCAAAATAAGATTATCGTGTCCACCAGTAACGATCAATCCTTCATTAAAGCAAAATACAAATGAAAGCAAAACAAAAACAGCTATAACACATGTGAAAAATTATTCAAACAAGGAAAATTGTTTCAAGGAAGCGTCTTTTCAACCTTTTCCCTACCAGATTAAAGACCCATACCAGCGTTGGCAGAGTAGGGAAAAAATCAATTAAAATGATAATTCTGTACCATGTGGATGTTTTTCTGTTGCAGGCATTGCGTGTACTGATGCTACGAATCCTTGATGACCAGAGAAACATTGTCCTTCCACAAACTCATTGGTGGAATCATCTCGTTTCCATACCCTAACACTTCGATCCCTTGACACTGAAACAAGACCACCAATTGGGAAAGTACTCTTGCAGATTCCTCGAACGTCCATTTCATGACCTCTAAGCACTGCACTGAGTTTGTAAGACATTATCTTCTAAAACTCAACGTAAAACGAGTATTTTTTTACAGAAAAGTCTGAATGCTAAAGTGCGCTAGACGACAGTGTTACTAAATTACATACCGCTGAAAAGCAATCTCAACAGGCTCAGCTAAGGTTAAATGGCTCTAAGTAATATAACATCAAAATATCGCTGTATAAATTCTATCACAACATGTTCTTATCATTATAAAAAGTATTTTCTGAACCTTCCTTGTTCAAGCTTCCCTTCGAGGTATCCTGGAGATGCAAAATGCGGTAGGTTTCCCGAAGTATAAAATGAGCCACATCGAACTTTTCATAAACCATGACCAGGCGACAATTTAAAGAAATATAGTGTAAAGCAAATTCCGCAGAAGCAAGACATGTCGAGATTGCAAAATATGCATCAAAGCAAGACGAGAAGTGAACTGTAAATTTTCGACTTTATTTAAAGTCATCTTCAGACAGATTGATATTTAAAACCATACATACACATATATATTTACAACGCATGAAATACTTCCGTTTACTTATTTCAAGCCTTGTAAATATATATCTGTATGTATGGTTTTAAATATCATTCTGTCTGGGGATGACTTTGAAATAAAGTCGAAAATTTACAGTTTACTTCTCGTCTTGTTTTGATGCATATTTTGCAATCTCAAGATGTCTTGCTTCTTCGGAATTTGCTTTGATCTATTCATTTTGTTTGTGTTGTAACTGTAAACTGTTGTTTTGGTTTTTATGAATGCACACAAGTGAACAGGTCTTTGCGAAGACATATTATTATATTCAACTTAAAGTATGCAGTAAAGTTATTTATTTGGTCTTTTATAATCAAAATATATCTAAAAACATTTGCAATGGAAAATGCTGACTCAGCTTAATTGCGCGAATGCTAATTTATGCATTAAATAAATTAAAATAATCCCTTCAGAATTGTTCACTGCATAAAATACCTTTTCTTCTGCAGCTTCACAGAGAGAGTTGCGGGTCAGACCACTTCATCAGTCACCCTTGTATTTTTACCATGGAAATTTAAGGATCAATTTGGAACAGAAGAGAAATAAAAGTGGAAGAGAAACATTCAAACCCGAACGTTTGATACATGACCCTATAAGCCTAGAGGAAAATCTATCTGTGTTAGATCAGTTGGATGAAAGCAGCGATTCAGATCTATTTTTCGAAAGTTCTTGCAAAGAAAGAAAGGATGATTTTCTCATAAGCGAAAAGAAAGTTAAAAGAACTGAAAAAAGGAATAATGTCATAGATGAAGCTGCGAACATTGCTGAAATCGATGTACTTCTCTTTTGTGGAAATGTAAGATGCAATGATTAATTTTGCAATTCATATTGCTGTCAACTAGGTAGAAATATTAGCCACATTTTTTCATTCATATGTTAGTGAGTTTTCTAGTTTTCAACAAATATTCGGACTGCTATCTGAAACATACAGACAAGTATTTATTGCTAAGGCCAAATTTTCAGGTTGATGGTGCAATGCAGGTGTTCAACAGATGTCGCAGGAAAGGACATAAGTTTGATATATCAATCTTCAATATGATATTGCATGGTTTTGCCGCGCAGAAAAAGGTCCTTGATTTCCAAGTGTTTTACCACAACATGAACGCTGATAATATGAAGGCAAACATGCAGACCTACGCTGCATTATTTGAGATGTACGGACAAATGAAAGACACAAAGATGTTAAATGAAATTTGTGAAAAAATGGCTCGACAAGTAGGTTTTAGCTTCTTTAAAAGATTTGATTATCTTTTATATTCACTTCGCAGTTGAATGGAAACAAGTTTTTATCGTTGAGCAACCGTTTAAACTTTTCTTGATATCCGTTTGAACATTTTAACGTTAAAAGGATCGTTTTTTTTCCTATCTTACCAGGGTTATGACATTAGACAGTTGTTCGCAAAGACTATCCTTACCAAAGATCAAGCAAGACGCGTACTGGAAGCCTTGCGCCTTATCCATCCGAACTACGAGGCAACAATAAATGAAATTAAAGACAGTGCAAATATTTCCCCTTTGGTGAAATCTTTTTATAAGAGAGATAAGTCGAGCGGGTCTATGCTTTTACATCGTCCTTCAACTGACAGCTCGTTCGGACGAGAGTTATCGAAGTTACTTGAAAGACAGCTAAATCAGGAAAAAGTCGGCTTTCGAATTATGAAGTCTGTTGAAAAGAAGAAGAAAGCTACCGAAGGACACGACCGCGCGGAAAAAGCGAGCTTTATAGAGTTACAAAACGGATGGAAAAAGAAACTGTCCGAAGCTATAGAGAAAGAAATTGAACTCGTGAAAGCTAATAATAAAGGTTTGTCTCCCTATATTTGAGGAATATTGAGCATCTTAGATTTTGTCTTCAGACTAACATTGCACTGGGCGCACTAACTATACAGTGCACTGGGCGCACTGCACTAACAATACAGTGCACTGGGCGCACTAACATTCAGTCTGAAACAAAAAACATATATACTTTGCATGTTCCCATATGTAACCCGGGTTATTTTTTGAATTATAGTTGTCTATATTTGGGAATACGCTGTCAATTTGTCTGAATTTTCCATATACGTACGGTGTGTTATGTGTTAGGTAATAAACGAAGCAAGAGTGGTCCTTTTACTCGTATCATGACGCCATGTGACGAGTATGCTGATATTGCAGTCGAAACGATGACTGGGCCGGTGTGCAGTCAGTCCTATGGAACACCGCTGAACTATCTTTGCTGGCTCGTGGGGACGCAAGTGTTCTACCGTTACGCAATCAAGCACAAGGAGAAATCGGGAGTCGTCGATAAGGTGTTTGTTTGCATAAATCTCGCAAACTGAAAAACAAGTCTTCTTTCTCCATAAAAATTCTCGGCAAATCATGTTTATTTTCAATATTTTTAATCGTCGTTATAGATCAGAGGTATGTATGGAAATTTTGCTGAATCCGCTTGCAATGGCCAAGCGGAAACAACGATGAATGCGCGTGAGATGTGGTTACAACTGGAAGCATCTAAACCCTACGAAGGTTCAATCTATTGTGACGTTCCAGTTTGGCCTTCATCGATCAGAGTATTGGTAAAATCTTAGTACATTACCCATCGCTCTTGCTGTTTTATGTTTTGAAAGATTCAATCTGAATTGAATGAGATTTTACGGTGGCCGGTACGGGTCACCAGAAAATAATTTAGAAAACATAACAAACAATAAGAAAACATCACTCAAAATCATACTACACATTTCAAAATACTCACTACAAATTTCAAAATACTCACTACACATTTCAAAATACTCGCTACACATTTCAAAATACTCACTACACATTTCAAAATACTCACTACACATTTCAAAATACTTACTACACATTACAAAATACTCACTACACATTTCAAAATACTACATTTCTTTTTCATTACACATCAAAATACTCACTACACATTCGTCCCAGTCTTAACGGTCGTCATTAGTTTACATCTACGAAATTGACGTGATGGCAGAAAACTAATATAAATATACATACTAACAGTTCAGTTCGCTATGCTACATTGTCTAAAACTTACAAACATATCACAATAGCATCACACATTTCAAAATACACATTTCAAAATACTCACTACACATTCGTCCCAGTCTTACCCTGGTCTGGCCTGCCCACGGTCGTCATTAGTTTACATCTACGAAATTGACGTGATGGCAGAAAACTAATATAAATATACGCTTCCGATATTACTAACAGTTCAGTTCGCGTAAGGATATTTTGATGCTATTGTGGAGATATGTTGTCTATGTGGAACTCGGCACATAGACAAACATATCGCCACAATAGCATCAAAATATGCGATACGCGTACATGAACTATTAGTAATATTTCTTCCAGGGATTTCTTGGTCTTGTTTAGACAACACAACATGAGTGGTCAATCTACAGATTACATGTAATTGTATTTGTATTGGTGATATTGGACAATCATTAGTTTAACTAATGCACTTATTGACGTGACTGGTATTGAAGTTATAAATATATTGCGTTTACTCGAAATTACCGAACTTTTCATTTCCTTTGGCGTTTCTTGTGCAACAAATTATAGCACTATGTGTAAATTTCCACTTTGGTTTTTTTTTGTAACGCATCACACAAGTACGTACGCGACATAGCGAATGCAAATTCATATACTCAAATTTTTGCTATCAAAGTACGGACATGTGTCGAAAGCCACTGCAAATACATTTGTTGGCGATATGTAGATCGTCTACTAATGTTGTTGCCCGACCAAGTCCAGCAAAACCCTGGAAGAATTTCTGATTAGAGTTCAGCCAATATTTTCATGCTATTATCCCAATGTACCATTTTGTTTGCCTTGTGAAATACGGAATTATATATTTAATATGCTTACTTTATGATGTCATGTCAGTTTCGTAGATGGAAACTAATGATTACCGTGGGCAGGCCAGACCAGGGTAAGACTGGGACGAATGTGTAGCGAGTATTTTGAAATGTGTAGCGAGAATTTTGAAATGTGTAGCGAGAATTTTGAAATGTGTAGTGAGTATTTTGAAATGTGTAGCGAGTATTTTGAAATGTGTAATGAGTATTTTGAAATGTGTAGCGAGTATTTTGAAATGTGTAGCGAATATTTTGAAATGTGTAGTGAGTATTTTGAAATGTGTAGCGAGTATTTTGAAATGTGTAGCGAGTATTTTGAAATGTGTAGTATGATTTTGAGTGATGTTTTCTTATTGTTTGTTATGTTTTCTAAATTATTTTTCTGGTGACCCGTACCGGCCACCGTAAGATTTACATGTAGCTACAAACGCACAGAATAAAGAGATTATCACGTGTACAGTGCATGCAAATTAATTTTAGTGCACGGGGGTGTTGTCATTGGCTGAACCCAAAAAAAAACAATCAGTTGATTACGTATGTTTTAAACCGACCTTCATGTTTCCAGGTTGGCTGCACTCTCATAGACATGTTGATAAAAGAATCAAAAATCGATGCGAATATGTTCAAAAATAAGAAAGAGAAACGTGTACCCGCGTTCTTTCATACGTACGAATACGAACATACAACAGTTTCTGGCTACATCAAGGCTCATCCATCTGTAATCAAACTTTACCAAGACCACGTGAGTAATAGTGGTGATATCTCTATTCCGTCAAGTAAACTACCAATGTTCGTTCCTCCGCGACCATGGACTTCAATCACCGATGGCGGACATCTTCTCTTTTCCGGTATTTTTGACGACTTTCTGCAATGTTTGCCCTGAGACTGAATGTAATGTTTAACATATATTTTATTTTGACAACGTTATTGCGACACAAATACGATTTTCGAAAATACCAATTCGCGTGATTGTATCTAAAGGCTGGTTTCCATTCAGTGCAAATTGTCGCGCGATCGACTTTTTCCGATCACTTTCTTTTCAATTGTAAGCTCTCGACTGGAACAGTTGAACACTGCTGCATACAGTTCAAAAGAAAGTGATCGCAAAAAGTCGATCGTGCTAAAATTGCCCTGAATGGAAATCAGCCTTAAGTGGTAAGTGTATTCAAACAGGTTACTTATCTTATCATGTGGCCAATATGAAAGCTTGTAGAATGAGACAGCGCGTCTGAAGCGATTTCCCAGTGTTCTTCGAAGGAAATCTTACCACATTAACACTGACTTATTAGATCAAACTGGCAAATTGTAAAAACATCTTACTATATCTTGTTTAAAAGTTTTATGTGGAGCAAGGAAACTCTGTTCTTTCCGCCGATATAGTTCAGTTAGCCAGAGGTCAGGACAAGTCGACAGAAAACCTTTCCGCGTTGGCAGAGGCGGACAGAACTTCAAAATTGAATGCGATCTACGACTCACTAAACTGCTTGGGAATGTGTGGATGGAGGGTGAATGGAAAGATACTTGACATCATGATAGATATATTTAACGATAAAGGAAGCGAACAGTTGGAAATTCCCGGTCCTGATTTACCCAAATTACCGGAGTTTACACAGGAGTAAGTTGAACTCAAATCATCTCGAGCGAATTAAGTAAAATACTCTTTGAATTTACCGTTTTGATATCAAAAATAAACAAGTCGTATTGTTATTCGCAGGCTAAAAGAAAATGCCGAATTGTATACGGCATTCTTGAAGCAGAAATCGAACGCGAAGAAAGAGCTACACGAATCACATTCGCTAAGAATGGCCATGTTGTATCACCTTTCAGTTGCAAACCACTTTAGAGATTGCACTTTCTGGATGCCTTGCAACCTTGATTTTCGAGGCAGGGCCTATCCTATACCACCTTACGGCAGCCACGTTGGTAAGACGGAAACAAGATGTATTTTTAAGATGTATCTTAATACCTTTTACTCTACATTGCCACACTTATGTACATCATTATTCCTTATTTATCCTAACGTTCCTTGACTTTACAGGTGACGACACTACCAGAGGGATGTTGCATTTTGCTACAGGAAAGCCATTGGGTCGCAATGGATTGGATTGGCTCAAGATTCATTTGGTCAATTTGCATGGTCAGCTAAAAAAGGCGACTTTGCGTGAACGAATCGAGTTTGCGGACCAACATTTAGATGATATTCACGATTCTGCCGATAGACCGTTGACGGTATAGGAAAATGTTTATCACTACATAATGCAATAACATCTTCGGTGATTTCTTGAATGATCTGTTTTCTTACTTACAGAAGTCTGCCCAACTTTTCTTACTCATAAAATATGCAAACTATCTTTTAAATCTTTGCCAAAGGTTCTTTTCCTAGCCAATTTTACTTCATCTCAAATAAAATGCTAAAACCGTTTAGACAGCTTTTCCACTGGCTACAATTTCAGGGCAGACGGTGGTGGCAGACAGCAGATGAAAAATGGCAGGTGTTAGCGACCTGCATGGAAATCTCAAACGCGATCCGTTCGGGTGATCCAGAGAACTTCGTCTCGCATTTGCCCGTCCATCAAGACGGTTCCTGTAACGGTCTGCAGCATTATGCAGCGCTGGGACGTGACGAATATGGCGGAAAACAAGTTAATGTTCTCCCATCAGATAGGCCAGAAGATGTGTACACTGAGGTAGGTGTATGAACACACGTGTACGCCGAGGTAGGTGTATAAACACATGTGTACACCGAGGTAAATGTACATACACATGTGCAGATCAAGGTAGGTGTGTAAACACATGTGTACAACGAGGTACATGTGCCAACACATGTAGATATAGGTAGGTGTAGAAACACATGTGTACAACGAGGTACATGTGCCAACACATGTGTAGATATAGGTAGGTGTAGAAACACATGTGTACAACGAGGTACATGTGCCAACATATGTAGATATAGGTAGGTGTGTAAACACATGTGCAGATTAAACACATGTGGAAACAACGAGTACATAAACAACACATGTAGATATAGGTGAAACACATGTAGGTGCACACACATGTGAACATATATGTACATGAACAACATGTAATACATGTAGATAGGTAGGTGTAGAAACACATGAAAATAGCATCAATTGATGGGAAAGATAATTCATGCATCAAGTCTATGTACTGAAATGTTAAAATGAAATACTCAGCAGAGCAAGAAAACGAAGCAACAAATCTCCACGTGAGAAAGCGCATGTTTAACAAGACAAAAACTTCATCATTTTCACAACGTCCAATTCCATCAAAAATCTTTCGATAGGTTGCCAAATTAGTGGAGAAGATGTGCGAACAAGATGCTTCTAATGGCGTCGAGATTGCCCAAGAATTGGCGGGCAAAGTAAGCCGTAAGGTGGTCAAGCAGACTGTGATGACGTTGGTCTACGGCGTTACATTTATAGGTGGTCGTCGACAGATCAGTGGACAACTGGATGATTTGGGCCTGCCACAGTATGTTGTGTGGAAGGGTTCATCTTATTTAACGAGAAATGTGTTTGAAAGCATAAGAGAAATGTTCCGTGCGGCTAAAGACATCCAGGTAAAGTTCCTGAACGGATGCAGAAAATTTCTACCTCAGTTTGTTTACTCGGTCCAACGGCATATCAACGATGTTTACTTAAGAGTGCGTACATGTTTGCTAACACCTCCACATTTCTTCCATTTCCCAACTGCCAATTTTACCTTATTTTGCAAGTTCCACAACTTAAAAACTGTGTATAAAAAATCACCCTATCATAAAGAAAACGCTCGCATGTGCCATAATAAAATGCACATTTTATCTCATTTTCTGTCAAGGATTGGTTTACAAACGCCGCAGCTCAGATATCGTTGAGCGGACATTGCGTGGACTGGGTCACACCGTTGAACCTTCCCGTGATGCAATCGTATCAGAGAATGACAAAACGAGAAGTGAGTACACCGCTGCAGCTTATCAAGATTCGGGTTCCCGCGCGAGAAATGTTACCTAACCTCGTGAAACAGAAGGGAGGCTTCCCGCCAAACTTTATACATTCGTTGGACTCCTGTCATATGATGCTTACAGCGTTGTACTGCCAGAAACATGGGTTGACATTTACGTCGGTGCACGATAGCTTCTGGACGCATGCGCGCGACGTTGATACTATGAATAGAGTAAGGAGGCTTTTTCGAATGTAAAGTACAAGATGGAAAAATTCGTGTTCTTAAAATCTTGCTTTTGTTGTCTCCTTTTCAGATATGCAGAGAGCAGTTCGTCTCTTTACATAGTCAGCCCATACTCGAGGATCTTCGAGATCATTTTGTTAAAAGTTTGAAAAGGAAAGGTACATAATTACTAACCGTTGATGAAATCACTCCTGATGATAACTAACAGTTTCTAATATTAACTCAAGACTGACTTATGTAACTATTCGAGATCACTTCTATTGAAGACATTCGACTGGAGCTTATAAGAACTCAACTTTTAACACCAAGTCACTCTTAATGAAGACGCTTGACTAGAATATATAAGTACTCAGGTTTCAACATCACATCAGTCTTGATGAAGACATTAGACTGGAGTAAATAAGAACTCAGGTTTCAACATCAGATCACTCCTGATGAAGACACTAGACTGGAGTATGTAAGAACTCAGGTTTAAACATTAGATCACTCCTGATGAAGACACTAGTCTGGAATATATAAGGACCCAAATTCAGATCAATTCAGCGGGATTTCAGCCGTATATGCTTTCCGACAGCCTGTCAGCCGAAAGTAATCCACCGTAATCACCTGAAGAAATACTCCTCTATTTACAGGATGCGTCGACCATTACGTAATTCAACTCGTGAAAATGTTCAATTTGATCCACTGCCAGACAGAGGCTCCCTTAATTTGCATGACGTCCTCCACTCAACATACTTTTTTAGTTAATACAACGTCGTGCAAATGTCAGTTAACTGATTGCAAGAAAACAAAATGATGCACGGATCGATCGATTGATGGTAAACACCTTCAGAATTGTAAATATAATTTATACCAGGGGTCTCCAAACTACGGCCCGCGGGCCAGATGCGGCCCGTTAGTCCTCTGAATCTGGCCCGCAGAGACACTTGAGAAAAAAATAATAATATCATTAAACAAAATAAACTTTGTGCATAAAAGAAAAAGAATAGATGATGAATGTCGGCGATTTCAAGAAGAGTGAAGTGTAAAATACTTCTTCATCGCTCTTTGACCAGCGGTATACGGTTCGTCGGCCCTCAACATGCTAGATGAAAGTTCATGTGGCCCTCTGGCTGTAAAGTTTGTAAATATGATTTATACCATTACCTCGGTTAGTGGCGAAGAATAAATGCCCAACGTTGAAAGGATTCCATTTGATATTTCGGGATTTTGCAACCGAAGATTCACTCTTTGTTGAAACTTCTCATTCGTAAGTATACGTACCCTGGCTGAAGAAGATTGTTGCTGTGTGCAATCTTGCATCGCGTGGAGAACTTTATCATTTTACTCGATTTTATTTCAAAGCACAACTCGTTTGTAAAATCGCATCTATGTTTATAGTATGAGCTTGAGTGAACAAAGATTAAACTATATCTTATGAGAACAAACATTAAACTAGAACATCCTTACTGGAAAGAAAAAAGCTTACTTTGTCAGGAAAAAGTAAATTAGGACTTTAGGAGAAGGCCATGCTCGAAAAAAAACCCCGAAAGGTCCTCTTTGCAACTAGTGAATAAATAAGTGTAATACACAAATGTCTTCATCGCAAACGTTTTTCCTTATCTACTGATGCCATTCTGTTAGCATGCGTGTAAAAAGACTCAATTGTCATTATTCACGGCACCTGTGGTTGACTGATTTGTTGCAGCATTCGGTTCAGTCGTATTGTTAGAGCATGGTGCTTCCTCGCAGATCGCAGTCTCCGAAGCAGCCCCTAATCCCTGCTCCTCGCAGTTCTTTCCGCCATTTTGAGGTGAGGGATTATCGCATTTGCGTGTACGCGTTTTCTCTCCGCTATTACATGTCACACTACAGGCAGACCAATCGCTCCACTCGCCGTAACCACCGTTCACTAAAATTACACGACATTAAGAAACGTGCTAGATGCTTAATCACATTATATGTTTTGTGTGATGAGAGTGCTTTAATCACGACTAGACTTCAAATAACAACACATCTACGCTTTTCTAATTTTGCTGGTGTCAAGAACATCGAACTGAATATAGCTAACTTTTACAAGCCTATTTGCGAGGCGCCAGCGACCATGTACGAATGCTAACAATTGTGCCACGACACAAAGAGGCATAAATAGACCTGGACATTTCATACCTGGACAAGGACCTTGGTTACATGATTCACTCATTTTTTCTTCACCAATGCACACTTTTCCGCCATATTGTGGTGATGGATTGTTACATAGGCGCTCACGTGTTTTGGTTCCATCCCCACATGTTACGCTGCAAGGACCATAGTCTCCCCACTCGCTAAACCCGCCGTTTACTAAAAGAAAGGTTCGTTGCCATTATTTCAATTACTTATATAAGTAACAGGAGCGACCTGATTTATATTGGAATAGAGCCAGTGGGAATCCAGCTCTATAGCCAGTGGGAATCCAGCTCTATAGCCAGTGGGAATCCAGCTAAGTTTGGATGTTGTGAATATTCTATTTATACTTCATAGAGAAACTTTAAAACCAGGACAAGCAGACAATTTTAAGTAAAACAAAATAAAACAAATTCCAAAAACAGACATCTTGATTTCTTGATATTCAAGATGATAACAGAGGAATGATGTCTTTGAAATGAGGAATGATGATTGATGTCTTTGGAATAAAGACGAAACATTACACCATCTTTTGTTTTAAAACTCTTGTATCATCTTGAATATCAAGAAAACAAGATGTCTGTTTTCGGAATTTGTTTTATTTTGTTTTGAGAAACTTTAATGCAGTGCATTTCTAAGTGACAAAGTGTTTTCAATAACTAGTATTGACCATACACATAAATGTAGCAGCAACTATGATCTTATTGATATGTCTCTTACTTGGACAAGGTTGTGTTTGACATTTTGAGTCTCGACAGGAAGACCAAGAATGGAGCAATTTCGACCAAAGTACTTTGGAGCTGGATTTGTGCAGGTCCGATAGCGAGTTATGATACCACCCCCACAGCTTACAGAGCAATCTGTGAATTCACTCCATTCACTATAACCACCATGAACTATAACCATGAAATAGGACATGCAATATATGAATGAATGGTGTTACCATGCAACTTTAAATCAGCAGTGTTACCATGTAGCTATAAACAAATGATATTACCATACAGCTACAAACAGTATTACCATGAAGCTATAAACAAATGGTACTATCATGCAGCTTTAAACAAACGGTATTACCATTAAGCTATAAACAAACAGTATTACCATGCAGTTATAAATGAATGGTATTACTGAGCAACTGTAAATGAATGGTGTTAGCATGTAATTGCTATGAATGGTGTTACCATTAAGCTATAAACAAACAGTATTACCATGCAGTTATAAACGAATGGTATTACTGAGGAATTGTAAATGAATGGTGTTACCATTAAGCTATACTCAGACATTAAGTTTGCAATAGCAGCTGGGTGCAAAAATATCAATGATTAGGCAAACAAAAATTACAAAGAATTTAAAACTTTTTGAGGAAAAAAAACACAAAGGAAATAGCCAATAGCTGACACATATTTTCCTAATATTTATGCAATTTGCAATGTATTCTTGCAAATAATGTCTGTGATGTTTAATCCTCATATAGTAACAGCGACAATGGATACCAAAGGGCTTTGAGTAAAATGCAAACAAAATAACTGACACCTATAAGGCCTTTCTTTCCAGCAACATAAAGAACATACACTGCACATAGTGCTACGAGTAACCATATTGAGAGAGCAGCTTTTCCTTGCTTTTTAGCAGTCTTCATCTTAAGATAAATAACATCAGATTAGCAACGATACATTTAAATGAATACATTAAACTAGAATGACGCTAAATGAAATGTGTCGGGACCCGCTCTCACTATTAAATGCAAAGGCAGCCAGCTGTTATTATTGGACGGCAGTGAAATTTTCCAACTCCAGAGCATTCAAACAAAAATCAAAATCACGCCATTCGATCATTTTTTCGTTTTTAATAATCCTAGTTACGTTGCTATTTATTTTATTGAATTTGTCATTCACATTATTCCGCGTTGACGGTCCTATATAGAATATTAGAACTACGTGCCGGGCGTTGCAAATGGTGTTTTTGAAGAGAATAGGAACGCATTGCAAGTACAGCAAAGATTTAAATTAGTGCTCGCATTATTTTCTTATTTTGCAACGAGTTCTGCAGGAAACCTTTTTTTTTCAGAAAATTAACTTCTCGACGATAAATTAAATACAAAATAGAATACATACTTGGTAAAATGGTGGAAAGTTGAACGAACTCGAGGAAGAGCTTAAACACTGTAATGAGAAAGTTCAAAACGACCCGTATGTTCAAAGTATGCTGCTTATTGGGGCAAAATATTGGCCACGTCGAATGTCGACTGGTCATTGAAAAATTTTAAATTTAATTGTTTAATCTTTTATCAACAAACGAACAATGTAATTAGAATTTTACCGGACTATGAAATACTAAGATATGCACCTAAATGCTTTCTTTTTGACTGCACAAGCATACTAACATCTCACAAATGATTTCTTCAGCAATAAAACGAAAAATCGTTGAAATATTTTTGTATTTCTAATAATTCTTGCCATGTATTTACATTCGAATTAAATAAAGTCTACGTTTTATGAAACAGCAAACGCGGGCTCGTGCCATTTGAAACGTGCTGGTCTTATTGACGCTCGTTTGAATGCCGAGGTGTTGTCACATTTTGGGAAATTAATCCAAAATTATGGCATCGCAACTTCAGGTAGACGATCCAAACTCAACGGCGATTTATGGTGAAGATATGGAACAAGCAAAATCTTTTCAAAATATGGAAAATCTGCTTGCATCGGCTGTTTCTATATGTCGATTGGACGGCTCCGTACAGTGTCAAATTGTCAGTTTAATCACTGTCATACAAGAACTCCAAAGACTTCTACGTCAGAGTTTCAAAGGTTATTTACTACATTAAGTTATATAGAAGCTTGATGATAATCGCACAGCGTCTTTATCACTGGATTCAACGAACATCATCATTTATAAATATTTAAGATTACTAATTATTTGTAAATATCGATTTGGAGCCAACCACTGATCTTTTATGTGTACTGGCTTAACCGAATGTATATCTCACAGAATATTAAGATGTAGAAGGGCATATACAATAGAGTATATTTTTTTGCTCCTATACTGTGCCATTGATACAAGCTGTTTTGTATTGTGAGGAAGTAATACTATACAGGGTGTGTAATAAAATACCCTCTTTTGAAATCAGACCATTAGTTCTAAACATACATTTTATCACCATGAGTTAGATTGTTTATGTTTTTTGGCAGGCAGATTTGGTCTATTGCTTTTAGAAAAAACAAGCAACAATACTTAACCTCCCTTGGGATAAATCTGCCTGCCAAAAAACGTAAACAATCTGACTCATCTATTTGAGTGAGAATAGGAATAAATAGTTCTCCTTTATTTGCATAGTGTCGGCATATTTTCACGATGCTGACGCATTGGAAGTTACAATTATTCTACAATTCACTTAACTAAATTCCGAAAGTTTTTAGACAGCAGGTTTACAATAAAAGGTCTGATTTTAATGAAGGATGACTTTTTTGACACACCTTGTTAAGGTAAACTTATCTCTGAATAGCTTTTCATAAAAATGTTTTGTTGACTGTTTTAAGCATTTACGGCATGGCAATTGTCTATCTCTTGCATAGTCGGAGTAACAAATTAATGGCTAATAGCACTTGGGCAAAAAATGAAATTACCTTATAGATATTGGTAATGCCCACGCCATTTCATTGTGTGACTCGTATTTTTTTGTAGAAATCAAGATGCTTGAACAAGACATTAAAGACCAAAAGCACACATTTAGAAACTGCATAACAAACCTCCATTACCAAGTGAAAGAAATGCAAACAAATATTGATGATGTAAAAAAGTAAGATCTTAATCCCAACCACAATAATTAGCTAAAAAACTGTAAGCCCAAATTGTTGTGTGGTTTTAGGAAGTGTGAAGATGTTCAAACTTCAGAAGGAAGAAATGGCACCAAAATAGTTGATAGTGATGCTGACACACAAAGCTCTACTCTTGAAGGTACAGCACATGAAAGTTTTATACTAAGTTACATTGAAAGTGCCTTGAAACAGGATAAGATATATCTAGAGACTCCGAGCAGGATCTAGAAGTAGATGTTTATGAATGTCATGGAATTTGGCTTTTCTATACACTTTCCATGTGCCTTCAACTTCATTGTGTTGTTGTGAACATTGTAGTTGGAAAAAAAACCTCCAAAGATCATGTTGTGATGGACGAAGATAGCGCTCAAGCTACAACTGATGATAGTGGGCTCATGGAAGTTGTTCCAGTATCTAAGAGTATGGAGCCTGAACGAAACATCGTGGATGAGGATGTGGAGAACGATTGTAATGAAGATGTGAACACCCACGAGGACGAGTGGTGGGGTTTTCGTGTTCGCACCGAGGACGACAACACAAACAACGAAGTTCCCAACTCTACCAACGAAGTTGACAACGCTAACAACGAAGTTCCCAACTCTACCAACGAAGTTGACAACGCTAACAACGAAGTTCCCAACTCTACCAACGAAGTTGACAACGCTAACAACGAAGTTCCCAACTCTACCAACGAAGTTGACAACGCTAACGACGAAGTTCCCAACTGTACCAACGAAGTTGACAACACCAACAACGCCGATGACAACACTAACTGCGAAGAACCCGACAACGTTGACGACGAAACTAAAAGTCAAAAGAAAAAAACGAACAACGCAGATAAAAAGATTGACAACGCTCGACAAAAACGTGAGAGCGCTTTCAGAAAACGTAAAAAAACTGGTGGACAACACGAGACGACACAAGAAACAACGGGGAAAAATGGGGTGAGAGCAAAGGTTCAAGCTGCTAAGGAAATGATGTCAAGTACAAGCAAACAGCCAATGAAAGCAAAGGAAAGAGAAAGCGACCACAAAGAACATAACTCGATGAAGTCTAAAGTACACAGTGTAGATAATTCAAGCCAGGTAAAAGATCGTTCGGAAAGCAGCATGAATTCGAAGGAAAAGAGCGTTGCTCATGAAGGAATAGTAGCCAATGGTGAAGAGAGCAGTTCTTTGAACAAAACATGGCTGTTGAGAGATAGGTCGGCAATGAAAGCTGATAGTGTCGAGCTTGTTACGGCGCGCAAAAATAAAGAAAAACGAAAGAGTGTGGAGTTTTCATCGAAAGAACGAAACACGGTTCTCAAAAGTAGGCAGATAAATGTAAGGAAAGAGGCCAGCGACATTGCCAAGAAAACAAAGATGACTCTTAAAAAGAAGAAAAGCAACACTAGTATTCTTGTCAAGAAAGCCAAAGCAACTCTTTCCGCTAACCGAAGGCAAACCGGCAGGCCGACCAGTTTGATCAATAAAAACAGAAAAAGCACTTCAAAAGTTTACATTAAAAGGAAATCTGAAGACCGCAAGCACGAAGACCTCTCAGTCAAACCTTCCTTGTCATTCAAACCAGTTAACCAACGTATCAATGAATCTCAAGCGCTGATGGAGAACCCAATGGACCAATATATCAATTTGGATTTTCTTTTAAACGCGAACCAACTGATGACCGAATTAGTAGTAGATGTTTCACGTGAAGAGGGGACAATGGACACAGAGTCTAAAGTGGAAAGACGATTTGTGGCCGAGTTAGCTAAATTGTATCGTCTACGCGTGCGAATGATGTCAAAAAAAGGTGCATTGCCCGTTGCTTTCATAAAAGGTCGCGAGTCATCACTACCCATGCCTGGAGAAGTTGACAGACTGCTCCATAGGATCTCGCAAAAGGCCGTCTCTTCACAGTTGAGAAAGTCCGCAAAGAAACGCAAATTGCGTAGAAGAGAACAAATCACCGTCGCGTCGAAAAAAAGAAAGATTTAACTCAAAGAACGTGTTTAAGTTAGTATCCTTATGTAGTTAAAAGAACGGTATCAATATATTTAGATTAAAGTAGCTTTACATTTTGTTCATAATTCTCATCACAACGTATTTGTTGGGGTTTTATTTTGGAAGAAGACATTTTGGACATATATTTTATCATCTTTGTAGCTATATTAGCTAAGTTGGAAGAAAAAAGCTTAACAATAAAGAATTAAAATTGAGAATTGAACGGTTATTGCGATATTCGAAAGGGGTTTTCATTCCTCGAGGGACGTGATAAGAAATATAAAGATATGTGTACTTTATTCTGTCGATTTTCATTCAACGAATTTCCTTCTAACGACGCAACCGACATATACAAGACTATTGACTATAAACAAGCAATTCACATGCAAACTTGGCTTGTTAAAGTTGTTCTTCAATTTCAAAGTCCTCGAGTATAACAATACAAAAATATACATAAAATAAAAATTACCTTTCGTTTAGCGAATGCAGGAGCATTTTGCAGTACCGAACATTGGGCAGCGTACTACACAAATATACATACCTAGTATGGGTCCAACAAGTATCTCAGTTCTAGAGTAATAGCGTTTTCGACGTAAAAAACTTGTTATTTGGAAACGGAACACAGCTTTGCACAGACAGCATTAACGTGAGAGAAGACTCCAGTCAATAAGGCTATCTTTATCCACCTTTCTCGACGCATTCCAGAAACATAGTAGGCGTCGACTTACCACGTGCGATCTTCTTCAAACATTGCAACCTGCACGTATATAAATCATCATAATCTTATTATTTCAATGAAAAATATATAATATGGAAAGAGCAATGATTTTAAAGCCCCATGGGAGAGAAAAAAACAAAAGCTTATGTTTTGGGTAAACTTTGCGCAATGCTAATATATGATTAATCTTAAGGTATAATAATGGTTCTAGTATGGCATTTAAATCCAATGCAATAAAATACGAGAAGGACCAAGTGTTCACCTCCACCAAAACCTTTCAGTTTGTATTCCGTGTATCACGAGAAGTACGGGGTGTATAAAAGAAACTGTAATTCTATGAAATCATTAGAATTTTAAACGCAGGCTGATTTCAAAGGATTGCAGTTTATTATACACCTTCATTATGTATTCTTGGTTTTAATGTGCATGTGTGTCTCAAAGGAATAGCCAACAAAGAAAGGGCATCCATCATGCCGCCCAATAATAATAAAATCTAACGATATTTTTCTGTTAGGAGTGCGCACATGAAAACCACCAATAGGAAGATATTGACTCGAACAGACAAAATATAAATATTGTTGAAAATAAAAAACAAAGCCAACATACACACAGGCGCAATCGGAGACAAAATATTTTGACGAGACAAATTATTAGCATGATAACAAATGCGCAAAAAATTAACGTCGATGCTTCAATTACAATAGACATTACATATTGACATTATCACCAGCTCATGCTGGGCAACAGTTTAAGTAAGGGTCGACTAATGCCGATATGGTAGTTTGATGGATGGAAACTCATTCAAGCTTCAGCGCAGGAGCCTGCTGCTCGAAGGTGAAATAGCTCAACCCTGGGATCTTAAATACTCTGAGGAAAATTTCAAAAGCATTCGAATGCTGAAAGATTATTTACTTTTTCCAAGCAATAAGCCTGGATGTTGTGCTAAACAAACACAGTCGAACAAGTACATTCCAATTAAAACTATTATCATTTGACAATGCAGTGGAAGCAACTCTGATAAATTTCCTCTTACCTTTTTCCCCAAGTTTCAAGACTTATAGAAACAGGTTGTTCATTTCTGATGAAACCAAGTACATCCAAGGACCGCAAAGAAAAACAAATAAATTCTTTAATCCTGAATTAACGCCAGTCAAAGGTTCGTCGACCATATGAAGTATACGGAGTTGTACGAAAAACTACAACAACCTTTTAAAATCAAGCGACGTTTCGAAGTTTAATGATCAGCAGTGACTGATCTTCTTCAAGGAGATGAAAACGCAATTCAAGAGTTTCATTGTTTATTAACACAACATTAATGAGCAACTTTTTGTTCTCCCGAATATTCAATTACAATCCATGACAAGTTTCATTACGAATAGATCATATGATCGCAAAAATATGTAATAGCAGAACAACATGATGCTCGAACTCACACTGTTTAAAAGTCTAAATTGAAAAATTTGTTTGGAGAACAAATATGAATGGCTCTGCTACTGCACATCTCGCTGCACATTGCAAATTCTAAGCATAAAATTCTTTTCAATTGCTTTTACGCCTCCTCGAGGACAATCACAGCTGAATCATGCAAATTCCAAGCGTCATGCAGGTGATTGCAAAGGTTTGTATTTTTTCTACACCCGGTATAGCAAATGACACATAACGAAAACACCAGATATAATGATAATTTATCTATAAATTTACCTTTCCAAATATATTAACAATTTCGTACATAGTACACTATTTCACGTGATTCGCACTACATGCTATAGTTCCAACAATACCCCCCAATATCAATAAGTTCACATTAAATACTCATGTTTTGAACGTGAGCGGAATTTGTGGGCTTCACATGCAGACAAGATAATTTTCTAGTTATGTTTGACAATAAATAGTAATAGCGTGAGGTTGTTTTTATTTACTGTATCATAAATATCGTACTTTTCGGAAAGTCTAGGCCTTGGTGAGCAACACACTTGCGAGCATGGGTGGGTTGGGAATTTTGAAGTCAGGATCATATGACACATAGAAATCGAAAAACGTAATTGAAATCACTGAAATAACGTCATCGGGATAAATAAAACTTTCCGACTTCATCTCGTTTGTCAGTAGCAAAGTTCGATCATGATGCCGTGAACGAGACTCGTGTGCAGCCACAACCCGACCGAGATCCGTGCTTGTACACAGAAATCCTTATTGCATTAGCATTCAAGGTATATGCCATGTTATTCGATGTACACAAAGCCGACCCGTAATTGCCAGAAACGTTTTTGTGTTACGAGCGTAGCTTGTTTCACATACAATCACAAGTAACCGGACGTCTGGAATTTAACGAAAGCAGAGCGAGCAAAAGCTTAAACAGTCTCTCTCATGATTCATCATCGAGTGCGAGGTTTTTTTCATACAAACATTGCACTCGGGTTTTCCGGCCAGCCTTCGGTAAACTTTAGACAATCCATTTATTAGAAACACATTGACTTAAAGTTAGAAAACACGGGAAAATTGCAAAGCATGGTTCAAGAAACTGGCTGGCAACCTCTCCGAGTACAACGTGTTTATTGCTGTCTGAACCAAAATGCTACTCACGTCGCTTAACTTACACGAAGTTCTACTTGTCCACATACCTCATCGTCATGGAAACGTACCTTTACCATTCACAAGTCAAATGTGTTGGACAGCAGTTCATTGACTTCTGTTTGTCTCTCCGAGATTATCCATGTCCGCATCGAATTAGCACAAGTAGCTCAACTCAAATATCACAAATAAACATAATGCATTATGATACTCGTTGCTATCCATCATTATCCATCACCGTAACTCGATAACCATAAATATACGTCATGATACCCACCACCTCCATCATTACATCCCATGAGCTTAAATAACTTTTCCACGATGTTGGTACATCGCAGTATTCAATACATAATCCCTCTATACCATAAGGGTTATAAACTTGCTGTGCCCATATATCCATACAAATACATCATTGCTATACTGAAGTATGGTTAGCGAGAGTACTGTTACTAATGATTGTTGATCGTCGTTTATGCGTTAATTTACCATTGATTAGAACAGAGCTAAACGAGGCGGCCCCGTCTCGTCATCCATTAGAGTCTCGAGAAGGATATGATCGTTAGGATCCATAGGCATCACCGAAATATCCCTAACTGCACGGAATTCACCGCAATTGTTCAAATGTTCATTTTCTAATCTAAAGAAATTCCATACAAAACGCCTGCAAAAGAAAAAAACAGGGACGACTGATCGTGATTGTTGTGTACTGTGTATTATTGAAGAAATAAAAGATGTTTTGTGTTTGCACAGGCTTATGCAAACCCAAGGAGACCTTTGAGAAAACTCAAAGAGTAAATCAGCGCAAGACCGACGGTGGAGTATTTGCACCTTCTTAAAACGTCTCCGAAGTTTGCATGAGCCAGTGCAAACACGAGAAAGATCTTTCGTTTCTTTTATAATAGCGCACAATAGATTAATTCAAAATAAACGTTTTAATTTTTCCTCCCAACATGTACTGACATATTCTATTGATTGATTGAGTTGAGATCGGTTTGCATGGGCTAATGCAAACACAGCTATAGACCAATCACCGCATGCAAACACAGCCATAGACAATTAAAGCATGCAAACACAGCTATAGACCAATCAACGCATGCAAACACAACAATAGACCAATTATCGCATGCAAACACAGCTATAGACCAATCAACGCATGCAAACACAGCTATAAACAATTAAAGCATGCAAACACAGCTATAGACCAATCAAAGCATGCAAACACAACTATAGACCAATCAAAACATGCAAACACAGCTATAGACCAATCAACGCATGCAAACACAGCTATAGACCAATCAACGCGACCAGTACCAGACACTTACCTAAATATTTCACATACAGCTAACACGGTGATCATGACTTCATCGTGAAGATTGGTTGAATAACCAATTGATATAGACAGTGACCAAATAAAACGAAATACAAAGTCCTCGACGATTGCAAGGTAATATACAAACTGCAAAGAGAAACAATTCTTAAGAACTTTTCATCAGGGTCGTAGCTAGAGCGCTAATTGAGGAGGGGTGGGGTGTATATTCATATACTCAGTTGTGCCAACTGATCTCTTTTGAAAGCCCAATCACTTTCAAAAATATAATCAGTGCAGCACAACGGAAAATATGACTACCTCCACACAACAACTCCACACAACAACCCCCCCACAACAACTCCACACAACAACTCCACACAACAACTCCACACAACAACCCCCACAACAACTCCACACAACAACTCCACACAACAACCCCCACAACAACTCCACACAACAACTCCACAACAACTCCACACAACAACCCCCACAACAACTCCACACAACAACTCCACACAACAACTCCACACAACAACCCCCACAACAACTCCACACAACAACTCCACACAACAACTCCACACAACAACCCCCACAACAACTCCACACAACAACTCCACACAACAACTCCACACAACAACTCCACACAACAACCCACACAACAACTCCACACAACAACTCCACACAACAACCCCCACAACAACTCCACACAACAGCCCCACAACAACTCCACACAACAACTCCACACAACAACTCCACACAACAACTCCACACAACAACCCCCACAACAACTCCACACAACAACTCCACATAGCAACTCCACACAACAACCCACACAACAACTCCACACAACAACTCCACACAACAACTCCACACAGCAACTCCACACAACAACCCCCACAACAATTTAGCGCTCAAGTTACGGCCCTGCTTTTCATTGAGATTTAATAAACGCGTTTTTGATATCATTTAATAAGCAGGTTATCGCAATTCTTCTAAATTTTTGCATGAAATCGATGGAACCTAATATGGAAATATTACCTTATTCGGGTAGACAACTTCCTCACGTAAAAATGTATTTTCTTTCATATTTAACTTCAAGAGGCCCCAATCCATTTTGAGATCCCACGTCAACGTATAACAAGAGCCGATTAAAATACTTATCACCCATAAAATGAAGTACGTTCCTTGATATGAGTCGTCGTGATCTAAGCGTCAAAACATAGTTATTGCGAATCAAACAACGCTGTTTTGACAATGTTGAAACTGTACAATGAACACAGTACATACCAGTCTTTGATTTGGTCAAAGTAGAAAATATTACAATGAAGAAAGTCGTGGAATATTTTCCGGCGTTGACGAGGTGAGGAAAGACATTTTTTGTATCGTGGTAACGTCTGAGGCACTGAGCAAAGCGAAACCACGCTGGTAAACATAGAACTATGGGTCGAATACCGTAGGTATTTTTAACGCAGACATCTAAAATGAAGACCAGAGGAATTGACGACTAAAGGATACCCAAACAATTGTGCAGGCATTGTGATCAGAGCAATTCTGAAGTAATGGAGATCAGAGCAATAGTGAATGGAGATCAGAGCTATAGTGAATGGAGATCAGAGTCATAGTGAATGGAGATCAGAGCAATAGTGAATGGAGATCAGAGCTATAGTGAATGGAGATCAGAGTCATAGTGAATGGAGATCAGAGCAATAGTGAATGGAGATCAGAGTCATAGTGAATGGAGATCAGAGCAATAGTGAATGGAGATCAGAGTCATAGTGAATGGAGATGAGAGCTATAGTGAATGGAGATCAGAGCAATAGTGAATGGAGATGAGAGCTATAGTGAATGGAGATCAGAGCAATAGTGAATGGAGATCAGAGCTATAGTGAATGGAGATCAGAGCTATAGTGAATGGAGATCAGAGTCATAGTGAATGGAGATCAGAGCAATAGTGAATGGAGATCAGAGCAATAGTGAATGGAGATCAGAGTCATAGTAATGGAGATCAGAGCAATAGTGAATGGAGATCAGAGTCATAGTGAATGAAGATATGAGCAAGTATGCAATTACAGAGATCAGAGCAATTCTGAAGTGGTAGAGATCTCAGCAATTGGAAATCAGAAGAATTGTGAGATATGGAAATATGAGCAATCGTGCAGTAATGAAGATCAGGGCAATGGTAGAGCAATAGCCGAAAATTAATAATGCTGAAACAAGGTGATGGTTAAAGCAGTGTAAATAGCATAAGTTGCTTTTCAGAGCCAGAGCAAAATTAATAACACGTCCACTCATAAATCTCAATAAACAATCTTTCACGAAACAGGAGGTTGAAGAAGAGAACAGTTTTTGCCCCCAGTTCGAGAAACAACACTTTCAATCCTTCTATCTTACCTTCGTCAATTTTTTGACCATAAAAAAGAAAACAAATGCTGAACTCGAAGTCGAGAAACATTCGACATAAACTGTTCATTTGATCCGCGAGCCAAAAATCCGCGAAGCCAACGGAATGAAACGGAGCCGTGACGACGCGATACTAGAAACACGATGACACGAATCAAAACTTGTTCGAGATACTCAAATATGCAAATAATTCATGATGCCGACACAAGTGACGTTATACACTCACAATGACGACACAAGTGACGTTATACACTCACAATTATCTTCAATAGCCACCATCGCGCACCGTGGAAACCAACTTTAAAGGGATTTAAAGTAAATACGATGAACAAAACAGCCATAACCGATGGAGGGGTTAATGAGTAAATGCCGATGTTTCCATGGTAAATGTACGCCATTAGACTGAGACACCAAATGACAGCCAGCATTGCCGATGCCTAAAAATATCGCAGAAACGACGAGTGAAAAGGATTTGCGTAGAGAAGTTGCATAAGGGTTGAAAATTTCAAACGTGAAAATAGTTCTAAAGATAGCAAATACAATAGTGAACGATAAAGGTAATATAATAAGTTGATAGTTCTTAAAAGAACTGTTATAAGGGATAAATTCAATTGTTTTGAGCGTCATCTCCTTTGGAGATGACGTACACTCTTTCTTGGCATTATAAATATCGGTAGATTGTAAATTTTCATTTAGCAGACGTTGACACCAGAGGAGTAGTCTGCCGAAATGCACGGTGTCGTTTAATTTAGAACTGTTGGGTTAGTGCTCTTTACTTAAAACAGTTCTTTTAAGAACTATCAACTTATTATATTACTTTTACCATTCACTATGGTATTTGCTATCTTTAAAACTATTTTCAGATTTGTCAACACGACAAAGTCTCTATTTTATTAATTTCAAACATCGAAACTAATACATCATTCCTATAAGACAGAAGTCTAGAGTCTCAACATCACATCCCTCCTAATGAACAAGTACACAAGTACACAAGATTGAACACGTAAGATCAGTGAAGACGAAGAAATTAGCATGGAGAACATGATGATTTTAAGTCTAAAATTTAGCCCATCATGTGTGCAAATGAGCTTAGATCATCACATGATTCCTAAAATACATTGCGTCATTTTCATACAATGCACAAATTACGTCATCTCTAAGAGTTACAAAACCCATGAATCCGTTTGATATTGTTCCATATACAAACTACAACAGACCTCCAAGAGTTGTTGATAAGTCAGATGTGTTCGAGGATCGAGCTCAAATATAAGAACGTGATTGACACCAGCTGCCCTCCAACCATAAGTATTGATGGCCACGAGGAACACCATTACTACCAATAGAAACACTCCACGGTACATGCGCAGTATTGGCAACCATTTGTCACCGTAACCTTTTACTTGAACTACAAGAAATAATTACAAATTATAAGCATTTAAATGAACGCTATTTTTTTAAAAATGCGCATGTTTCGGCAAGCTAAAGCCAACTTTCGTACATAGGAATAAGATGACATTCTATTTTCTTTACCATATGTTCTAGAAATACATATGTAAATAGAATTATTATCCCATTTCTCTTTACTGAAGATGTTATAAGCATGCCGAAACATGATTACTTTAAAAAAATGTTGCTCATTAAAATTTTAATATCTATGAAAAAATTATACGAACTATACCCAATATTATCATTATTATGATCATTGTAACACAAACATTCGATTATAATAATTTTACATTACATGTCAGACAATTGTGCAATAGAAAAATAATAAATTTCCACTTAACTTAGCACAGGTAACAGAATATACATTAAAACTAAAGAATACGTATTTTATAATGGGAACATACGACGTCAATGCGTAAAGGAAGATCCTACATAATTCAGACTGCTATCATTGTTTGGAGAATTGAAAATTTACAATATGCAATTCAATGGTAGTTGTGTATACTTACAACCGAGAATGGCGGAAACTGCCAGCACGAAGAACATTCCGAAGAAAAAACCGCATCGAAAAATGACCCAGCTTCGTTTCTTGAAAAGAAATCAACAAAGAGTCAGTTAAGACGAGTACAAAAAACAAGAAGACTTGTACATTTCACCTTCCTGCGATAGAAAAGCATTTATACCAAGCAGTGGAAAACAACACTTCAATATGATGCTTCGCATTGCATTGTGGGAAGATGGAGGAGTTGAACATGATGCTAGTTTTACACGCCAGCTTTTATAGTTTTTACACGCCTTCTTTAGTAGTTTTACACGCGCCAGCTTTAGTAGTTTTTACACGCCAGCTTTAGTAGTTTTTACGCGCCAGCTTTAGTAGTTTTTACGCGCCAGCTTTAGTAGTTTTTACACGCCAGCTTTAGTAGTTTTACGCCAGCTTTTAGTTTTTACGCCAGGTAGTTTTACGCGCCAGCTTTTTTTTACGCCAGCTTTAGTAGTTTACACGCCAGTTTAGTAGTTTTACACGCCAGCTTTAGTTTTTACGCCAGTTTTTTTAGCTTTAGTAGTTTTACACGCCAGCTTTTAGTAGTTTTACACGCCAGCTTTTAGTTTTACGCCAGCTTTAGTAGTTTTACACGCCAGCTTTACTAGTTTTTACACGCCAGCTTTACTAGTTTTACACACGCCAGCTTTACTAGTTTTTACGCGCCAGCTTTAGTAGTTTTTACACGCCAGCTTTAGTAGTTTTTACACGCCAGCTTTAGTAGTTTTTACACGCCAGCTTTAGTAGTTTTTACGCGCCAGCTTTAGTAGTTTTTACGCGCCAGCTTTGGTAGTTTTTACGCACTAGCTTTACTGTCATTAGTTTACAATGCTACTTGTCTCTTTTACCATGATACAATGGTTGGCGTCATAAGGATTACCATCGAAAAGATGGTACATCTACCATCATCAAGTTGAGCTCAAAATTTTTTGAACAAATTATACGGTTTACCATCATTGTCAGTAGACATGTCGACGAGCATTTATAGGTGATGGTGTCAGTTTGGATTGGATTATATAAACATGCGGATTCAACATTTTATAGCTATCTAATGTACTAGAGTAAAGATAATAGAAGCACAACGTATGAAGACTGAGATAAGTAAGACATGGCCAGACATACGTTGACAAAAAGACTACGTAGGTCCATCTTTCGCATTGCAATAAAAAAATCATAAATTTATCATTCTAAAATCAAACACCTAGAATATCATAAGCCATTCCTTGGAGTCAATCAATGTATCTTTTTGTTTTGCGTTAAAAGCCATTTGTATATAACGCAACTTATCTTCAGCAACCATAATTGGTCGTCTGTCGACGCATTTTCTTAGTTAAATCAATTTTACCGACCTCTCTTTCAGTCAAAGGTGGAACGCGAAGTCTGTTCATTGCTTTTGACCTGTCACCGTGTTCAAGTTCGTTCGTGAAGATGTTCTTTACAAAGCAAAAGAAAACACGAAGTACAACATGAACGAAACAGCACGCAAACGAAACATTAACATAGACGTAATACAAAACAATGTCGTACAAGAATGTGCCAACTGTGATGTCAATAATGAGCAAAGACCACGGGGAAAATAGTTAAATATTAAAACTCTTAAATGAAGACAAATATTGGAGCGTATCTAAGTAACTTCGTTAAAGTACAAATGAAATAAATACCTCTGTTTCGCTGATGAGAGTATCGACACCTTTGTTTAGGAAAAAAGGAGCTTTTTGCACCTTCTTTTTGAAGTTGAGACCATTTTCTGTTTCGAAAAGCTGAAAAGATACACAACACATAAAACATAAACATCCAATGCCTGTCATGGACGCAATTATTTTCTTTGCAAACCTTATCATGTTTCTTCAAAATCTTCCTAAAACCAGTGAAGTTCAATTGCTGAAAGAACATATAATTCATGTCAGCAGCCACGTAAGGCCATTTTCAATGCCCAATTGTTGATGAGTGAAGTATAAATAAGTAAGGGTAACTGGAGAATAATAATGCACAGAATGATTGTCCACTGTAATTGGTTGATCAAAATGAATTTAAACCTAAACAATCGCGCAAAAATCTGCAACAAATTTGCACTTGACTGGAGGCTGAGTTTTCAACATTAGATCACTCCTGACGAAAACACTAGACTGGAGTATGTAAGAACTCAAGTTTCATTATCAGATCACTCCTGACGAAAACACTAGACTGGAGTATGTAAGAACTCAAGTTTCAACATCAGATCACTCCTGACGAAAACACTAGACTGGAGTATGTAAGAACTCAAGTTTCAACATCAGATCACTCCTGACGAAAACACTAGACTGGAGTATGTAAGGACTCAAGTTTCAACTCAAGATCACTCCTGACAAAACACTAGACTGGAGTATGTAAGGACTGGAGTTTCAACATCAGATCACTCCTGACGAAAACACTAGACTGGAGAATGTAAGAACTCAAGTTTCAACATCAGATCACTCCTCGAAAACGAAAGACACTAAACAAGAACTTAATAAAAATCATCTATACCATCCCGTTCGCGAATCTTTACTACAAATAAACAATATCAAACCTGAAAGTTTTGCAAAATAACCAAACTGAGATAGAATTCACTAAAAGCCAACTTCAAATTCTTTTCTTTGCGATGCGTTTTAGCAAGAAGTTTCTTCATATGTGGATTAAAAAACTGACTGGTAACCGTGCCACGTCGAATCTGATTCAAGCTCGATTTTGCGGTGACGTAGGCACTACCTTCAGCCTCATTCTTTAAAGTTGTGAACTTCCTTTGAGCCTCTGCTATTTTCTCTGATGTGTTAAACAAATGAAATAGTCAATAAAGATGATAAGCAATGTTTGGGGACTGGGTCGAGAGCAATCATTGATGTAAAAACTAAAACGTCTCATTTCTTTTGACTGCTAATGTTGAATTAAAGGCCACGATTTAGCAAACTGATAGATTTAGTTAAGTATCTACACAGATTGTCTAAACAGTAAAATAGAGACTCTGTCGTGGTGACAAATGCAAAAATTGTATTAAAGATGGCGAAACTTTGCCATAGTGGTAGCCTCAATGGTATAAAAGTTCTAAAAAATACAGTTTTACATCCAAAACACTAAACCAATAGTTCTAAAAAGAACTGTTTTTAACAACTGAAAGACGGGATGCATTTCGGCAGACTGCTCATCAGGAGTCAACGTCTGCAAAATGTGAACTTAAAATCAATGGATATTTATAACGGCAAGAAAAATGAACGTCGCCTCTAAACTGGGAGATGACGCTTAAAACAGAGTAATAAATTAAACACGTAGGTAATGCATAAGTTAAACACGTAGGTAATCCTTAAATTAAACACGTAGGTAATCCATAGATTAAACACGTAGGTAATCCTTAAATTAAACACGTAGGTAATTCTTAAATGAAACACGTAGGTAATCCATAAATTAACCACGTAGGTAATCCTTAAATTAAACACGTAGGTAATTCTTAAATTAAACACGTAGGTAATCCTTAAATTAAACACGTAGGTAATCCATAAATTAAACACGTAGGTAATCCTTAAATTAAACACGTAGGTAATCTTAAATTAAACACGTAGGTAATTCTTAAATTAAACACGTAGGTAATTAAATTAAACACGTAGGTAATCCATAAATAAACACGTAGGTAAGAAATTAAACACAGGTAATCTTAAATGAAACAGTAGGTAATTAAATGAAACACGTAGGTAATCTAAATTAAACATGTGGTAGCCATAAATTAACCAAGGTAATCCTAAAAATAAACAGTTTAAAAATTAAACACGTATAATTCTTAAATTAAACACGTATAACTTAAATGAAACACGTGGTATCCATTTAAACAGTACTGCATCAATGAGAACGTCTTAAATGAACTTAAATTAAACGGATAAATAACGTCAAAAACGTGAACCTCTTAAACTGGGAGATGACGCTTAAAACAGAGTAATAAATTAAACACGTAGGTAATCCTTAAATTAACCACGTAGGTAATTCTTAAATGAAACACGTAGGTAATCGATAAATTAAACAAGTAGGTAATCCTTAAATTAAACACGTAGGTAATCTATAAATTAAACACGTAGGTAATCGATAAATTAAACACGTAGGTAATCCATAAATTAAACACGTAGGTAATCCATAAATTAAACACGTAGGTAATCCATAAATTAAACACGTAGGTAATCCATAAATTAAACACGTAGGTAATCCATAAATTAAACACGTAGGTAATCCATAAATTAAACACGTAGGTAATCCATAAATTAAACACGTAGGTAATCCATAAATTAAACACGTAGGTAATCCATAAATTAAACACGTAGGTAATCCATAAATTAAACACGTAGGTAATCCATAAATTAAACACGTAGGTAATCCATAAATTAAACACGTAGGTAATCTATAAATTAAACACGTAGGTAATCCATAAATTAAACACGTAGGTAATCCATAAATTAAACACGTAGGTAATCGATAAATTAAACACGTAGGTAATCCATAAATTAAACACGTAGGTAATCTATAAATTAAACAAGTAGGTTATCCATAAGTTAAACACGTCGGTAATCCTTTTGCGGTAATCCTTAAAACTACTTTTAGATTGTCTAAACACTCCAAACACTCTACCTGTACTGTACAGTTTTGCGTGCCAGCACATACAATGGAAATGTTAGGTTCTGCCAAGATCTAAGATAGAACTTTAAACTATGTGAAAGGGCATGCTGGTCGAATGGTGTAAATCTTTCTAAAATTTCTAGCAAGGAAATATTGACCTTTTGTCACAAGTTTACATGGAAATGACTGATGAATAACGTTATATGACGTCATTATGACGTCATTTTGTAGATACGTTTTACTTCAATGGTGAACAAGAACACAAGGCCGATGACATACTTTGTTTGACTTACCCGCAAAAAATGTGTTCACTTTCTCCAATTCTTTTTCACAAAAAATAAAAAATTCTTCTTCAAACTGAGCAAAATGATCCTCCCTTTTAGGATCATCATCTGTAAGGCAACATTGAATAAAATATGATCAGAGACAAACAAGAAACCATTCAACAAGAATCTGTGGATACATCTAGTAAAATTAATGCAAAACCTTTTGGCATGCGTTCCAGAGCTTTGTACAACATCTCTTTCATTTTCTGAAGAAAATACATGAGAACATATTTGTGAAGAGCACTTTCTAAATGTATTCACTAAAGTTATAACAACATTCATACATCATCCGTTGACAATTTGAGCGGTCGATTTTGAAAACTTCAGTGACTGCTTCAAATGGATGAAAGCATATGCAAACATTTCCTTAATTGTTAACATTTTGGATGACCAAAGAAGATATGGAGAACAAGGAGGCCATAAATTAAGCAAGAATGGAAACTGAAGTAAGAGATATTCTAAGCTCAATCCATTTACATGGATGAGCTTAGATCAAAATGGGATTTATTAATTGATCGAAAGCCAACTCAAAAACAGTTTTGTATTTATGAAAAAAATTTATTAAAACATACAATGGATGACATTCTAAGGCCTTCATTTTAATGATGCTAGAAAGTATATCGACTTATATTTGCTAAAATGTGGGGAAAAGAGAGTTTAATGATCAAGATTGCAATTTGAGTCAAAATGTAATCCATGTCAAACAATACACTTTTGTATTATCATAGCTTGTGTATATGTCAGGTGATAGTTTCAGTTTGGTCAGCCTAACATAAACATGGCATTTTTAAAGGTTTGATACAAAAACAGACAACAAGATAATTGGGATGTGTTGGCTGTAGACAGATCATTTGCCCAAAAAATAATTGTACGTGACTTGAAAGTCCAGAAGGAAAGTAATGGAAGCCTTTTAATGGTGCCGAACAGTGTTCATTTCCAAAAAAAAATTATAACATTTACGTTGGATGTGTGTCGAAATCTTATGAATAATTCATGATACTTCTATCAAAAAAGTGCAAGCTGAACTTACATCAACAAGATTGTGTTTTTGAAACAAAAAAATGTGTTTAGTTATAAGCAACAATGTTGTACATATACTTATAGCAAGTCACAACTGCTCGAATTCAACAAACCATAATTTTCAACGACCATGAGTTACGACTTTGACAATACCAGCCAAATAATGATTTAACAATGTTTCGACAGAACACATTCATTCGCAATAAAACTTTTTAAACTGCCGTATTATAAAACTAGATTTCTTCAAAATTTCCAAGCCAGCGGGATGTATTTGATCCAAAAATGCAGTGACAGTTGCACTTTCAGAACAATTCTTACCTCGTATTGTATGTACTGACCGCGCCATTCTGGTGTTAAATGCGACGATAAATGCTCTTGAAACTTCATGTTTACTAGCAGCTGTTGAAATTCAAAAGTAGAGTAGATTAAACGTAAAACCACCACTTAAACAACTGAACGTCAGACATTCATTCCTGACACCAGGTCGCCATTTGACCGGCTATAATTAAAATTCACGAAAAAACAACAAAAGTTCGCAAGGTGCCTTGGGATATATGAGGGCAGTTTGCAAGAATTTCTATTTTGATCACATGCTTCAAAATTCACGCCAATCAAATCAGGGATTTATAAAAACAAAAACACGTCACGGGCTCACGTACATGGCGTGATATAGAGGGCGGGAGGGGCATAGTAGGTATATGAAACAATGCCGGCGCGTGCTTAGCATATTATACAAATTAATCAACGTAATCCAAATTTACAAGCCGTCTTACCAATGTTGTCACAAATGCAAGGTGTGATATGCAATTACTGATGAAGATAAATTAGCAGTTGTCGAACTCCTGTCCATAACTTAGAGCTAATTTATTAAATTCTTTGCTAATACTTTCTCAGACGACAAAATCAATTTATTTTTTCGATTCCATAGGTGTCGATGAAGCTGTGTTTTTCAACAAGTTCTCTCTCTGCCCCTCTTGTGTCGGTCTGAATTGATAAACATTGGATAAGATTTATTATGAAGCTTCGAATAAAAAAATCAGGTAATTTCAAAAGGCAACCTTGGCGGTTGACCGCGACACTCTAAGAAATCAATTGACATGACTTTTTTTAACATTGAAGAAATACCACCAACACTACTTCGTTGCCACCATTTCTAAGATCCGTTGACATTGTTAGACACTAAAATTTGTTAGCAAACCTTTCCTACCATCGCATTGAAGTACTCACGCTCCTGAGTTTCAGATGTTTAAAATCAATACAGCATAGGGCCCTGGGCCATACTACTTTGCTCAGGGCCCTTATAATTTCTCTCGGCTGCACTGTCAGTGATAAACTCTTTGTTTGAATAGAAGTAAGAGCTGTTGCCAGCGACCTTGAAATCTACAACCCGCGAAAGGGAATATACCAAACCTACCCAATATGACGTCAAAGAAACACAGGCTTACATTAAGTAACGAGTACCTGAAATGAATGCGTTGCACGTTTACCAACTCCACTTTTAAACAGGAAAAAAGTTTGAAACAGTGACGTCCGTCAGAGTAAGCGCATAACCTTTGCTAAAAGAAGTCTCTCTTGCTTTTGGAAGCGGTTTTAAGGGACATGTTTCAATTTATGTAGTGATACTTCGGTGGAAATTTTTTCAGGTCAAACTACAGTAAATTTTACTGCGCGTTTTCATTTATACGGACATAAAACATATTCTATACGAGAATTCGTCAACAGCGATATAAAACTAACATGAAGTACTTCAAGAAGCATTACATTTTTTGTATTTTTTTTCTGCACAAGTACTGAACAGATCTTCGATTTTTGTACTGTTTAATACTTATCCATCATTCGCCACTGAATGCATTTGGATATTTTCTTCTTGCGATAACCAGGTTATTAACAAAATAACAAAATTCTTAAAGATAGCCTGGCATTAATGAATTGAAAACCTAGATACGTGCTAATTAAATGACTTTTCTACTCTAAATATAAATGTATGTTATGCTACCTATCGCTGCCTTTCATTCGTGCTTCTAGTTTCGATTGTAAACTCATGACTTCCGCTTCGAGTCGTTGATTGGATCTTTTTATTGTTTCATATTTTGATTCGACCGCCTGTAAACGGAAAAAGTCAAAGATTCGGTTAAACCAGTCACCATTGGGTAGATATACAGACGAAACATAGGCTAGTTTTCAGGTTTTCGAGTAGCAAACAACTTCTATTAGTACCAGTCAATCTCAACCGACATGTTGAAGTCTGTCATATGATGAAGCACCAATCAAATTCAGCCCATAGGATGACGTCACATTGAAGACAAAAAAACACGATGTGAAATCAATCTTGTACATTATGTTGAATTTTCGCCAAATTATACTTTAAGTTATGAAAAAAGTATCTTTCACCGTCAATACTTGCAGCGTACTTTATTGTCGTTAAAACGAAGTACTTCACGTAACGTTAACGTAAGAGCTCAAGCACGAATCATGTGTAGACAATGAAAGTTAAATAAAACTGTATTGACTTACATCCAATTTATTTTTCCAAATTTTCTTAATACTTTCTATTGATTTTTTCAAATCTGTTATTTGGTGATCCTGAAACAACAAATGGTTCCAGTAATGAAGTAATACACAACTAGACAAAAGGTTAATCAAAGTCACGTGATCACTGTCAGCGAATCGCTGCTCCAGAAATCCCATCAGAAAAAAAATGTTTCAATTTCCACCTTCCTGTGTTTCCCGATCTAGTTCAATGCACCAACTCTCGGCACTCCAAGATTATATTGGTAAAAGCAAAGTAAGGACATATACCTTTTTGGTCAAATTTGTTTCCAATTCCAAAATATTTGATTTGAAAAAGGACATTTCAGCTTTATGTTTGTTGACCAATGTTCTAGCTTCTAACATGTATAAAAAAACAATATCAAAAAGCCGAACTTTGTTAGCAGTAGGAGTAGTCGTAAAACTTGGGTGCTTTCAAAGCATGTAAGCAAAACAGGAAACTAGAAACTTCAAGAGGACCACCACTCAAAGTGTCATTTGAGGCTCGGTAGCGTATGAAGAATTATACAAGTATTGCCTTTCAAATACTCGACATTGGTTTATAAAGCAAGCCGCATTACAAACATGCTGCTTCTTACAGAAGAATATTACGAACTTAAACAGGATACGTGGATTCGTATTAAAGCAATTCTTGTGTGGATTACCTTCTAAATCTTTTTCATAGATGGCCAATTTCTTTTCATCTTCTGGTGATCTTTTTACAATGGTCCGTAAAACCTGAAATGCATCTTTGTATCGCTCTTCCCGTTCTCCCATAAGCAGCAATTGCATCGACTGCGTGTTGGCCTTAATAACGAAAAAATACTTTCATATTTTAAACAGTTGGCGAAATAAGTTGGACGGTAGACACTATCCGTCAGAAAGCATCAAACTTTCATAAAATTTTGTCGACGATAATTGGAATCAATATCACTGAGCATCAAATAATTTAACCAAGACAACGGACTACGCTCAAATAACCGTAGTTAAGACCACAGAACTTACTCCCCCCTCTCCCCAAAACAAAAAGATTAAACTCACCACTGCAAACATATGATTACTTTTAATATTAATGTAGGAGCATTTTGGCGCGAACCCCCCAAAAAACCAAGGAACCCAAGAGAAAACAGAGAAATTAGCTTCATTTTGATGACTACCATTACTGATTACTGCTACAAATATACAAGTTGATTCAGGGTTAAAAATAACAGACGTTGACACACGATGAGTTGTCTGTCGAAATACATGGTGTCTTAAATCTATAGAACAATTCTTTCAGAAACTTTTGGGTTCGTGCTCTAATTCTCAAACAGTTCTTTTCGGAACTCTTAAGTTCCTTTTCTAGGTTTCCTCTTGGGTATTTTGATTTTGCTTGGGTGTTCAGGAAAAGTCTCAGTTCTATTGCAACAAGCGATTTCGCATCATCGAAATAGACACAAGGCTTGGAAAGTAAAAACGCGAAAAAAAATTATCAAACACAAGACATGTGTAAATTATAAGAATGCTATATTGCAGATATGTGAAAAACACAGTATAGCAAAAGAGCAGTGTAAAAATACTGTGTAAAAAGACCTAAACGCTATTAGCAAATACCTTAGATTTCAAAACAGCATTCTCGTTTTCCACGATTTTCAAATAAGACGAATCATTTTCCAATTGGAAAATCTTTGCTTTAGATTCTTTTATATCCTTAATAAAAGAAAACATTGCCGTAATTGGTGATCTTGGTCGCTAGGTGACGTCTCAGCCAGCAAGGCATGACGGTATTGCACGTACCTTCAGCAGTTTATCATTTTCGCAGCGATAATGCTTTACAACCTCAGCTAGATGAAGTTTTTCCGTCATCAATGTTTCGTTTGTTTCTGACAACTGCCTAACAAGTATGAAGATGGAAGTAAGATGTTATGAATTTAATGTAAACGACGAGCCTTTTGAAAATAGACATGTTTCGACATCTCATGATGCCATCTTCGGTATGAGTGAATAATTACATATATAATACAGAGTTTATAAAGTAAATGGTTTAAACCCGGGAGTATCGTTACATGTTTGTAGATGTAGATCGTCCAGGTTGGCATAGTCCTGAGAAGGACTGTTTTTGTTGTTGTTGACTGACGTTTCAACAACCTTAGCGGTAGTCATCTTCAGAGTAACAAAAAAAAATAAAAAAATTTAGTGTTAGGGTTAGGGTGAAGATGACTATGAAATACAAAGTACCACAAACAAATCAATAATTTTTCACAATATGCAACAAAACGAGAAAGCATTGTTGAACACATATACAATACTTGTATGGAATACTCAACGTGTCTACGTTTTGCTGGCAGGCAAATTGGTCTATAGTGAATTTTTTTTGTTACTATGAAGATGACTACCGCTAAGGTTTTCGAAACGTTAGTCAACAACAACAAAAACAGTCCTTCTCAGGACTATACCAACCTGGACGATCTACATTTACAAACATGTAACAGAGTTTATATGAAAGTAATATGATGCATTGACATAAATATATAAATGTGGATAAATTATAACAATAATAAGGAAATGAGATATATTAATGGGGAGCGTGTTTTATGACTAAATATTGTGTTGTATCTAAAAATTTGAACATTGAGGTCAGGGTAAGTTTTGTTAAGCACTCCATATTTATATATTTATGTTACTGTATCATATAACTTTCATATAAACTCTGCATTATTTATGTAAATATTCACTCATACTGAAGATGGCTTCATGAGATGTCGAAACATGTCTAATTTCAAAAAAAATCGTCGTTTTCATTAAATGCGCATTAGCGATAGTGCATTTACAAAACTATGAGATGAATTAGTGTTCATCCTCTTATTAAAAAAACAATTTTTGAGTAAACGCGTTCAACCGCCACATTGCTATATCTTTAAAACAACTTTCCTATAAAGCATAGCTTACTTTTATATACGTCATGTTTACGTTACATACTTAAATTTACTGAAATGCCTTCAATTCTTCATTGAAGGATCTCACCAATGTATCAATCAACCAGATAAAGGATGGACACTCAAATGACAGATTTTCGATTTGCTGGCCTATTGTGCAACGGGATGGCCCAAAATTTGCATACATTGGACATTCGATATTGGATTTGCTGTTGAATCAGTTTTTCAAAAACATAACTCAATTTCTGTTTCCCCAAATACTTCATACCTTATCCTTTCACCTTGCTTTTTGTTCCAAGCATCTGCTATTTCTTTTAATTGCCTACAAATATGCAAGAACACAATAATAATCACTTTAATCAGTGAGCCGTTAGAAGAAATCTCGAATGCAATATATTTTGCGACCTTTGCTGAAAAACAGTTTAGGCAACAGGCGAAGATAATTAACAAGCTGGAGAAAAAGTGTGAAATGACTGACAATTTTTTCGCGATCAATTAAAACGTTCGGTAATCGCAAGTTTAAGTGCTCAAAGCAACGTCGACCGATGTTGAGACACAATTACACAAACCTGTTTTCCTTTTCTTTATCTTTGCATGACTGTTTTAATACACAAACTTCTTTCTGTTGAACTTTAAACTGATCTTTCTATGGCGTTAAACGAAATGATTTTATTCAAAACACAATGGCTAATTCGAAACTCTACATCTCGGAAGCCTATAATAACCATTGAACTAAAATACACGGAACGCTACCTGTACTAGAAAAGCCTAATAAGTTTTTGAAGCCAAATCTTACACCTAGACATGCGTGTGTGGTTCAATCAATTTTCGATCCGCGAGAGAATCTCAAAACACTAAACACGCGTGTCTGGGTGTAATCTCGCTTGTCTGGGTGCAAGTTTTGGCTTCAATTATTTGCTTCAGGTGGCGTTCCATGTTTAGTTCACTGATTATAACACAGTTGAGTATATAATTTTTTACGCAAAAGCGGCAAGAGATTTGAGGTTTTTCATCAGTTCAAAATTCTTGACTAAAAGATTAACAATAAGATTATATGTTTTGATGTCAGCATTAACGTTTACTGCATTAACAGTACAGAAGTACCCCTCGCTATATCGACCACAAAAAAACCCTGGATAAATAAAAAGATTTATAAATAATTACTAAAGCAGCCAGCTCCTCTTTTACAGCGTTTGTCTGAAAAGCTTTGCCAATCAATCTTCTGTTTCTCGTTGCATGAAGATCGCACTTGTGTCTTTCAAACATCAGTTCACTTTGAATTAAAAGTAACTCTCTACGAAGAAGGTTGACTTCGTCGTTTGGAGCAGATCCTAGACGAGATGAATATATTTATATAGTGATGACGGAAATGGTGGTTTCCTAGAGCATGGTGGTTTCCTAGAGCATGATGGTTTACTAGAGCATGGTGGTTTCCTAGAGCATGGTGGTTTACTAGAGCATGGTGGTTTACTAGAGCATGGTGGTTTACTAGAGCATGGTGGTTTACTAGAGCATGGTGGTTTACTAGAGCATGGTGGTTTACTAGAGCATGGTGGTTTACTAGAGCATGGTGGTTTACTAGAGCATGGTGGTTTACTAGAGCATGGTGGTTTACTAGAGCATGGTGGTTTACTAGAGCATGGTGGTTTACTAGAGCATGGTGGTTTACTAGAGCATGGTGGTTTACTAGAGCATGGTGGTTTACTAGAGCATGGTGGTTTACTAGAGCATGGTGGTTTACTAGAGCATGGTGGTTTACTAGAGCATGGTGGTTTACTAGAGCATGGTGGTTTACTAGAGCATGGTGGTTTACTAGAGCATGGTGGTTTATTAGAGCATGGTGGTTTACTAGAGCATGGTGGTTTACTAGAGCATGGTGGTTTACTAGAGCATGGTGGTTTACTAGAGCATGGTGGTTTACTAGAGCATGGTGGTTCACCAAAGCATGGTGGTTTACTAGAGCATGGTGGTTTACTAGAGCATGGTGGTTTACTAGAGCATGGTGGTTTACTAGAGCATGGTGGTTTACCAAAGCATGGTGGTTTACTAGAGCATGGTGGTTTACTAGAATATGGTTTATTATAGAACGTTGATTAGCCAGACAATGGTGGTACAATAGGATAAAGATTTAGTAAATGATTGTGGATTAATAAAGCATACAGTGGTTTACCATAGAATATGGAGGTTAACTATAAGAACGTGACTAGCAAGAGTATGGTAGCTTACTCTACAATGGTGGTTTACTTTAGGAAGGAGGCTTACATGAGTGTGAGGGCATACTATATAGAATGGGGGTTTACATGAGTTCGATGGCAATAACTCCCAAAAAAATTACTCTAAAATCGTAGCTTGTAAAACAAAAGAAATAAAAATCAAAAATGAAGTACCTCCGAAGTGTGTCCACTCCGTCCCTTCTTGACTCACCAACGGAATACTAAGAACAAAATAAAGAAAGTGAAACTTCAAATCGAACTCTTAGATTCAACATAAAACATACAAACAACAAAAAAATATAGCAGGTCAGTGCAAAAATACGTTAGAATACCTGTGTAATTTTCCACGCTGCAAGCTTGCCCCGAGCAAAAGGTATTGATCGAGCAACTGTGATGGAGACAAACTTCTTTCCCATTCAAAAGGATCCGCTTTCTTGCCATGACAGTTACCCAAACAATGTCGACAAACACTCATCGTGAAAGATTGTAATGTTTCCAGTAAATCTAATGGAGCTTTAGGCATTGCACACTTCTCACTGGGCGCAGCACAAAATGTATCTGACTTCTCTTTGTGTGGTCCACGTGATTGCACAGTTTTATCTAAATCAACGCGTACCGCATCCCTTTTCTCAGAGTCCGTACCCTCCGTCTTCTCAGAGTTCATACCCTCTGTCTTCTCATAGTTCATACCCTCCGTCTTCTCAGAGTCAACCCCCTCCGTTTTCTTATAGTCAATCTGCTGTGTTTTCTCATAGTTCAACACCTCCGTTTTTTCATAGTTCATCACCTGCGTCTTCTCAGAGTTCTTTCCCTCCGTTTTTTCAGAATTTTTTTTCTCCGTTTTCTCACTGTTCACCACCTCCATTTTCTCATTGTTCATCCCCTCCGTTTTCTCACTGTTCGCCCCCTTCATTTTGTCATTGTTCATCACCTCCGTTTTCTCACTGTTCACCCCCTCCGTTTTCTCACTGTTCACCCCCTCCATTTTCTCATTGTTCATCCCCTCCGTTTCCTCACTTTTCATCCCTTCCATTTTCTCAGAATTCATTTCCTCCAATTTCTCGTAGTTCATGACCTTAGTTTTCTCATAGTTCCTTGGCTTCTTACTCTCGAAATCTATAGTGTCCATTGAGGCTTTTTCTTTGCTTTTCACGATCTTCGCTTTCTCGACGGTCGATAAAAGCGACAAAGAGTTCTTGTCGAAGAAAGAGTAACTGTGAAGGACAATTTCGTTATTCGTTGCAGCGTATTGATTATTTGATAATCTTGGTTGACCAAGTGAAACGATAGACGTCGATTCATCTTTAATGGCGCTTTGCTTGTACAGTGAAGGATGACCTTCAAAAGGATCATGCAAAGTCGGATCACATCGTGTAGAGTCGTCCACAGGCAGCTGCCGTGAGTTCATAATCCTAGTGTTTTGACCACAAAGAACACCCTCGGTTTGTGTAAAGGTTTTACTTCCCTCCGTGTGAATGCCTTTCCTTTCCTTCTGTTGAGAATGGATGGGTGTCGCAGGTCTCTCTTGACTTACATTGCTACATCCATCCAGAAGTAATGAGTTCAGCTGATGTATCGACGTATGCCCTATTGATATATCAAGAATGCTCCCGGAGGGGGATGTGTTCTTAGACGAAGGAGGTGTTGACAAACTACATAGGGCGGTGGGACTGGCGAGCATTGCAGATGATTTAACCAGGGGGGTGCAGTTACCAATCTCTGCACCACTATCTAGTGAATATTGATTTGAACAATAGCTGACACTTTGTAAGGATGTGCCCGTTTGTGTGGCAATGTCGAGACGTTCCTCCTCACCAAATGCCGTCTGATGAGCGCTGTTAAACGAGCTGCTTAATATGCCCGAGCTTTCCGAGGCTATGACGTCATAGGTGTTCGGGCGTGACGTACACACGGATGATAGATGATCGCTCTCCTGAAGACGAACGGACCTGGGTTCCAGTGATATAATCTCGCAGTCAATCACAACGTCATGGGCTTCTTTACTTCTCCATCTGAATGAAAATAGAAGAAAAAGTAATTGGCCGCCTTGAGGGCGTTCTGTGAAGATGACGTTATTGTACTTTGAAGATGACGTCATTGTACTTGGAAAACATTGTCTAAGTTTGAAAGAGAGATTTGGGCTGCACCATCTTCAAAATAAAGTCGACCCCCCCCCCGAATAACCATTCCTCAAAGTCACGAAACTTGAAGTTCTTACCTGTTCTTGCCGATTTCGGTTTCCTCAGTTTCAGTGACCAACCATGGATGAAATTTAACCCATCTCAAAAGAGCCTATATGTTGAAAATACTTTATGTAACTGTGTCGTGAAAAAGAAGTAAAATTAAGCGACGAAACGCGAAATAAATTGATTATTTAGGTATTCAAATTTCAACATCAAATATTTCCCGATAATAACGCTAAAGTGGAGTATATAAAGACTACAGTTTCAACACTAGATGACTTCTCACGATTCACAAAGACACTAGACTGGAGTAGCTATATAAGGATTCAAGTTTCAACATCACGTCAATCTTGATGAAGACCCTAGACAAGAGCACCTTCATAGGGACTTAGGCCCGTTTCAAACGTCGCATTTTACACGCGCCAAATGCATTCAAAACAATAGAAAATGAGATAAAATTCTTTATAATCTTTTGTTTTAAATGCATTCCGCTCATGTAAAATGCGACGTTTGAAACAGGCCTTACAACTGAAAATACCAGACTTAATTTTCAAAATCAAATCAACTCTGATAGACATTGTAGCACATAATCAAGTTTCCACATTAATTTACAACACGTAACATAAGTCACTCAAGATAAAAACGAAGAAAGGAGCTTTGTCATATCGTTACAATCAAACAAATGTAAAACTAGCAAAACGAAGACAATATAATACCTCGAGTGATCTGTGCATCTCTTCACCGTGCTTACCATGCGCTGATTCGTAAAAGGATTTCAGAAACGAAATGGTGTGATTAGGATACATAGAGTACAAACGATGAAAATACACATTCACGCCAATTTTCAAATGAAGTAAATGCGTGTCCGAAGCAATTCCTGCGATGAAAATGAAACGAAAAAAAAACATAACATAACTTCTTGAACTGGCTATCATGGTCGACTATAACAAAGATTGTTTTTGTTGTTGTTGACTGACGTTTCGACAACCTTAGCGGTAGTCATCTTCAGAGTCAAATGTCAGACCTACGTTTGACTCTGAAGATGACTACCGCTAAGGTTGTGGAAACGTCAGTCAACAACAACAAAAACAGTCCTTCCCAAGACTATACTTACCTGGACGATCTACATCTACAAACATGTAACGATAATCCCGGGTTCAAACCATTTACTTTATAACAAAGACGTAATGCAAAAATTTTCGTGCACAAAAACAAAAACAGTGTGTCGTTGAACGAACCTTTCTTCTTAGCAGTAATCAAGAAAATCCTTTCAAAAATATCGTAGAAATCCGTCAACATGGTTCCAACAAGCGAAGGAACCGACGGTAACAATGACGCAATGATCAGAATTCCCGCCATTAATACCACAATATCTTCGTCAATCTGAACAAAGTTTAAAACTATTAAGTAATGATGAATTATACAACTTTTCATAAGAGTATGGCATAGCTACAGACTGTATTGTTTGTGAAGGAATTGTAAATAATTTCATAAGATAGAAAATTGTAATGTAATTGATGGTTTTGTAGAAATTCACACTAACCTTGAGACACTTTATGAATGAATTGAAAAATCCTGCAGATATTATTGTGTGAAGCCATGATGGCTAGTCAAAATGGAAAATTTACAGTATTATTTAGTGACATGGGAAGCAAAAATGGTAAATGTCTATGGGCACATCCTAGGACTTAAACACAAAAATCTGTCTACTGTACTTAAGACAACAATACTGAACTTCAACAAATTGAACATTGATTCAGTCACACAATCAATCAAATCAATCAATCAATCAATCAATCAATCAATTAATAAATCAATTAATTAATCTAAACACATTATTCCTGGGAATACTAAAACCAATAAAATGCATAAATGCATTTAGCTCATATAAAAGGCAATGGAGTATTATTATATAATATTGAATAATAAAAAAATGCCAAGTATTGAATGATAAACAAATGCCATTTTATTCCAAAGCCATCATCAGAGATTATACATAAATGGCTTGGTAGCTCAACAGGTAGAGCGGCGGACTAGTATCCCGAAGGTGCAAGTTGAAATCTTGTCCAAGTCACATGTTTTTCATGTGCATATAAAAACCGTGTTAGGATTAATAGTATGTATAAACAAATGCCAAGTATTGAATGATAAAAAAATACAATAAAGTCAAGCCTGATAAAATGTATACGTAATATTATATTACTTGGATATTCTGGGTTGAATTGAGCTTTATAAAACAATAAAGTTACTCATACCTGTCGTTGAATTACACTCCAAAGCAACATTAACGTTGGATATTTCTTTGCTCTGTGTTTTAATCCTTCGTTCATTTTCTCAAACAGAAACTGCAAATTTTAAGGAAACTACCCTAAATCCTTCGAGAGATGTTTTTCTATACATCACTATAAAAAAATTTTCAACTAAAGTGTAGTAAATGATATCAGCTTATTCATTTGTTTCTGTTTCTATTCCAAATGGCTTCAATGGTTCTCACAAAGATTCATCCAAAAAAATAATACATATTTGAATGAAATAGCACATGACACCTGTGACAAGTCAGAGGGGGCATGTTTTAGACACTGATTTAGGTTCATTTACTGAAAAATAAGAGTTTAATTGGAGATGGGTGGGTGGTGGGTAGGAGGCAAATATCATCTCCAGACATCCTCCACCACGAGTGTTACAATAGTCTATGCGAAGTAAATACATGTTACACCACAAACTGAAGTAATACATAGTTATTCAAGAAATTAACACATAGCAGGCATATCGTGGTCACTGGATAGCGACATACATACGTTCACGTGATTTTGTTGACTTTGATCCAAGAGGATTTCGACAGCCGCGCGACAATTTGTTTTCACGTATAAACCAAAAAGGTCGCTAATAATCGCGTTGCACTGCTTGGAACTCGTCAAGAGCAGCCGGTGAATCTCTTCCTTGGCCTCCGCAACTTCCAAGTTTACAGGTGAACATAATTTCGCAAGGGGTATTTTGCAATCAATGTCATCTCCATCGCTTGTGATACTAAACTGCACGACAGAACTGGCCATACTTTTCATCTACGTATCGCTATTTGCACATGAACACTGCCCCACTATACACGGCTATCCGTGTTCGATCATATTTTCATCCATACTACACAACCGAACTGCAAGCAAATGATGATTATCATCAAGGATTAGCGAAGACACACGTTTACGTCCTCTGCCATTATTAATTGCCCAGAGCAAAGAAAATTTACCGTGCTTCCGTTTTAAAGAAGTGATGTCATCGTTTTATTTATAATCTTTATGATCGTACCACTGTCATACCACCTTGATACATCCAAAGTAAACTTTGGCATTCATGCGTTCAAGACAACTTTCACTTATATTCTTTTGTTTCGCGATGTAAGTGGATTAAGACCATCATTAAAGCGTTGAACACGACACTGCGGGGTAGAATTAATTTCCCCTGGAAAAATCAACAAAAAACGCTGTGTGAAAATTGAATAGATATTTGAAACAAACCATCATATTTAATTGTGAGTCAATGAATCCTTGAATTTGACACCTTATTAAGTTTTCAATAACAAGCCTTTAATACACTTGTCTTTACACACATTCAATTGACCGCCAACTTTTCTAATGTACTATCACAAAGGAACAAATTTCCGGAATTTGTGTCACAAGCTCTCTGTTGTCAATGCACCAAATGAAATTCAGCAAGAATTCCTTAATTTCTTTGATATAGAAAGCCGTCTGTATAATTATAAAAACTAACATGTCCTTTTTGTCGTGTCTTCTCACATGGGAAAACTTAAAGGTAAATTTGCTGATCGCTTGAGAAATTATTAAAAATTGACGTATATTATCAATTTCATTTCTAAATTTTCTCAAGACGCTTCTTTCAATGTACGTCAATACGTTTGGTCAAACTTGTGACAGAAACTTCGCCTTTATTTTTCAAAATGAAATTTCGCTAATGTAGCATGCTGAACAATTACGTACAGCTTAAAATTTTCGTGTAAAAGAGGAATTTCTTTCAAATAAAACGTTTTGTTTGTTCATGTAGCACAATACCATATTTTTCTCAGAGTAATCACGAAGGCAAACGCTCGATTTTATGTCCAAATAAGTCCATTCTAACTACTACAGTCTACAGCAGGTACGAAGAGGGCAGAACGTTTGTACAAATGAAACATTGACCACATTACACAGATGTTTACACTTTGCATGAAAAAAGATAATCCAGTAGACTGGAATGATGAGAAAGCCTGTTGCAAGCGAGTTACTTTTAGGAAACCATCAGCTATCAACAGCCTTTCTTAAAACGTTAAGGAACATGATCTTTTTCTATCGAGGTCGGTAGCTCCACCTTTCAAAATTTAAGTTTGTGTTCGAAAAAGACGAAACGCTCATAAAGTGCCACAAAAGAACAAGAAAGAAATTATAAAATATTCAAAAAGTACATTCATCGCCGAGAAATGAGAAACGGGAAAACGGAAATGAAAGAACAATAAAAATTTTTCTATCATTCAAAAGCTTCAGTTTTCATTGCCAAATTGAAACAGGCGTAAGTTGGCAAAGTCTATGAAATATAAGTAGTTCAATATCCCATCTAATCCCGTCGTAACGGAAACGAATCCTCGTGTATCCCGTCTTTAGTTATCAAATGTATGACGACGGCATCGCCTGTGTAAATATCGCGTTCTGACGCAGACGTAAAAACATCTTTAACGAGAGCGACAGCTTTCTCCTTGGTGAGGGCGGGAATCTCCGAGGCTCTCTCCTGATTTTTATAACCAATCTGTTCAGAAAATTGACGAAAAAACAACGATTATGCTCAAGATTGTCTACAGTTAGTAGCAACGAGAGATCCCTTTTTAAAGGAAATAAAGTAAATGGTTTGACCCCGGGAGTATCGTTACATGTTTGTAAATGTAGATCGTCCAGGTTGGTATAGCCCTGAGAAGGACTGTTTTTGTTGTTGTTGACTGACGTTTCGACAACCTTAGCGATATTCATCTTTTGACTCTGAAGACGACTACCGCTAAGGTTGTCGAGACGTCAGTCAACAACAACAAAAACAGTCCTTCTCAGGACTATACCAACCTGGACGATCTACATTTACAAACATGCAAAGATCCCTTTTAATTATACAAAGGTTGCACACTTTAGAAATAGATAATGTGCGTGGAAATCTTCAGCAAAAGATGGTTAAAGCTGTCAAACCTGGTTGTCCAGCAAAGCTTGCACACTTTAGAAATAGATAATGTGCGTGGAAATCTTTAGCAAAAGATGGTTAAAGCTATCAAACCTGGTTGTCCAGCAAAGGTTGCAGCAAGGACGAGGCGGAACCAGCGGCCCGGAATATTTCACGTTCGTAAGAACCAACTGGATCGAAACTGTAAACGCATCCTTTTCCTTTGAAGAAAATAGTAACATTACACTCAATTTAGTTTCAGAGTGAGATATAGTGGCACATTTGGTGGAAAATAAACTGGTTTAGGAGGAAGGTAAACAGGCTTTGGAGGAAGGTAAACTGGTTTGGGAGGTAGGTAAGGTGGCTAAAAAGGGTGAAAAGTTGTTTAGAAGGGAGGTTAACTAGCTTATGAGGAAAGCTAAGTGAAAGGCCCAGTAAAAAAGCAACAGCATACAAAACCTAATGCATTGTTATTCCATATGAAACAAGTAAAAAATACAAAAACTACAGTATACGTACCTTCTGAATCCAGTCCAGCAAGAATGTTGTAAGTGTAAAATGGGAAAAATCGTCTTGAATACAAGATGACTGATAGCATTTGAGCAACAGCTGGACAGCTAAAATTGTTCACAGTTTATACAACATGTACAAGTGAAGCTTGAGATAGAGACGTTTGGCGTGGAAAAATTCATGGACCGGTCAACCCCCCTGGCGGGGATTAATACTGGCCAGTATACAAATGTTGTTTGTGTTTGTGTTTGTTGTACAAGTGAAGCTTGTAAATACATATTTTGATAGAAAGGCTGAAATTGTCTATACATTTATCTTATTATTTAAACAATAAACATTAAGACTCGTGACATATTCTTAGATGATTCTTCAGTTCTATAGTTTGTATGAATTGTATGAATTTTTGCAACTCAACACTATATAGCAAAGTTTTCATGGAAATTTTGCACTAAAGCATTATTATTCCTCATTTACTTTACAAACCTCATTCTTTTTCCATGCTCGTGGTAATACATCTGTCGAAAAAAAACAAAAAATTTTGTTAAAATTAAACTAGTAATACACCTACGATAGCAGTACACTCAAAACAAGGAAAATGCTTGAGGATTGAAAAATTTTCTCTTCTGTGAAATAAAGCATGTTTTATTGACATCAATAGAGAGTATGTGTTACTTCAGAAAGTAACATTTTTTAAAAAGATTGATACTTCAATCTGAAGAGGTTCATGGTTTTAACAACCATATTGGGCTGAAATGTACCAAACTTCTTTCTACAAAGCTAAAACATGGCTTTCAGGGGGGGGAGGGCTATTCCATAATCGAAATGATAACTTGCCTGAAGTCTTGCATTGATATGTTTCATCAAAGTCAGACAATCTCCATGGAAACCAGCACATCCAAGCACTGTATTGTCAGTTCTTAAACGTGCAAATGAAAAGCATTATGAAATTACAAAATTTCAGGGTTTAACATCAGACAAAACAGACTTACAGTTTATAGTTTTTTGGACTAGTTCGAGAATGAATTGAGAAGCCCTGACTAAGTCTTGTGTCTGAAGCTATCACAGCAAAATCTTCACCAGAAATGGCTAGTACAGTTCTATATTGAAAATATAACTGCTTTATACGGGGGGACGTGAAAACACAAAAGCAAACAGAGCCTTGAACACGTTTCTCAATATTAAGTTTCGGTAATCATCACATCTCAAAACTTACCCTCCATTAAAAGCATAGGGATTGAACTGAACTTCTTTTGGAGTATTTTGATAATATCTCTGGCTCTCCAACATATTAATCTTCTTTTTAAAATTTTCGTTCAAATTTCTTGCTGCTAAAGAATACAGTTCATTCGATGATGAAGATGAGGACGGCCAAATAATTAATTTTCTTATTATGGAAATTGGGAAAATCAAAAGCGGAAACATTACTTGGCCTTCCACTTGACGAGCACGCTTTCAATTTTCTTCTATCAATACATTCAAATTTTAAAATATAGTACAAATATCCTTCGAAAAATCCTCTTAAAAACAATGGTATGTTGGCGTCATCTGTTCCTTTTTCCTACGTTTCCTTTCTTTACGTTATTTATGAATTTATTTCAGTTGTTTTACTCATTCTTCAAGTCACTGGTTGGAAAAGATGTCATAATAGAATTGAAGAATGATCTGAGTATTTGTGGCACGCTGGATTCAGTGGATCAGGTACACGATAAACTGTTCAAGTAATGACAACCTAGTACTTGGACCAAATATGCCAATATTTGGCTTCTGAAGACTTGGATGAGGTTACTCAAGATACTGCTTCGATTAGTTTTATAATGATGGAAAATCCTTCAACTAGTGTTAGTTTAGTTTGTAGATACTCTAATTTATTTAAGCAGTACACAAGATAGCGAGGAACTAATGTGATGCACAAAAATATGCTGTGCCTGTGTTGCTAAATAAGTAAAAACAAAAGCAGATACTGAGATACATAACAAAGACTAAGTTATAATGTTGTCTATTCTAGGCAAGGGTTGCATATTAGGGGAATTTTGGGTGGGTTTATTGTTTCCCTCTCCCCCAAGTTCTTTTTATTTACCCCTCACACTATGAGTGCTGAACACCTTACATCAGAAGTGATAAAAAGGTAAAGCTGTATTATCTAGTTTTACACGATAGCTAACAATATAGACAGTACATTTTTATAACTTAGTGGTGTAACACCTCCAGTGTTGTACAAAACATGTGATTGCATGGTCTTGCTTTTCAAATACATTCAGTTTCTGAACATCAAGTTGACGGATATCAGTGTTACGGACCCAGAGAAGTATCCTCATATGGTAAGAACTTTGGTAAACATTTGAATTGTTGCAAGTCACGGGAACCTAAGATAATTGCAACCATTTCAGTTGTCTGTAAAGAACTGTTTCATTCGTGGTTCGGTTGTGCGATACGTGCAGTTGCCAGCAGAAGAGGTTGACACCCAGTTGCTTCAGGATGCCACAAGGAAAGAAGCAACTCAAACCAAGACGTAGTCCAAGCTTTTAGGAGTGAATTTGCTACCCGTTTTGTGCAATAACTGCCTTCTACATCCAACAATGCTCGAAGATTGAGGACACCAATAAATGCCTTCATAGATTGATGTATTAATTTTATGTCAAACTTAACATAGTTGTATGGAAGAACTTTTTTTATGAAAACTTGAGTGCAAACTGTGTGTGTCATCTGTTAAAGTTATTTTGATTGTGATTGCCTCTGTTGTTTTAGTAGCATCAAAAGAACGATTTGTGTAAAAATTAACGACCCTCTTATATGAATTGGTGAATTAGATTTTTCTTTTCTGAAGTAATAAATTTTATGACAACTCATTGTTCTTCTCTTTTATTCCGCGCAATATTAATTAAGTGCCAAAACGCTTCTTTCAATGAAGTGTTGGTTGTACGGGGTAAAATGAACATTTGATGTTCGCAACAAGTGGTACGAGCATCTAGCAAAACGAAATGTTGAGTGTGAGAATGTATTACAAATTGAAATATATCAAAGAGATGAAAAGGGAGATGGAACTTTAAACTCGAGAAGAAATGCGAAATGTTATTGTATGTTTTTGTTACATAAATTGTATCTATATGGTGTCTGTGAGACTACATGTGTAGTGTGCGCAGTTTTTTACTTACAAGCAAATCAAAACACAAGCTACAATCCACTGAAACTTTCATTAAAAAACTGAGCACTATACAAATACCGTATACCGTATAGCTCCAGTATACCAACTATATACTAGTGTCTTTTAATGTGAAATCGCTGTTCACCAGTATTCCACTTAATCTGGCACTTACTTGTACAGAAACCCTAATTACTAACACCTCGGACGTACTGCCATTACCGACAGAATACATTATGGAGCTATTGGAGCTCTGCCTCACCTCGACTTACTTCCAGTACAAAGGTACACACTACAAACAATTACATGGAACAGCAATGGGTTCACCCGTTTCTGTTGTAGTTGCTGAAATTGTAATGCAATCTGTAGAGGAACAGGCGCTCACGACTTACAAACATGCACTACATGCAGACGAGATTGATGACTTTCACACTCACATCAACAAACAGAACAGCCACATACAATTTACCAAAGATGTCGAAGAAAACGGAACTCTTCCTTTTCTCCACTGTTTGGTAAAACAGGATAGTCAAAAACTACGAACAACAGTTTATCGCAAACCAACACACACTGAACGACTACTAGACCAATCATCTTACAACCTTACATCACACAAAGCTACCACAATCAGAACATTACGTGCACAAAGACGTGCACAAATTATATGTGATTCACCGGACGCCCTACACAAATATAAAGTAAATGGTTTGAGCCCGGGAGTATCGTTACATGTTTGTAAATGTAGATCGTCCAGGTTGGTATAGTCCTGAGAAGGACTGTTTTTGTTGTTGTTGACTGACTTTTCGACAACCTTAGCGGTAGTCATCTTCAGAGTCAAATGAGGAGTAAACGTCAGGTTAGCCGTATTTGTTATCTGGTTCTTACGTCATTGTATTGTGTGCACAGGAAATGTGTATTGTCATTGTGAATTAGTGTGAAGTGAAATATTTTTATTTTTAGTTGTGATGTGTGATTTAGGGGTGACGTTTTTAGTTGTAATTTGTGAGTGTCAATTGTGTATTGTCATTGTGAATTAGTGTGAAGTGTAATGTTTTTAGTTGATCGTTTGTTTGTATTGTGAATAAGTCGTTTGTAAGGTGCCGGTAATTGCTGTGATCTGTTCAGGGGAGTTTACACTTCACAACTATCTCAAACGTGTTTTTGACAAAAACAACTATAACTCTGACTTCATCAAACGCAACACTCACAAACCCAACGAACTCAACGAAACGAACAACTCAGTGACAACAACAACGATACCTTACATCAAAGGTACGTTTGAGACTATCTCGCGTATCTTACGACCATACAACATACGTGTCGCACATAAACCAATCACAACGTTACGACAAGTACTAACGAACATAAAGGACAAAGAACAACCCAACGAACGACAAGGTGCAGTTTACAAAATAAACTGTTCCGACTGCCACGCCTCTTATATCAGGGAAACTGGCAGGAACTTAAACATAAGACTTACTGAACACAAACGAGCTACAAAGAAACAAGATAAAACTAATCACATTGCTGAACATCACCGAATCACAAAGCACAACATTGACTGGGACTCGGCAAAATGCATTACTTACAGTACTGACTATGGACAACGGCTTACATTAGAAAGTTGGTATACCAACTTGGACAAGCCCCCCTGTACAGATCACAGCAACTACCGGCACCTTAGAAACGACTTATTCACAATACAAACAAACAATCAACTGAAAACATTACACTTCACTCTAATTCACAAAGACAATATACAATTGACACCCACACATTACAATTAAAAACATCACACCTAAATCACACAACACAACTAAAAATAAAACTATTTCACTTCACACTAATTCACAATGACACCCACACATTTCCTATACACACAATACAATAAGACATAAGAACATGATAACAAATACGGCTAACCTGACGTTTACTCCTCATTTGACTGTGAAGATGACTACCGCTAAGGTTGTCGAAACGTCAGTCAACAACAACAAAAACAGCCCTTCTCAGGACTATACCAACCTGGACGATCTACATTTACAAACATGTATAGTCATTATTGATGCTGAGCTATTGTAATTAAATGCACGACGCATGATCAGGATGTTACAAGGAATGACGTAAGCAATAAAAGTGAAAGCGCTGTGATTAAAAGGGAGTAAAAAGAAATGACAATCTTCTTTGTCACTTTCAAGGTCAGAATTTAAATGAACATTCCTGAAATGGGTGTAAACATATCTACATTTCTAATAAATCCTTTAAATAGTAACATGTCGCAAGGAGTTTATAACTTCTATCAGTTGCTAGGTTACAGGTTACTAAATTACGTTCAAAACAAGAATAAAAGGAACAGAGAACATAGACGACCATAAAGGGCTTTATAATAAAATGTAAATTTTCTTGTGTATTCCGCCGGTTGAACAAAAACAGCTACGGGGTGCGCAACTGCATGCAGATAATTTTAACGTTTAAAACGTATTACAGCATAGTTTACAATTGAATGACAATCCGAGTGGGCACAAGTAGAATACTTCGAATTTCATTGATGTCCAAATATTTGTAGCGAAGCAAATAAATGCGAATCAAGAAGAGGTTATTTGCAGTTCGAAATGACTTTCCCGGCAGCTCCTGAAAATAGCCTCGAGTTGCAAGAACGTTACTTGGACAGTGCTGATGGAAATTCAACACGAATTTCGCATGCCGAAGTTCCGAATGAAGAAATCTTCGATGCTGCAGCAAGAGAGGATGTTAAAACGGACCTTCAAATTGCGGCTAAAAAAGGTTGCGAAGATGACATACAAAAGCTTTTGACAGAAAAAGCTGACTTGAAATATGCTCTTTTACGATGCGTTTATGAGAACGATCTTCAATGCCTAGAAGAGTTGCTGACATATCACAAAAAATCAGACGACCGCTTGCTCGAGCCAATTATAAAGGCAGCTCAATTGGGTCACTACAAGATTGTAGAACACTTCATGTCAAAGGATTACCTTATCGATGATCCGGACAAGTGTGAATACAAAAGTGAACGGTGCAAGCTAAATTCGGAGATGCTTCGTTCACGAATTGCCATAAATTGCTTCAGAGGGCTTTCAAGTCCCGTCTATATGTGTTTAGGGTAAGTCAAGGTAGTTTAGAGACACGTAGTACTGTTGTGAACCATGGAATGAGGATTTGTTATAAACAAGAATAGATCTGACATATATGGTGTATATAGAGTTATGTATTGTATTAAGTAAAAGCTAAATATACTCTTGTGATCGTTTTCTTTCTACTGAACTGACTTTTGTCTGTGGCGGCAAGAAGAGACAAATTCGTTACGTTTGTTGAGTGCTGATAGTTGTGGTTGGTTGGTAATGTAACTGAAAGAGAAATTCTTCATCACCTACTAACCACAACTATCAAACAACTATTATCACCTAACAAACTTAACGAACTTGTCCCCTCTTCTCGCCATAGACACAAGGCACTTTCATCTAATTTCAGGCTCGTCGGGATGAAATTGTAGTTTTTGTAAGTTTTCTTCTTTCTGACAATATTTATGTATATAGTGTTTTCTTTATTAAGTTACTTAGAAGACAAGATCAAAGATAACAAAGGCAACACAATAGACCCCCTTTCTCAGGCGTTTGAATTAAATAAGAAGTTACAAAAACGCGCGAGAGATGAGCCTGAACTGAAGAAGGAGTACATGGAATTGTCAGACAAATGCAAGACGTTCACGACGGAACTAAACAGTGCTTGCAGAGACAAAGAGGATCTTATGGCTCTGTTAGATATCGACGAAAAACATTTTGCCCCGAATGATGATGAGAAGGATGATGAGAATGTAAAGAAAGAAAGCAGTTCTGCGGTAGCAACTTCATTGAAAAAGGCCATCAACAGTAATGACAAGGAGGCAAGTAAAAAACTGAGCATTCTACACTTGCACACACACACGCGAACACAGGAACCATAGATATAGTGCTTGGCGAAAACCTCATAAGTATAATGTTTCTTTGCATTTTCTCTCAAGTTCGAAGTTTCACCCTCGGCCACAGAGTATTTCACAACAAAGACAATTTTTTTATTGATATATTTCAGTTTGTAGCCCATCCTCATACTCAAATGTTGGTCAACTTCGTCGTATACTCGGGCCTTCCAAAGAATATCCAAAGAACACGCATTGTTTACCGTCTGTTTTTATTTATCTTCTACACGATTTTCTTCCCTGTCTTTGCGTTACAATACCTCTTCTGTCCTTGTTCAAAAATTTCAAAAATGATGTCCACTCCATACCTGAAGTTTGTCAGCCATATTTCGCAGTTCATAATCTTTCTTTTCCTGATTGCTGGCTCCTCGCTGCGAGATAACCACACTCCAACAGTCATAGGTAAATTATGAATCAACTAGAAGTCGTCTCCAGTCTCCAGTATGAAACTCGCGCGTTCATTGTATCCCTTTCTGTCTAGAATATATCATTTTCCTAACTGTCATCGGAATGGTATGTCAGGAGATTCGTGAAATGCGATGCCATGATCGCCAAATGAATTATGTCTTCAAGTGGTGGAACATCAACATGATCATAATGCTGACTTTGTTTGTCATGGCAGGATTAAGTTGGATTGCTGGTTTTGCCATCACGGGGGGTTGGTCAATCAAAGACTACTCCGTTAGGAAATACGCCAAGAACAAAGATGGATATAATTTACTTTTACTGGGAAATAGCTTTTTCTCAGTGGCGAGTGTCTTCAGCGTTATTCACTTGATTGATTTTTGTCAGGTAAGACGAAACGTACAAAGTCAGACTAGCCATTTCTTCGTAATATATTTTTGTTCGGGTATTCTTGTTATTGCAAGTGTTGGAAACTATTCGCACCAGATATTTTCGTATAAAAGCCCCTCACATAATTGCGCCTTCTAATTCTTCTTTTCGCAGGTCAACTCCAGGTTAGGGCCGCTGCAGTTATCACTATATCGTATGATTCAAGATGTCGTGAAATTTCTGATATTATTTTCTGCCATTTTCCTCGCATTTGTCATGGGTTTAAGAAACCTTTATTCGTACTACAACAGCATTCAAGACGAGATTATCAAAGAAAACAAAAATCTCAGCGACAGACGAATCTTAGAAGATACCAACAAAAGGTTTTCAACGTGCGTAAATGAATCTTAATCCTTTTCAAAAAAGCCAATTTTACCTCATTGAATTACAATCACAATTTCTCCTTTTACAGTCTTTTTCAATCGTCAAAACATATGTTTTGGGCGCTCTTCGACAAAATCGAGTTAAGCGACTTTGATACGAAAGACTCGACGTTTGAAATCACACAAGAAACTGGCAGATTGCTATTCGCAATGTACTCAATCCTTGCTGTCTTGATAGCACTCAACATGCTCATTGCAATGATGAGTCATTCATACGACTATATCTCGGTAAGGAGCATGCACAAGTTGGACTTAGTACGATAGTTAGAATACTCATTTACGCGCAGGTCTCGCCAGTAACGGATCCAGGGTATTTCATTACAATTTTATGATCCAAGTCTAATTAACATCCTCACATAGTGAGTTCCTGTGTAGTGTGGCTCTGTAAATGCCTCTGTTTTCACTAGATATTCTAAAACCTACATAGCAAAACCAAAACGCACAACAAATTCAAAGCTTATTCATGCAATCAGCACAAACATGCGCCACTTGGCTTTATAAAACGTCTTATAAACTTCAATAGCTAATAGGTTTACTGGAACATACTGTCCAAGCAGTTGGAATAAATATTTCACCACTTCAAAGAATTAACTAAGTTTAGCGATGAGCTTTGTCTTTCACAAACATGACAATTTTCATACATCAAGCTCGACCAGATAATAATGCTCAATAATTCTATGAAACGGACACCTTTAATTCCCAAAACCAGAGCCCCACTAAAAATTCAAAACGAAACTCGAAGTGAATGAAGCCAGCGGTATTTAATTCTATTTTACTTGCTTAACTCAATCACAAAACTTTGAAAATCAAGACTCTGGGAGATTGTAAAAGAACAATGTTTGATCATAGCAGCATAACACACAGCCATGCTAAATCTATTAAAATCACGCTACCATTTGTTTGCATTAAATTTTCAAAAAATCATCACCATGTAAAATATCAACTATCACATTCACATCTACTGTTTACAAGTTATTCTTCACAAAACTGACCCAACAAATAACCAGATGACCAACCGATTAGCTTTGAGTTTAAGGGCATTTCAATTATAGCAAGACGACGACATCCAGTGGAAGTTCAGTCGAACAAAATTGTGGCTGGAATTCATGGAAAAAGGAAGTACTTTACCAGCTCCGTACAATCTAATATCGATTGTGATTGAACTGTTTTGCAAGTTAAAGCAAAGAGTAAGCGCGAAATATTGTACGTATCATAAAAATATGGAAAACGTAACAATATTTGCTTTACTTAATCTTTAAGCTCAAAAGAGAAAGTGGCGATACCCATTCGAAAGATCAACCCAGTAGAGACGAAGCACAAGACAAGGTACGTGTAGCAAGATGCAAGTATGCAAGTTCTTGTTCAGATCTTCGTAAACATTTGGTATGTATTCGTAAACTAATACCGAAGATTCTTCATAAAAATGAGCGAAGTAAAGCCATGTAAACATAAGATTCTAACAAATCGTTCGTTTATATTACGGGCTAGAAGAAAAAGGGCTGGATGCGAAATCAGGTTTTCTTCCGGAAATCTTCGCTCTTTGAAAACTATATATTTGCACTGTGCGTATAAGCGGAGTTTTAGCACCATGGTAATGTGAAGGTACCAGGATGCCGGTACCACGGTAAATATGAATGCCGGGGAAAATTTTCATGGGAATAATTCGACATCTTTTTTAGAGAAAAGAGATAATCAAACGCCTAATTCGACGATACGTCCTAGCACAAAAAGCTCGGGAAAAACAATGTTTGGGAACAGCTAAGGACATGGAGGAAAGCAAAATCTAAATCATCAAAGAACAACGCATGCAAATGAAACGTCTCGACGTCTTTTAAAATAAATTCACACATATCTATCACACAAAATCCATTACCAGCCGACAATTTTATGTAATACAAAATGAAGCATATTCCGAATAAAAAGTTCGTGTTTACCTCAATATTTGAGAAGGAAACAAGACAATTTTTATTTGAACAGTTATATTTATAATTTGTAACAAATTCATCATCAGACTATATGTAACAAATTCGAAATATAAAGATTGAAATAAAAATTGTCTTGTTTCCTTCTCAAATATTGAGGTAAACATGAACTTTTTATTCGGAGTATGCCTCATTTTGTATTGTTACACAAATCACAAAATTTTATGTGAAACTTAACATAGTTGTATGGAAGAACTTTTTTATGAAAACTTGAGTGCAATATGTGTGTGTCACCTGTTAAAGTTATTTTGATTGTGATTGCCTCTGTTGTTTTAGTAGCATCAAAAGAACGATTTGTGTAAAAATTAATCTCCCTCTTATATGAATTGGTGAATTAGATTTTTCTTTTCTGAAGTAATAAGTTTTATGACAACTCATTGTTCTTGTCTTTTATTCCGCGCAATATTAATTAAGTGCCAAGACGGTTCGTTCAATGAAGTGTTGGTTGTACGGGGTGAAATAAACATTTGAGTCAGTTTCTTAGCTGCTGTTTGCAACAAGTGGTACGAGCATCTAGCAAAACGAAATGTTGAGTGTGAGAATGTATTACAAACTGAAATATATCAAAGAGATGAAAAGGGTGATAGAACTTCAAACTCGAGAAGAAATGCGAAATGTTATTGTATGTTTTTGTTACATAAGTTGTATCTATGTGGTGTCTGTGAGAGTACATGTGTAGTGTGCGCAGTTTTTTACTTGCCTTTTTGTCATTACTGTCGATTTCTATGCTAATAACCCCGATAGAAGATATTTTAACGGTTAACACCAATCAAGGACGTGGAATGAACGTTTGAAAAGGCAAACGCGTTTGTCCTGCCGATCTTGGACGCTAAAATGAAATATATATGATGCCCCCAACGATGGAACACCAAAATAAAGTAAAAACCGATAAATATAAACTTTAAAACTATTCTACTCGTAGGAGTTGAAGCACCGTTTACTGTATTGGCTTCTTCCTAAGAGGAGAATCTTTCTATGATCAGAATGACATTTCGAAGTTTGTCTTCATTTGCTGGTATCGAAACTGTTCCTGCAATTAGATGTTTGTATCTGTATGAAAGAGTAAGTTAGCGACTGGTAGGCTTTATTTATTATACATTATCCTGGCAGGTTTTGCTCTTTTTTCGAGATGTCCAAAAAAAATGAGGAGGTACAGGACTTAGAAAATATCTAAAATGAAACGTTTATTTCATTGTTAAAAACAATATGTTGCAGTATGTCAGTCAAGTACTTATCTTTCTCACTTACAAGCAAATCAAAACACAAGCTACAATCCACTAAAACTTTCATTAAAAAACTGAGCACTATACAAATACCGGACAACTATATACTAGTGTCTTTTGATGTGAAATCACTGTTCACCAGTATTCCACTTAATCTGGCACTTACTTGTACATAAACCCTAAACCCTAATTACTAACACCTCGGACGTACTGCCATTACCGACAGAATACATTATGGAGCTACTGGAGCTCTGCCTCACCTCGACTTACTTCCAGTACAAAGGTACACACTACAAACAATTACATGGAACAGCAATGGGTTCACCCGTTTCTGTTGTAGTTGCTGAAATTGTAATGCAATCTGTAGAGGAACGGGCGCTCACGACTTACAAACATGCACTACATGCAGACGAGATTGATGACTTTCACACTCACATCAACAAACAGAACAGCCACATACAATTTACCAAAGATGTCGAAGAAAACGGAACTCTTCCTTTTCTCGACTGTTTGGTAAAACAGGACAATCAAAAACTACGAACAACAGTTTATCGCAAACAAACACACACTGACCGACTACTAGACCAATCATCTTACAACCTTACATCACACAAAGCTACCACAATCAGAACATTAACAAGACGTGCACAAATTATATGTGATTCACCGGACGCTCTACACAACTATAAAGTAAATGGTTTGAGCCCGGGAGTATCGTTACATGTTTGTAAATGTAGATCGTCCAGGTTGGTATAGTCCTGAGAAGGACTGTTTTTGTTGTTGTTGACTGACTTTTCGACAACCTTAGCGGTAGTCATCTTCAGAGTCAAATGAGGAGTAAACGTCAGGTTAGCCGTATTTGTTATCTGGTTCTTACGTCATTGTATTGTGCGCACAGGAAATGTGTATTGTCATTGTGAATTAGTGTGAAGTGAAATATTTTTATTTTTAGTTGTGATGTGTGATTTAGGAGTGATGTTTTTAGTTGTAATTTGTGAGTGTCAATTGTGTATTGTCATTGTGAATTAGTGTGAAGTGTAATGTTGTTAGTTGATCGTTTGTTTGTATTGTGAATAAGTCGTTTGTAAGGTGCCGGTAATTGCTGTGATCTGTTCAGGGGGGTTTACACTTCACAACTATCTCAAACGTGTTTTTGACAAAAACAACTATAACTCTGACTTCATCAAACGCAACACTTACAAACCCAACGAACCCAACGAAACGAACAACTCAGTGACAACAGCAACGATGCCTTACATCAAAGGTGCGTCTGAGACTATCTCGCGTATCTTACGACCATACAACATACGTGTCGCACATAAACCAATCACAACGTTACGACAATACTAACGAACATAAAGGACATAGAACAACCCAACGAACGACAAGGTGCACTTTACAAAATCAACTGCTCCGACTGCCATGGCTCTTGTATCGGGGAAACTGGCAGGAACTTAAACATACGACTTACTGAACACAAATCTCAGAACTATACCAACTTGGACGATCTACATTTACAAACATGTGTAGTCATTATTGATGCTGAGCTATTGTAATTAAATGCACGACGCATGATCAGGATGTTACAAGGAATGACGTAAGCAATAAAAGTGAAAGCGCTGTGTGAAACAGGTGTAAACTTATCTACATTTCTAATAAATCCTTTAAATAGTAACATGTCGCAAGGAGTTTATAACTTTTATCAGTTGCTAGGTTACAGGTTACTAAAATAACGTTCAAAACAAGGATAAAAGGAACGGAGAACATAGACGACCATAAACGGCTTTATAATAAAATGTATATTTCCTTGTGTATTCTGCCGGTTGAAGAAAAACAGCTACGGTGTGCGCAACTGCATGCAGATATTTTTAACGTTTAAAACGTATAACAACATAGTTTACAATTGAAAAACAATCGGAGTGGGCACAAGTAGAGTACTTGGAATTTCATTGATGTCCAAATATTTGTAGGGAAGCAAATAAATACGAATCAAGGAGAGGTTCTTTGAAGTTCGAAATGACTTTCGCAGCTTCTCATACTAACCTCGAGTTGCAAGCACTTCACTTGGACAGTGCTGATGGAAATTCAACACGAATTTCGGATGCCGGAGTTTCGAATGAAGAATTCTTCAATGCTGTAGCAAGTGGGGATGTTGAAGCAGTCCAGAGTAAAATCAAAAACACCAACAATCCAGTTGACTTTAACGCCATAAACTCAGATGGCAAAACGGCGCTTCAAATTGCGGCTGAAAACGATCGCAAAGATGTCATAGAAAAGCTTTTGACAGAAAAAGCTGACTTGAAATATGCTCTTTTACGATGCGTTTATGAGAACGATCTTCAATGCCTAGAAGTGTTGCTGACATATCACGAAAACTCAGACGACCGCTTGCTCGCACCAACTATAAAGGCAGCTCAATTGCGTCACTACGAGATTGTAGAACACCTTATGTCAAAAGGCTACTTTATCGATGATCCGGACAAGTGTGAATACAAAAGTGAATCGTGCAAGCTAAATTCGGAGATGCTTCGTTCACAAATTGCCATAAATTGCTTCAGAGGGCTTTCAAGTCCCGTCCATATGTGTTTAGGGTAAGTCAAGGTAGTTTAGAGACACGTAGTACTGTTGTGAACCATGGAATGAGAATTTGCTATAAACAAGAATCGATCTGACATATATGGTGTATATAGCGTTATGTATTGTATTAAGTAAAAGCTAAATATACTCTTATGATCGTTTTCTTTCTACTGAACTGACTTTTGTCTATGGCGGCAAGAAAAGACAAATTCGTAACGTTTGTTGAGTGCTGATAGTTGTGGTTGGTTGGTAATGTGCATGAAAGAGAAATTCTTCATCACCTACTAACCACAACTATCAAACAACTATTATCACCTAACAAACTTAACGAACTTGTCTCCTCTTCTCGCCATAGACTCAAGGCACTTTCATCTAATTTCAGGCTCGTCGGGATGAAATTGTAGTTTTTGTAAGTTTTCTTCTTTCTGACAATATATATGTATATATGTTTTCTTTATTAAGTTACTTAAAAGACAAGATCAAAGATAACAAAGGCAACACAATAGACCCGCTTTCTCAGGCGTTTGAATTAAATAAGAAGTTACAAAAACGTGCGAGAGATGAGCCTGAACTGAGGAAGGAGTACATGGAATTGTCAGACAAATGCAAGACGTTCACGGCGGAGCTAAACAGTGCTTGCAGAAACAAGGAGGATCTTATGGCTCTGTTAGATATCGACCAAAAACATTTTGCCCCGAATGATGATGAGAATGATGGTGAGAATGTAAAGAAAGAAAGCTGTTCTGAGGTAGTAACTTCATTGAAAAAGGCCATCAACAGTAATGACAAGGAGGCAAGTAAAAAACTGAGCATTCTACACTTGCACATACACACAAACACAGGAACCATAGATATAGTGCTTGGCAAAAAACTCATAAGTATAAAGTTTCTTTGCATTTTCTCTCGAGTTCAAAGTTCCACCCTCGGCCACAGAGTATTTTACAACAAAGACGATTTTTTTATTGATATATTTCAGTTTGTAGCCCATCCTCATACTCAAATGTTGGTCAACTTCGTCGTATACTCGGGCTTTCCGAAGAATATCCAAAGAACACGCATTGTTTACCGTCTGTTTTTATTTATCTTCTACACGATTTTCTTCCCTGTCTTTGCGTTACAATACCTCTTCTGTCCTTGTTCAAAAATTTCAATAATGATGTCCACTCCATACATGAAGTTTGTCAGCCATATTTCGCAGTTCATAATCTTTCTTTTCCTGATTGCTGGCTCCTCGCTGCGAGATAACCACACTCCAACAGTCATAGGTAAATTATGAATCAACTAGAAGTCGTCTCCAGTCTCCAGTATGAAACGCGCGCGTTCATTGTATCCTTTTCTGTCTAGAATATATCATTTTCCTAACTGTCATCGGAATGGTATGTCAGGAGATTCGTGAAATGCGATGCCATGATCGCCAAATGAATTATGTCTTCAAGTGGTGGAACATCAACATGATCATAATGCTGACTTTGTTTGTCATGGCAGGATTAAGTTGGATTGCTGGTTTTGCCATCACGGGGGGTTGGTCAATCAAAGACTACTCCGTTAGGAAATACGCCAAGAACAAAGATGGATATAATTTACTTTTACTGGGAAATAGCTTTTTCTCAGTGGCGACTGTCTTCAGCGTTATTCACTTGATTGATTTTTGTCAGGTAAGACGAAACGGACAAAGTCAGACTAGCCATTTCTTCGTATTATATTTTTGTTCGGGTATTCTTGTTATTGCAAGTGTTGGAAACTATTCGCACCAGATATTTTCGTATAAAAGCCCCTCACATAATTGCGCCTTCTAATTCTTCTTTTCGAAGGTCAACTCCACGTTAGGGCCGCTGCAGTTATCACTACATCGTATGATTCAAGATGTCGTGAAATTTCTGATCTTATTTTCTGCCATTTTCCTTGCATTTGCCATGGGTTTAAGAAACCTTTATTCGTACTACAACAGCATTCAAGACGAGATTATCAAAGAAAACAAAAATCTCAGCGACAAACGAATCTTAGAAGATACCAACAAAATGTTTTCAACGTGCGTAAATGAATCTTAATCTTTATAAAAAAAAACCAATTTTATCTCATTGAATTACAATTACAATTTTCTCATTTTACAGTCTTTTTCAATCGTCAAAACATATGTTTTGGGCGCTCTTTGACAAAATCGAGTTAAGCAACTTTGATACGAAAGACTCGACGTTTGAAATCACACAAGAAACCGGCAGATTGCTATTCGCAATGTACTCAATCCTTGTTGTCTTGATAGCACTCAACATGCTCATTGCAATGATGAGTCATTCATACGACTATATCTCGGTAAGGAGCATGTACAAGTTGGACTTAGTACGATAGTTAGAATACTCATCTACGCGCAGGTCTCGCCAGTAACGGATCCAGGGTATTTCATTACAATTTTATGATCCAAGCTAATTAACATCCTTACATAGTGAGTTCCTGTGTAGTGTGGCTCTGTAAATACTTCTGTGTTCACTAGATATTCTAAAACCTACATAGCAAAACCAAAACGCACAACAAACTCAAAGCTTATTCATGCAATCAGCACAAACATGCGCCACTTGGCTTTATAAAACGTCTTATAAATTTCAATAGCTAATAGGTTTACTGGAACATACTGTCCATGCAGTTGGAATAAATATTTCAGCACTTCAAAGAATCAACTAAGTTTAGCGATGAGCTTTGTCTTTCATAAACATGACAATTTTCACACATCAAGAACTACCAGATAATAATGCTCAATAAATCTATAAAACGGACACTTTCATTTCCCAAAACAAGAGCCCCCATAAAATTCAAAACGAAACTCGAAGTGAATGAAGCCAGCGGTATTTAATTATATTTACTTGCTTAACTCAATCACAAAACTTTGAAAATCAAGACACTAGGAGATTGTAAAAGAACAATGTTTGATCATAGCAGCATAACACACAGCTATGCTAAATCTATTAAAAATACGCCACCATTTGTTTGCATTAAATTTTCAAAAAATCATCACCATGTAAAATATCAACTATCACATTCAAAACTGTTTAAAAGTTATTCCTCACAAAACTGACCCAACAAATAACCAGATGACCAACCAATTAGTTTTGAGTTTAAATGCATTTCAATTATAGCAAGACGACGACATCCATTGAGTTTAAATGCATTTAAATTATAGCAAGACGACGACATCCATTGAGTTTAAATGCATTTCAATTATAGCAAGACGACGACATCCATTAAGTTTAAATGCATTTCAATTATAGCAAGACGACGACATCCATTGAGTTTAAATGCATTTCATTTATAGCAAGACGACGACCATAGGCGTACGGGCACATATTTTTAGGGGGAGCTGGACTAAATTTGCCCGAATTATATGACGTCATATGACGTATGACGTCATAGATATTCTTATGTTGTCTCTGGCCATCTCAATTAATAAGCTAAAATCATTACAATTTGCTAAGAGGATGCTACGAAAGTAACTACATTTTATTTGATATTTGAAATTTTGTCATATATAACACTAGACGCAGAAGAAATTTAGTTAGTTAAATGTGCGACGATCTAAGACTAAAAGAAATAAGATTTACGATTACGTCGCTGTCCAAAAATGTTAATTATCTTTTCCATGTCGTTCTTTAAAGTACTATTTGCATAGGCTCTTTCCACATTGATTAGGGCAATGCTGTTTAACCGTTTTGACCAATTGTACTTCGAAGATAGGTTTTAAGCGACGAAGAGCGCTAAAAGATCTTTCTGCTGAGCAGGATGTTGCCGGGATCGCGGCCAGAATCGAAAATACTTTGTAAGCCACAGGCAGGACTTCATGAACACCATTTTCGAACATTCTCTTAACAATTTTGGCAGCGTTTTCTCTCAGCACAAGGGAAATCAACGTCAATATTCTCAAAGACATTTTTCTCGCTACTAAGAAGCTCACTGTCGATACCATAGAAGTGTGATACCAACTCAACATTCGCCGTGGTTGGAGACCTGTTGAACACAATATCTGCAAGTGCCAATAGGACCTCTTGATCACTACCTTCAAATCTTGATTTCATCTCCGCCACAATCTTGTCAATGCTTAGGTAGTAGCATGTGATACGATAGTAATCTTTTCTGTTCGATTTTCCACTTCTGCATTTACTTCAGCCATTTCACCGACGAGAGCTTGGAGCCGCCGTGACGGCTGTTGGAATCTTGGTACTTTTGCATCTTTGAAATTGAATTCTGTACCTTCAATTTGCTCCTTAATTTTGTGTGCTATGATTTCAGCCCGTGACCATAACAGTTCGAAATTTTCGAGGGAACGACATCCAATTAATGTCTTAATCACGCCATCAACACTCTTCTTTGCTGTGGCGACATCCATTTGCTTTCCTTGTAGGTACCTGCTCAAACCATCGGTGTTAGATAAAATAACCTTTAATACCATCAAACCAAAAACGAACCGAAAGTCGCAAATCGAGTTAAGTAGCGAATTGCTGTCATTGTAGGTCTTCGGATCGCGATCTTTTGAGAGTGTAAGGAGAACCTCGATGATCTTAGGTAATTGGTTTACTACTGCTTTTACAGCTGCCCAACGACAAGACCATCTAGTAGCACTCTGCGATTTAATAGTCAGTGTAATATCTTCGTCCTCATCTTCGACCTTGATGTCATTGAAGATGGAGTGGCGTTTGGGACTTCCTTCCAAGAAATTATGGAGACTCTGGATCACACCTAAAGCTTTCTGAAGTGGCTCAATTGTAGTCATCGTATCTTGTAGCGCCAAGTTAAGCCGATGCCCATGGCAGTGAACATAGATGCTAAGAGGTGAGCACTCCTTCATGCGTGCAGCAAGTCCTTTGCGAGGGCCACTCATATTTGCAGCGCCATCAAAGCATTCTGCGACAATGTTTTCCAATGTCAACTCTAGCCTGCCAATGGCTGTCTTTAACAGCTCATACAATACTTCTCCTTCCGTAGATTTGGTTGAATAGAAACCAGTGAATGTCTCTTTGGTTTCGCCATTGAAAACATATCTGAGGAAGAGATAATTGCTCTGTTCGACTGATGTCTGCCGTTTCATCGACAACTATTCCGTAGTAGTCGCTACTTCTTGCTTCTTCTGCTATCCTCTCAAGCATGACACTTGCTACTATTTCCAGTAGTTCATTTTGAATAGCAGGGGATGTCCACTGAGCATGTGTCTGCAGCTGGCTTTGAAGTTTAGATTTCAGCCAAGGCAAATCGTTGCATCTTATGCAAAGTAACTCGAGAAAGTTTCCTCTATTTATATCAGATATCTCCCATATATCACCCCGAATCTCTTCATGACCTCTAATTGCAACATTTTGTTGTGCAGTGTACATCAAAGATTGTATGATTACTTTTAAGTATTGTCTGTTAATAGCAACCTGGTCCTGGTGTGCACTATTCAGCTGTTGTAGTACGGAGGTTTTCTTCTTTCCATTGCTTTAAACTGGAGCCATCTTGTCATGGATCTGACGTGGTTCTCACTCTTGCCATGTTTTGCCAGCTTTGACGACTTCTTCCAATTTGTAAGCACAAATGAAGTATTCTTCCCAAATTCTTTACAGGCAAAACAAACGCATGCATCTTTATCCACTTCGTAACTAATCCATGGATATTTCTTGTACCATTCAGGCTGAAATCGTCGCACAAATGTTTCACTGCCGAATTTTCGTGCAGGATATTCACCTAATATAGGCTGTTTTGGGGCGTGCAAGGTGGAAATCTCTTCTTCATTCATACTGTTAAGGAAACCTTTCTAGTCTGTTCATTTAGAACAGATGCTGTTGAATCTAAATCTTGTATTGCTGTTGTGTCTAGAGTGTTAGACGTCGTCGTTGATTCTGGTGTTGCAACGCGTTGTATATTTTGATTTAAGTTAAATTCTTCGATGAACAGTGCGTCACTGGAAGTAAGATTTTCATTATCCGTGACCGTATTCAATTCTTTATTTTCTCTGAACTGCGTCAGTGGATTTAATTCATCAACATCAATAAACGTTCTCATTGGTTCCGTTTGGTCTTCGCTTATGGGCTCCTTCAAATTAATCTCAGGTAGATTTTCCTCAAAAGACCCAGTGGCTGCTAAATCTTTACTAGCACTCGATTCTGTTTCCTGTAAGGTTAGGTTATCATCCTTGGTTGTCATGTTACTTTTTACAAAGAAACCACTGATCTTTGACTGCGATAAATCCGATGAATCCATCACTCGATGACACTTAACTTTTTCATTATTGTGAACTCGTCGAAAGTGGACCTCCTTATAATCACTGTCAATTTCCTTGCTGCATTCCTCGCACCAAACGCGATGTCGATACGGTCGTTTACGAGACGCCATATGTACGCTTTATTAGAGCTTGGCTACTAAATGTTTTCCCCTTGTGGATAATAGTTTCCTTGAACAACAATCATAGAGTGAATGGCACTAATCTAATCAATGGAATGGACAGTGCCTCTCCATACGAAGCCTAATTTTCATGCAAAAATTAAAAATCACTTTTGGGGATCGCAGCGATTGTTAATCTATATATTAATGTATAACGGATAGCGTGTGGGGAGACGATTTTTCGCAATTTCAAGACATTTCAAGACTTTTACTGACCTCAGCCCTTTTTTATAAATGGAGAACGTTATGTGGATAAATTTAATACCAAAAGCTTTGCTCTGATTGAAAATATCGGCGTTCGTGTTCGTTTAAAAGTTGTAAACACCGAATATATTCGTCGCAATATCGCTAGTAAATAGACCGATTTCTCGTGACGTAATTTGTTTATATTATAATGGGGCGGATGTAAAATTCTCCTATTATGTCTCAAGAAAAATTTTGCACCCAATCACTTTACGCGATTTTTATTTTACCTCCTGAAATTTAAGTAATTTAAACAATTTAAAAACCATCCATTAAAAGACCGTTCACGCTCAAGAACCGAAGCAGTTTATGATATAGAAATGATGTAGATTAATATTGAAAATTTAAAAACTGTAGTAAGTATCTTGCCAGAATATCATGTAAATGCTTGCCCGAATACACAAATTCTCGAGAAATTGGGGCTGCAGCCCCCCCAGCCCACCCCCCCCGTACGCCTATGACGACGACATCCATTGAGTTTAAATGCATTTCAATTATAGCAAGACGATGACATCCATTAAGTTTAAATTTATTTCAATTATAGCAAGACGATGACATCCATTGAGTTTAAATACATTTCAATTATAGCAAGACGACGACATCCATTGAGTTTAAATACATTTCAATTATAGCAAGACGACGACATCCATTGAGTTTAAATGCATTTCAATTATAGCAAGACGATGACATCCATTGAGTTTAAATGCATTTAAATTATAGCAAGACGACGACATCCATTGAGTTTAAATGCATTTCAATTATAGCAAGACGATGACATCCATTGAGTTTAAATGCATTTAAATTATAGCAAGACGACGACATCCATTGAGTTTAAATGCATTTCAATTATAGCAAGACGATGACATCCATTGAGTTTAAGTGCATTTAAATTATAGCAAGACGACGACATCCAGTGGAAGTTCAGTCGAACAAAATTGTGGCTGGAATTCATGGAAAAAGGAAGTACTTTACCAGCTCCGTACAATCTAATATCGATTGTGATTCAACTGTTTTGCAAGTTAAATCAAAGAGTAAGCGCGAAATGTTGTACGTATCATAAAAATATGGAAAACGCAACAATATTTGCTTTATGTAATCTTTAAGCTCAAAGGAGAAGTTGGCGATAGCCATTCGACAGATCAAACCAGTAGAGACGAAGCACAAGACAAGGTACGGGTAGCGAGATGCAAATATGCAAGTTCTTGTTCAGATCTTCGTAAACATTTGGTATGTATTCGTAAACTAATACCGAAGATTCTTCATAAAAATGATCGAAGTAAAGAAATGTAAACATAAGATTCTAACAAATCGTTCGTTGATATTACGGGCTAGAAGAAAAAGGGCTGGATGCGAAGTCAGGTTTTCTTCCGGAAATCTTTGCTCTTTGAAAACTATATATTTGCACTGTGCGCATGAGCAGAGTTTTAGCACCATGGTAATGGGAAGGTACCAAGATGCCGGTACCACGGTAAATATGAATCCGGGGAAAATTTTCATGGGAATAATTCGACATTTTTTTAGAGAAAAAAGATAATGAAACGCCTAATTCGACGATACTTCCAAGCACAAGAAGCACGGGTAAAACAATGATTGGGAACAGCTAAGGACATGGAAGAAAGCAAAATCTAAATCATCAAAGAACAACGCATGCAAATGAAACGTCTCGACGTCTTTTAAAATAAATTCACACATATCTATCACACAAAATCCATTACCAACCGACAATTTTATGTAATATAAAATGAAGCATACTCCGAATAAAAAGTTCATGTTCAACTCAATATTTGAGAAGGAAACAAGACAATTGTTATTTGAACAGTTATATTTCGAATTTGTAACAAATTCATCATCAGACTATATGTAACAAATTCATCATCAGACTATATGTAACAAATTCGAAATATAAAGATTGAAATAAAATTGTCTTGTTTCCTGCTCAAATGAGTTAAACATGAACTTTTTATTCGGAGTATGCCTCATTTTGTACTGTTACACAAATCACAAAAATTTTATGTCAAACTTAACATCGTTGTATAGATGTATGGAAGACCTTTTTTTATGAAAACTTGAGTGCAATTTGTGTGTGTCACCTGTTAAAGTTATTTTGATTGTGATTGCCTCTGTTGTTTTAGTAGCATCAAAAGAACGATTTGTGTAAAAATTAACGACCCTCTTATATGAATTGGTCAATTAGATTTTTCTTTTCTGAAGTAATAAATTTTAAGACAACTCATTGTTCTTCTCTTTTATTCCGCGGAATATTAATTGCCAAAACTCTTTTATTCCGCGGAATATTAAGTGCCAAAACACTTTTATTCCGCGGAATATTAATTGCCAAAACTCTTTTATTCCGCGGAATATTAAGTGCCAAAACACTTCGTTCAATGAAGTGTTGGTTGTACGTGGTGAAATAAACATTCGAGTCAGTTTCTTAGCTGCTGTTCGCAACAAGTGGTACGAGCATCTAGCAAAACGAAATGTTGAGTGTGAGAATGTATTACAAACTGAAATATATCAAAGACATGAAAAGGGAGGAGGAACTTCAATCTCAAGAAGAAATGCGAAATGTTATTGTATGTTTTTGTTACATAAGTTGTATCTATATGATGTGTGTGAAAGTACATGTGTAGTGTGCTCAGTTTTTTACTTGCCTTTTTGTCATTACTGTCGATTGCTATCTCAATAACCCCGATAGAAGATATTTTAACGGTTAACACCAATCAAGGACGTGGAATGAACGTTAGAAAGCGCAAACGTGTTTGTCCTGCCGATCTTGGACGCTAAAATGAAATATATATGATGCCCCCAACGATGGAACACAAAAATAAAGTAAAAACCGATAAATCTAAACTTTAAAACCACTCTACTCGTAAGAGTTGAAGCACCTTTTACTGCATTGGCTTCTTTCTAAGAGGAGAATCTTTCTATGATCAGAATGACATTTTGAAGTTTGACTTCATTTGCAGGTATCGAAATTGTTCCTGCAATTAGATGTTTGTATCTGTATGAAAGAATAAGTTGGCGACTGGTAGGCTTTATTAATTATACATTATCCTGGCGGGTTTTGCTCTTTCTTTGAGATGTCCAAAAGAATACGGAGGTACAGGACTTAGAATATACCAAAAATGTAACGTTTATTTCATTGTGAAAAACAATTGGTGTGATTGATTTAAAACACATCACACGTTCACTTGGGTGGCCAGAAAAAACCTCCGATTTTAGAAACAACCTGCTCTTTTGAGAGCATGATAACGTTATACAACAATACTTTCGTACAGGTACTGACGTTGGCACTAACACTAGGAGAGTAACAGCATTTTACATTTTGCCACTGGGTGCTTCCCTTTGAAAACTTAACATATATAACGTTAGCACAGTGAAATGTTACGCGCAGGGAAAGATTTGCAACGTCCTCCATCAAACCATGCATATCAGCTAAAGCGTTGTATTTCTATAACTGTACTATTCTATTCCTGACTTCTATTCTTCAATTCTTCTTTATTATATTGTATTTATTTTCTCTTACTTTTATTTTACTCTTTTAGCTATTTTATTAATAAGCAATTTTTTAATCAACTCCAACAGAATTACTTGCAACAATAGTCATTATTTTATACGATCACAGCGAGACATAGCTATTCCGAATAGCATACCAAATTTTTAGCCCTTTTTTTCACCGCACGTTTTCTTACAAAATTTAGCGAAGGAGGATCGAACTCGTAAAAATGTTCTTCAAAAATGATACGCAGACCTACTAATTTTCATTTTATCCACATCATAGCACAAATTGGTTATTACTGCAAACTAAACTTTGGAATGTAGAATTGATGTTCGTTGATAATGTTCGTCCAACTGGTTGTGCTGAGAATGACTTTTGGTGTTGATGCTGACTGACGTTTCAACATCTGAATATGACTACCGCTAAAGATGTCGAAAACGTCTGTCCACATCGACACCGACAGTCTATTACACGACTCCACTATAACCTGGATGATCTACATTTGCAAACTTTAAAATCATTCCTTTCTATACTGGAAGTAGCATGATCATCAACATAGTCATTGTTAAAGTAAATGACTTGAACCCGGGAGTATCGTTACATGTTTGTAAATGTAGATCGTCCAGGTTGGTATAGTCCTGAGAAGAACTACTTTTGTTGTTGTTGTTGACTGACGTTTCGACAACCTTAGCGATAGTCATCTTCAGAGTCAAATGAGGAGTAAACGTCAGGTTAGCCGTATTTGTTATCTGGTTCTTACGTCTTATTGTATTGTGTGTAGAGGAAATTTGTGGGTGTTAATTGTGTCTTGTCATTGTGAATTAGTGTGAAGTGTAATGTTTTGAGTTGTGATGTGTGATTTAGTTGTGTTGTTTTTAGTTGTAATGTGTGGGTGTCAATTGTGTATTGTCATTGTGAATTAGTGTGAAGTGTAATGTTTTTTAGTTGATTGTTTGTATTGTGAATAAGTCGTTTGTAAGGTGCCGGAAATTGCTGTTATCTGTTCAAGGGGGTTTGTTCCAAGTTGGTATACCAACTTTCTAATGTAAGCCGTTGTCTATAGTCAGCACTGTAAGTAATGCATTTTGCCGAGTTCCAATCAATGTTGTGCTTTGTCATTCGGTGATGTTCGGCAATGTGATTAGTTTTGTCTTGTTTCTTAGTAGCTCGTTTGTGTTCAATAAGTCTTATGTTTAAGTTCCTGCCAGTTTCCCCGATATAGGAGGCGTGGCAGTCGGAGCAGTATATTTTGTAAATTGCACCTTGCCGTTCGTTGGGTTGTTCTTTGTCCTTTATGTTCGTTAGTACTTGTAGTAACGTTGTGATTGGTTTATGTGCGACAGGTATGTTGTATGGTCGTAAGATACGCAAAATAGTCTCAGACGTACCTTTGTTGTTTTCGTTGTGTAGAGCGTCCGGTGAATCGCATATGATTTGTGCACGTCTTGTTAATGTTCTGATTGTGGTGGCTTTGTGTGATGTAGGGTTGTAAAATGATTGGTCAAGTAGTCGGTTAGTGTGGGTTGGTTTGCGATAAACTGTTGTTCGTAGTTTTTGATTATCTTGTTTTACCAAACAGTCGAGAAAAGGAAGAGTTCCTGCAGTATGTCAGTCAAGTACTTATCTTTACCACTTACAAGCAAATCAAAACACAAGCTACAATCCACTGAAACTTTCATTAAAAAACTGAGCACTATACAAATACCGGACAACAATATACTAGTGTCCTTTGATGCGAAATAACTGTTCACCAGTATTCCACTTGATCTGGGATTGTGCAGGTGTTAGGGGTAGTACCTCTGTACCCTGGGCAGCCGCATGCATTTGTGCATGGCTCAGAGCATTGGCCCTCACCACCTGTCTAGCTCACATATGGCTCCAAGTAGTTGCTTGTGCACGGCAACGGCCATCCCCCGGTAACGTCCTCGGCTGGACGGCGAAACTATGTGAGCGAGCTGCACTCTCGATTCTCCAGGTGTAGGCGGGTGTCATCTCACCCAAGTGCATGAAGACCTTCCGGCAATGAAGGCTGACGACTCTAACATGTTAGCGAGTACCATCTGTGTCATGGTCGAAAAGTCGGCGACAAATCTGACTCACCATTGCCTATGGCGATGGAAGGATGGTCAGACACCCTGACAATACAAAAACAACAACTGTCTAAAAAGCCACAGGCACTATGGAGTCTTGTGACCATCTGACACCTGCTTTCAGCAAACCCCACTGCCTTGTGGGAAGGTCTTTGCTAAGACTAAAGGCTAAAGGAAGGTGAACCTCAAACAACTCACTACGGAGATGGGACCCCGTAAAGGCAACCATGTTCAGTCAACGACAACTGGATTGGCAGTCCCTGCAGTGGAGTATTGTTGCCAGCACGTCCTGACTTGTTCTTGCCCGCTGGAGAACAGCAGTGCCCCACCGAGAGTGTCCTGGTAATGCAAAAGCCAGTGCCACTTAACATTTTGCATGCAGTTCTATGGAAATGAATAAGGAAGCTAGACATGATACCGGCTCGAACGTCGCCCGGGTTACAAAGGTTCGCGCTGGTCCGCTCCCGCTCCGGCGACCAGTGAGAAGTAAGCTAGGACGCAAGGTGGACCGCAAGGAGGACATCAAGAAACATCTGAGACTCGCAGGATGGAACGTGAGGACGCTGCTTGATCGACCTGGATCTAAACGACCGGAAAGGCAAACAGCGCTAGTAGTACTTACTTGTACAAAAACCCTCATTACAAACACCACGGACGTACTGCCATTACCCACAGAAGAGATTATGAAGCTACTGGAGCTCTGCCTCACCTCGACTTTCTTCCAGTACAAAGGTACACACTACAAACAGTTACATGAAACAGCATTGGGCTCACCCGTTTCTGTTGTAGTTGCTGAAATTGTAATGCAATCTATAGAAGAACGGGCGCTCACGACTTACAAACATGCCCTACATGCAGACGAGATTGATGACTTTCACACTCACATCAACAAACAGAACAGCCACATACAATTTACCAAAGATGTCGAAGAAAACGGAACTCTTCCTTTTCTCGACTATTTGGTAAAACAGGACAATCAAAAACTACGAACAACAGTTTATCGCAAACCAACACACACTGACCGACTACTACACCAATCATCTTACAACCCTACATCACACAAAGCCACCACAATCAGAACATTAACAAAACGTGCACAAATCATATGTGATTCACTGGACGCTCTACACAACGAAAATAACAAAGGCACGTCTGAGACTATCTCGCGTATCTTACGACCATACAACATACGTGTCGCACATAAACCAATCACAACGTTACCGACTGCCACGCCTCTTATATCGGGGAAACTGGCAGGAACTTAAACATAAGACTTACTGAACACAAACGAGCTACAAAGAAACCAGACAAAACTAATCACATTGCCGAACATCACCGAATCACAAAGCACAACATTGACTGGGATTCGGCAAAATGCATTACTTACAGTACTGACTATAGACAACGGCTTACATTAGAAAGTTGGTATACCAACTTGGAACAAACCCCCTTGAACAGATCACAGCAATTACCGACACTTTACAAACGACTTGTTCACAATACAAACAAACGATCAACTAAAAACATTACACTTCACACTAATTCACAATGACACCCACTCATTTCTTGTACACACAATACAATAAGACATAAGAACCAGATAACAAATAAGGCTAACCTGACGTTTACTCCTCATTTGACTCTGAAGATGACTACCGCTAAGGTTGTCGAAACGTCAGTCAACAACAACAAAAACAGCCCTTCTCAGGACTATACCAACCTGGACGATCTACATTTACAAACATTTATAGTCATTATTGATGATGCTGAGCTATTGTAATTAAATGCCCGACGCACGATCAGGATGTTACAAGGAATGATGTAAGCAATAAAAGTGAAAGCGCTGTGATTAAAGGGATTAAAAGAAATGACAAGTTTCTTTGTCACTTTCAAGGTCAGAATTTAAATGAACATTCCTGAAACGTGTGTAAACATATCTACATTTCTAATAAATCCTTTAAATAGCAACATGTCGCAAGGAGTTTATAACTTCTATCAGTTGCTAGGTTACAGGCTATTAAATTACGTTCAAAACAAGAATAAAAGGAACAGAGAACATAGACGACCATAAAGGGCTTTATAAAAAAATGTAAATTTTCTTGTGTATTCCGCCGGTTGAACAAAAACAGCTACGGTGTGCGCAACTGCATGCAGATATTTTAAAGTTTAAAACGTATTACAACATAGTTTACAATTGAATAACAATCGGAGTGGGCACAAGTAGAATACTTCGAATTTCATTGATGTCCAAATATTTGTAGCGAAGCAAATAAATACGAATCAAGGAGAGGTTATTTGCAGTTCGAAATGACTTCCGCGGCAGCTCCTGAAACTAGCTTCGAGTTGCAAGAACGTTACTTGGACAATGTTGATGGCAATTCAACACGAATTTCGCATGCCGGAGTTCCGAATGAAAAATTCTTCGATGCTGTAGCAAGAGGGGATGTTGACACAGTCGAGAGTAAAATCAAAGACACCAACAATCCAATTGATGTTAACGCCATAAACTCAGATGGCAAAACGGCGCTTCAAATTGCGGCTAAAAAAGGTCACAAAGATGTCATAGAAAAGCTTTTGACAGGAAAAGCTGACTTGAAATATGCTCTTTTACGATGCGTTTATGAGAACGATCTTCAATGCCTAGAAGTGTTGCTGACACATCACGAAAACTCAGACGACCACTTGCTCGCGCCAATTATAAAGGCAGCTCAATTGGGTCACTACAAGATTGTAGAACACTTTATGTCAAAGGACTACCTTATCGATGATCCGGACAAGTGTGAATACAAAAGTGAACGGTGCAAGCTAAATTCGGAGATGCTTCGTTCACGAATTGCCATAAATTGCTTCAGAGGGCTTTCAAGTCCCGTCTATATATGTTTAGGGTAAGTCTGGGTGGTTTAGAGACACGTAGTACTGTTGTGAACTATGGAATGAGAATTTGTTATAAACAAGAATAGATCTGACATATATGGTGTATATAGCGTTATGTATTGTATTAAGTAAAAGCTAAATATACTCTTATGATCGTTTTCTTTCTACTGAACTGACTTTTGTCTATGGCGGCAAGTAGAGACAAATTCGTTACGTTTGTTGAGTACTGATAGTTGTGGTTGGTTGGTAATGTAACTGAAAGAGAAATTCTTCATCACCTACCAACCACAACTATCAAACAACTATTATCACCTAACAAACTTAACGAACTAGTCTCCTCTTCTCGCCATAGACACAAGGCCCTTTCATCTAATTTCAGGCTCGTCAGGATGAAATTGTAGTTTTTGTAAGTTTTCTTCTTTCTGACAATATTTATGTATATAGCGTTTTCTTTATTAAGTTACTTAAAAGACAAGATCAAAGATAACAAAGGCAACACAATAGACCCGCTTTCTCAGGCGTTTGAATTAAATAAGAAGTTACAAAAACGCGCGAGAGATGAGCCTGAACTGAGGAAGGAGTACATGGAATTGTCAAACAAATGCAAGACGTTCACGACGGAACTAAACAGTGCTTGCAGAGACAAAGAGGATCTTATGGCTCTGTTAGATATCGACCAAAAACATTTTGCCCCGATTGATGATGAGAATGATGATGAGAATGTAAAGAAAGAAAGCTGTTCTGAGGTAGTAACTTCATTGAAAAAGGCCATCAACAGTAATGACAAGGAGGTAAGTAAAAAACTGAGCATTCTACACTTGCACATCCACACAAACACAGGAACCATAGATATAGTGCTTGGCAAAAAACTCATAAGTATAAAGTTTCTTTGCATTTTCTCTCGAGTTCAAAGTTCCACCCTCGGCCGCAGTGTATTTTACAACGAAGACAATTTTTTTATTGATATATTTCAGTTTGTAGCCCATCCTCATATTCAAATGTTGGTCAACTTCGTCGTATACTCGGGCCTTCCGAAGAATATCCAAAGAACACGCATTGTTTACCTTCTGCTTCCATTTATCCTCTACATGATTTTCTTCCCTGTCCTTGTGTTACTATACCTCGTCTTTCCTGATTCAAAGATTTCAAAAATGATGTCCACTCCATACATGAAGTTTGTCAGCCATTTTTCGCAGTTCATAATCTTTCTTTTCCTGATTGCTGGCTCCTCGCTGCGAGATAACCACACTCCAACAGTCATAGGTGAATTATGAATCAACTAGAAGTCGTCTCCAGTCTCCAGTATGAAACTCGCGCGTTCATTGTATTCCTTTCTGTCTAGAATATATCATTTTCATAACGGTCATCGGAATGATACTTCAGGAATGTCTTGAAATGCGACGCCATGATCGTATAAGGAATTATTTCTTCAAATGGTGGAACATCATCATGATCACAATGCTGACTTTGTTTGTCATGGCAGGACTAAGTTGGATTGCTGGTTTTGCCATCACGGGGGGTTGGTCAATCAAAGATTACTCCGTTAGGAAATACGCCAAGAACAAAGATGGATATAATTTACTTTTACTGGGAAATAGCTTTTTCTCAGTGGCGACTGTCTTCAGCGTTATTCACTTGATTGATTTTTGTCAGGTAAGACGAAACGGACAAAGTCAAAGTAGCCATTTCTTCGTAGTATTATATTTTTGTTCGGGTATTCTTGTTATTGCAAGTGTTGGAAACTATTCGCACCAGATATTTTCGTGTAAAAGCCTCTCACATAATTGCGCCTTCTAATTCTTCTTTTCGCAGGTCAACTCCGCGTTAGGGCCGCTGCAGTTATCACTTTATCGTATGATTCAAGATGTCGTGAAATTTCTGATATTATTTTCTGCCATTTTCGTCGCATTTGTCATGGGTTTAAGAAACCTTTATTCGTACTACAACAGCATTCAAGACGAGATTATCAAAGAAAACAAAAATCTCAGCGACAGACGAATCATAGAAGATACCAACGAAAAGTTTTCAACGTGCGTAAATGAATCTTAATCCTTTTCAAAAAAACCAATTTTACCTCATTGAATTGCAATTACAATTTCTCATTTTACAGTCTTTTTCAATCGTCAAAACATATGTTTTGGGCGCTCTTCGACAAAATCGAGTTAAGCGACTTTGATACGAAAGACTCGACGTATGAAATCACACAAGAAACTGGCAGATTGCTATTCGCAATGTACTCAATCCTTGCTGTCTTGATAGCACTCAACATGCTCATTGCAATGATGAGTCATTCATACGACTATATCTCGGTAAGGAGCATGCATTAGTTGGACTTAGTACGATAGTTAGAATACTCATTTACGCGCAAGTCTCGCAAGTAAGTAACGGATCCAGGGTATATCATTAAAATTTTATGATCCAAGCTAATTAACATCCTCACATAATGAGTTCCTGTGTGGTGTGGCTCTGTAAATACTTCTGTGTTCACTAGATATTCTAAAACCTACATAGCAAAACCAAAACGCAAACAAACTCAAAGCTCATTCATGCAATCAGCACAAACATGCGCCACTTGGCTTTATAAAACGTCTTATAAATTTCAATAGCTAATAGGTTTACAGGAACCAACTGTCCATGCAGTTGGGATAAATATTTCAGGACTTCAAAGAATTAACTAAGTTTAGCGATGAGCTTTGTCTTTCACAAACATGACAATTTTCACACATCAAGCTCGACCAGATAATAATGCTCAATAAATCTATGAAACGGACACTTTCAAATCCCCAAACCAGAGCAATTCAAAACGAAACTCGAAATGAATGAAGCTAGCGGTATTTAATTATATTTTACTTGCTTAACTCAATGACAAAACTTTGAAAATCAAGACTCTGGGAGATTGTAAAAGAACAATGTTTAATTATAGCAGCATAACACACAGCTATGCTAAATCTATTAAAAACACGCTAACATTTGTTTGCAATAAATTTTCAAAAAATCATCATTATGAAAAATATCAACTATCAAATTCAAAACTGTTTAAAAGTTATTCCTCACAAAACTGACTTTACAAATAAACCGATGATCAACCGATTAGTTTTGAGTTTAAGTGCATTTCAATTTGTACTAAAAAACAAAAAAAATCTTTCAACGTGAAGCTAGAAGCATTCCCTTGCTATAGTATCTCTCAAATGGTGTCACGAAAATTTTGGAATAAATCCTTTCTTAATAGTACAACTGCTTACTACACTTAATCTTGTTAAAGCCAATACGTATCAGTTTTGTCGATGCATCATAAGAGACGCCTCTCGCAATTTTTCATAGCAGAAATTGATGTAATTATTATGTCAACTTCGTGAAGTGGGACTGTTCAATATGGCCGCCTTCCGGCTTCAAATTTAATTAGTGATGCGCGATCCATGTAATATACATATCAATGTATATCATAACACACAGCCATGCTAAATCTATTAAAAATATGCTACCATTTGTTTGCATTAAATTTTCAAAAAATCATCACGATGAAAAATATCAACTCTCACATTCACAACTGTTTACAAGTTATTCTTCACAAAACTGACCTTGCAAATAACAAGATGACCAACCGATTAGCTTTGAGTTTAAGTGCATTTCAATTATAGCAAGACGACGACATCCAGTGGAAGTTCAGTCGAACAAAATTGTGGCTGGAATTCATGGAAAAAGGAAGTACTTTACCAGCTCCGTACAATCTAATACCGAATCCAAAACTTGTGATTGAACTGTTTTTCAAGTTAAAGCAAAGAGTAAGCGCGAAATATTGAAGTATCGTAAAAATATGGAAAACGTAACAATATTTGCTTTATGTAATCTTTAAGCTCAGAGGAGAAGTTGCCGATACCCATTCGACAGATCAAACCAGTAGAGACGAAGCACAAGACAAGGTACGTGTAGCAAGATGCAAATATGCAAGTTCTTGTTCAGATCTTCGTAAACATTTGGTATGCATTCGTAAACTAATACCGAAGATTCTTCATAAAAATGATTGAAGTAAAGCCGTGTAAACATAAGATTCTAACAAATCGTTCGTTGATATTACGGGCTAGAAGAAAAAGGGCTGGATGCGAAATCAAGTTTTCTTTTGGAAATCTTCGCTCTTTGAAAACTATATATTTGCACTGTGCGCATGAGCAGAGTTTTAGCACCATGGTAATGTGAAGGTACCAGCATGCCGGTATCACGGTAAATATGAATGCCGGGGAAAATTTTCATGGGAATAATTCGACATCTTTTTTAGAGAAAAAAGATAATCAAACGACTAATTCGACGATACTTCCTAGCACAAGAAGCTCGGAAAAAACAATGATTGGAAAGAGCTAAGGACATGGAAGAAAGCAAAATCTAAATCATCAAAGAACAACGCATGAAGATGAAACGTCTCGACGTCTTTTAAAATTAATTCACACATATCTATCACACAAAATCCATTACCAACCTACAATTTTATGTAATACAAAATGAAGCATATTCCGAATAAAAAGTTTTTGTTTGACTCAATATTTGTTCGTGTTTGTGAACAGTTATATTTCAAATTTGTAACAAATTCATCATCAGACTATATGTAACAAATTCATTATCAGACTATATGTAACAAATTCATCATCAGACTATATGTAACAAATTTATCATCAGACTATATGTAACAAATTCATCATCAGACTATATGTAACAAATTTGAAATATGAAGATTGAAATAAAAATTGTCTTGTTTCCTTCTCAAATGAGTTAAACATGAACTTTTTATTCGGAGTATGCCTCATTTTGTACTGTTACACAAATCACAAAAATTTTATGTCAAACTTAACATAGTTGTATAGATGTATGGAAGACCTTTTTTATGAAAACTTGAGGGCAATCTGTGTGTGTCACCTGTTAAAGTTATTTTGATAGTGATTGCCTCTGTTGTTGTAGTAGCATCAAAAGAACGATTTGTGTAAAAATTAACGACCCTCTTATATAAATTAGTGAATTAGATTTTTCTTTTCTGAAGTAATAAATTTTATGACAACTCATTGTTCTTTTTTATTCCGCGGAATATTAATTAAGTGCCAAAACGCTTCGTTCAATGAAGTGTTGGTTGTACGGGGAGAAATGAACATTTAAGTCAGTTTCTTAGCTGCTGTTCGCAACAAGTGGTACGAGCATCTAACAAAACGAAATGTTGATTGTAAGAATGTATTACAAACTGAAATATATCAAAGAGATGAAAAGGGAGGTAGAACTTCAAACTCGAGAAGAAATGCGAAATGTTATTGTATGTTTTTGTTAGATAGGTTGTATCTATATGGTGTCTGTGAGACTACATGTGTAGTGTGCTCAGTTTTTTACTTGCCTTTTTGTCATTACTGTCGATTGCTATGCCAATAACCCCGATAGAAGATATGTTAACGGTTAACACTAATCAAGGACGTGGAATGAACGTTAGAAAGCGCAAACGTGTTTGTCCTGCCGATCTTGGACGCTAAAATGAAATATATATGATGCCCCCAACGATGGAACACCAAAATAAAGTAAAAACCGATAAATCTAAACTTTAAAACCACTCTACTCGTAAGAGTTGAAGCACCTTTTACTGCATTGGCTTCTTTCTAAGAGGAGAATCTTTCTATGATCATAATGACATTTTGAAGTTTGACTTCATTTGCAGGTATCGAAATTGTTCCTGCAATTAGATGTTTGTATCTGTATGAAAGAATAAGTTGGCGACTGGTGGGCTTTATTAATTATACATTATCCTGGCGGGTTTTGCTCTTTCTTTGAGATGTCCAAAAGAATACGGAGGTACAGGACTTAGAATATACCAAAAATGTAACGTTTATTTCATTGTGAAAAACAATTGGTGTGATTGATTTAAAACACATCACACGTTCACTTGGGTGGCCAGAAAAAACCTCCGATTTTAGAAACAACCTGCTCTTTTGAGAGCATGATAACGTTATACAACAATACTTTCGTACAGGTACTGACGTTGGCACTAGCACTAGGAGAGTAGCAGCATTTTACATTTTGCCACTGGGTGCTTCCCTTTGAAAACTTAACATATATAACGTTAGCACAGTGAAATGTTACGCGCAGGGAAAGATTTGCAACGTCCTCCATCAAACCATGCATATCAGCTAAAGCGTTGTATTTCTATAACTGTACTATTCTATTCCTCACTTCTATTCTTCAATTCTTCTTTATTATATTGTATTTATTTTCTCTTACTTTTATTTTACTCTTTTAGCTATTTTATTAATAAGCAATTTTTTAATCGACTCCAACAGAATTACTAGCAACAATAGTCATTATTTTATACGATCGCAGCGAGACATAGCTATTCCGAATAGCATACCAAATTTTTAGCCCTTTTTTTCACCGCACGTTTTCTTACAAAATTTAGCGAAGGAGGATCGAACTCGTAAAAATGTTCTTCAAAAATGATACGCAGACATACTAATTTTCATTTTATCCACATCATAGCACAAATTGGTTATTACTGCAAACTAAACTTTGGAATGTCGAATTGATGTTCGTTGATGATGATTGTCCAACTGGTGGTGCTGAGAATGACTTTTGGTGATGATGCTGACTGACGTTTCAACATCTGAATATGGCTACCGCTAAAGATGTCGAAAACGTCTGTCCACATCGACACCGACAGTCTATTACACGACTCCACTATAACCTGGATGATCTACATTTGCAAACTTTAAAATCATTCCTTTCTATAATGGAAATAGCATGATCATCAACATAGTCATTATTAAAGTAAATGACTTGAACCCGGGAGTATCGTTACATGTTTGTAAATGTAGATCGTCCAGGTCGGTATAGTTCTGAGAAAAACTGTTTTTGTTGTTGTTGTTGACTGACGTTTCGACAACCTTAGCGATAGTCATCTTCAGAGTCAAATGAGGAGTAAACGTCAGGTTAGCCGTATTTGTTATCTGGTTCTTACGTCTTATTGTATTGTGCGTAGAGAAAATTTGTGGGTGTTAATTGTGTATTGTTATTGTGAATTAGTGTGAAGTGTAATGTTTTGAGTTGTGGTGTGTGATTTAGTTGTGTTGTTTTTAGTTGTAATGTGTGGGTGTCAATTGTGTATTGTCATTGTGAATTAGTGTGAAGTGTAATGTTTTTTAGTTGATTGTTTGTATTGTGAATAAGTCGTTTGTAAGGTGCCGGTAATTGCTGTGATCTGTTCAAGGGGGTTTGTTCCAAGTTGGTATACCAACTTTCTAATGTAAGCCGTTGTCTATAGTCAGCACTGTAAGTAATGCATTTTGCCGAGTCCCAATCAATGTTGTGCTTTGTGATTCGGTGATGTTCGGCAATGTGATTAGTTTTGTCTTGTTTCTTAGTAGCTCGTTTGTGTTCAATAAGTCTTATGTTTAAGTTCCTGCCAGTTTCCCCAATATAGGAGGCGTGGCAGTCGGAGCAGTTTATTTTGTAAATTGCACCTTGCCGTTCGTTGGGTTGTTCTTTGTCCTTTATGTTCGTTAGTACTTCTAGTAACGTTGTGATTGGTTTATGTGCGACACGTATGTTGTATGGTCGTAAGATACGCGAGATAGTCTCAGACGTACCTTTGTTGTTTTCGTTGAGCAGAGCGTCCGGTGAATCACATATGATTTGTGCACGTCTTGTTAATGTTCTGATTGTGGTGGCTTTGTGTGATGCAGGGTTGTAAAATGATTGGTCAAGTAGTCGGTCAGTGTGGGTTGGTTTGCGATAAACTGTTGTTCGTAGTTTTTGATTGTCCTGTTTTACCAAACAGTCGAGAAAAGGAAGAGTTCCTGCAGTATGTCAGTCAAGTACTTATCTTTACCACTTACAAGCAAATCAAAACACAAGCTACAATCCACTGAAACTTTCATTAAAAAACTGAGCACTATACAAATACCGGACAACAATATACTAGTGTCCTTTGATGCGAAATAACTGTTCACCAGTATTCCACTTGATCTGGCACTTACTTGTACAAAAACCCTCATTACAAACACCACGGACGTACTGCCATTACCCACAGAAGAGATTATGAAGCTACTGGAGCTCTGCCTCACCTCGACTTTCTTCCAGTACAAAGGTACACACTACAAACAGTTACATGAAACAGCATTGGGCTCACCCGTTTCTGTTGTAGTTACTGAAATTGTAATGCAATCTATAGAAGAACCGGCGCTCACGACTTACAAACATGCCCTACATGCAGACGAGATTGATGACTTTCACACTCACATCAACAAACAGAACAGCCACATACAATTTACCAAAGATGTCGAAGAAAACGGAACTCTTCCTTTTCTCGACTATTTGGTAAAACAGGACAATCAAAAACTACGAACAACAGTTTATCGCAAACCAACACACACTGACCGACTACTACACCAATCATCTTACAACCCTACATCACACAAAGCCACCACAATCAGAACATTAACAAAACGTGCACAAATCATATGTGATTCACTGGACGCTCTACACAACGAAAACAACAAAGGCACGTCTGAGACTATCTCGCGTATCTTACGACCATACAACATACGTGTCGCACATAAACCAATCACAACGTTACCGACTGCCACGCCTCTTATATCGGGGAAACTGGCAGGAACTTAAACATAAGACTTACTGAACACAAACGAGCTACAAAGAAACCAGACAAAACTAATCACATTGCCGAACATCACCGAATCACAAAGCACAACATTGACTGGGATTCGGCAAAATGCATTACTTACAGTACTGACTATAGACAACGGCTTACATTAGAAAGTTGGTATACCAACTTGGAACAAACCCCCTTGAACAGATCACAGCAATTACCGACACTTTACAAACGACTTGTTCACAATACAAACAAACGATCAACTAAAAACATTACACTTCACACTAATTCACAATGACACCCACTCATTTCTTGTACACACAATACAATAAGACATAAGAACCAGATAACAAATAAGGCTAACCTGACGTTTACTCCTCATTTGACTCTGAAGATGACTACCGCTAAGGTTGTCGAAACGTCAGTCAACAACAACAAAAACAGCCCTTCTCAGGACTATACCAACCTGGACGATCTACATTTACAAACATTTATAGTCATTATTGATGATGCTGAGCTATTGTAATTAAATGCCCGACGCACGATCAGGATGTTACAAGGAATGATGTAAGCAATAAAAGTGAAAGCGCTGTGATTAAAAGGGATTAAAAAGAAATGACAAGTTTCTTTGTCACTTTCAAGGTCAGAATTTAAATGAACATTCCTGAAACGTGTGTAAACATATCTACATTTCTAATAAATCCTTTAAATAGCAACATGTCGCAAGGAGTTTATAACTTCTATCAGTTGCTAGGTTACAGGCTATTAAATTACGTTCAAAACAAGAATAAAAGGAACAGAGAACATAGACGACCATAAAGGGCTTTATAAAAAAATGTAAATTTTCTTGTGTATTCCGCCGGTTGAACAAAAACAGCTACGGTGTGCGCAACTGCATGCAGATATTTTTAAAGTTTAAAACGTATTACAACATAGTTTACAATTGAATAACAATCGGAGTGGGCACAAGTAGAATACTTCGAATTTCATTGATGTCCAAATATTTGTAGCGAAGCAAATAAATACGAATCAAGGAGAGGTTATTTGCAGTTCGAAATGACTTCCGCGGCAGCTCCTGAAACTAGCTTCGAGTTGCAAGAACGTTACTTGGACAATGTTGATGGCAATTCAACACGAATTTCGCATGCCGGAGTTCCGAATGAAAAATTCTTCGATGCTGTAGCAAGAGGGGATGTTGACACAGTCGAGAGTAAAATCAAAGACACCAACAATCCAATTGATGTTAACGCCATAAACTCAGATGGCAAAACGGCGCTTCAAATTGCGGCTAAAAAAGGTCACAAAGATGTCATAGAAAAGCTTTTGACAGGAAAAGCTGACTTGAAATATGCTCTTTTACGATGCGTTTATGAGAACGATCTTCAATGCCTAGAAGTGTTGCTGACATATCACGAAAACTCAGACGACCACTTGCTCGCGCCAATTATAAAAGCAGCTCAATTGGGTCACTACAAGATTGTAAAACACTTTATGTCAAAGGACTACCTTATCGATGATCCGGACAAGTGTGAATACAAAAGTGAACGGTGCAAGCTAAATTCGGAGATGCTTCGTTCACGAATTGCCATAAATTGCTTCAGAGGGCTTTCAAGTCCCGTCTATATATGTTTAGGGTAAGTCTGGGTGGTTTAGAGACACGTAGTACTGTTGTGAACTATGGAATGAGAATTTGTTATAAACAAGAATAGATCTGACATATATGGTGTATATAGCGTTATGTATTGTATTAAGTAAAAGCTAAATATACTCTTATGATCGTTTTCTTTCTACTGAACTGACTTTTGTCTGTGGCGGCAAGAAAAGACAAATTCGTTACGTTTGTTGAGTACTGATAGTTGTGGTTGGTTGGTAATGTGACTGAAAGAGAAATTCTTCATCACCTACCAACCACAACTATCAAACAACTATTATCACCTAACAAACTTAACGAACTTGTCTCCTCTTCTCGCCATAGACACAAGGCACTTTCATCTAATTTCAGGCTCGTCAGGATGAAATTGTAGTTTTTGTAAGTTTTCTTCTTTCTGACAATATTTATGTATATAGTGTTTTCTTTATTAAGTTACTTAAAAGACAAGATCAAAGATAACAAAGGCAACACAATAGACCCGCTTTCTCAGGCGTTTGAATTAAATAAGAAGTTACAAAACGCGCTAGAGATGAGCCTGAACTGAGGAAGGAGTACATGGAATTGTCAAACAAATGCAAGACGTTCACGACGGAACTAAACAGTGCTTGCAGAGACAAAGAGGATCTTATGGCTCTGTTAGATATCGACCAAAAATATTTTGCCCCGATTGATGATGAGAATGATGATGAGAATGTAAAGAAAGAAAGCTGTTCTGAGGTAGTAACTTCATTGAAAAAGGCCATCAACAGTAATGACAAGGAGGCAAGTAAAAAACTGAGCATTCTATACTTGCATATCCACACAAACACAGGAACCATAGATATAGTGCTTGGCCAAAAACTCATAAGTATAAAGTTTCTTTGCATTTTCTCTCGAGTTCAAAGTTTCACCCTCGGCCGCAGAGTATTTTACAACGAAGACAATTTTTTTTTGATATATTTCAGTTTGTAGCCCATCCTCATATTCAAATGTTGGTCAACTTCGTCGTATACTCGGGCCTTCCGAAGAATATCCAAAGAACACGCATTGTTTACCTTCTGTTTCCATTTATCCTCTACATGATTTTCTTCCCTGTCCTTGTGTTACTATACCTCGTCTTTCCTGATTCAAAGATTTCAAAAATGATGTCCACTCCATACATGAAGTTTGTCAGCCATATTTCGCAGTTCATAATCTTTCTTTTCCTGATTGCTGGCTCCTCGCTGCGAGATAACCACACTCCAACAGTCATAGGTAAATTATGAATCAACTAGAAGTCGTCTCCAGTCTCCAGTATGAAACTCGCGCGTTCATTGTATTCCTTTCTGTCTAGAATATTTAATTTTCATAACGGTCATTGGAATGATACTTCAGGAATGTCTTGAAATGCGACGCCATGATCGCATAAGGAATTATTTCTTCAAGTGGTGGAACATCATCATGATCACAATGCTGATTTTGTTTGTCATGGCTGGATTAAGTTGGATTGCTGGTTTTGCCATCACGGGGGGTTGGTCAATCAAAGATTACTCCGTTAGGAAATACGCCAAGAACAAAGATGGATATAATTTACTTTTACTGGGAAATAGCTTTTTCTCAGTCGCGACTGTCTTCAGCGTTATTCACTTGATTGATTTTTGTCAGGTAAGACGAAACGGACAAAGTCAGACTAGCCATTTCTTCGTATTATATTTTTGTTTGGGTATTCTTGTTATTGCAAGTGTTGGAAACTATTCGCACCAGATATTTTCGTATAAAAGCCCCTCACATAATTGCGCCTTTTAATTCTTCTTTTCGCAGGTCAACTCCACGTTAGGGCCGCTGCAGTTATCACTTTATCGTATGATTCAAGATGTCGTGAAATTTTTGCTCCTATTTTCTGCCATTTTCGTCGCATTTGTCATGGGTTTAAGAAACCTTTATTCATACTACAACAGCATTCAAGACGAGATTATCAAAGAAAACAAAAATCTCAGCGACAGACGAATCTTAGAAGATACAAACAAAAAGTTTTCAACGTGCGTAAATGAATCTTAATTTTTTCAAAAAAACCAATTTTACCTCATTGAATTACAATTACAATTTCTCATTTTACAGTCTTTTTCAATCGTCAAAACATATGTTTTGGGCGCTCTTCGACAAAATCGAGTTAAGCGACTTTGATACGAAAGACTCGACGTTTGAAATCACACAAGAAACTGGCAGATTGCTATTCGCAATGTACTCAATCCTTGCTGTCTTGATAGCACTCAACATGCTCATTGCAATGATGAGTCATTCATACGACTATATCTCGGTAAGGAGCATGCACAAGTTGGACTTAGTACGATAGTTAGAATACTCATTTACGCGCAGGTCTCGCCAGTAACGGATCCAGGGTGTTTCATTACAATTTTATGATCCAAGCTAATTAACATCCTCACAATGTGAGTTCCTGTGTAGTGTGGCTCTGTAAATACTTCTGTGTTCGCTAGATATTCTAAAGCCTACATAGCAAAACCAAAACGCACAACAAACTCAAAGCTTATTCATGCAATCAGCACAAACATGCGCCACTTAGCTTTATAAAACGTCTTATAAATTTCAATAGCTAATAGGTTTACTGGAACATACTGTCCAAGCAGTTGGAATAAATATTTCAGCACTTCAAAGAATTAACTAAGTTTAGCGATGAGCTTTGTCTTTCACAAACATGACAATTTTCATACATCAAGAACTACCAGATAATAATGCTCAATAAATCTATGAAACGGACACTTTCAAATCCCAAAACCAGAGCCCCCCCCTAAAAATTCAAAACGAAACTCGAAGTGAATGAAGCCAGCGGTATTTAATTCTATTTTACTTGCTTAACTCAATCACAAAACTTTGAAAATCAAGACACTGGGAGATTGTAAAAGAACAATGTTTGATCATAGCAGCATAACACACAGCCATGCTAAATCTATTAAAAAGACGCTACCATTTGTTTGCATTAAATTTTCAAAAAATCATCACGATGAAAAATATCAACTCTCGCATTCACAACTGTTTACAAGTTATTCCTCACAAAACTGACCTTACAAATAACCAGATGACCAACCGATTAGCTTTGAGTTTAAGTGCATTTCAATTATAGCAAGACGACGACATCCAGTGGAAGTTCAGTCGAACAAAATTGTGGCTGGAATTCATGGAAAAAGGAAGTACTTTACCAGCTCCGTACAATCTAATACCGAATCCAAAACTTGTGATTGAACTGTTTTTCAAGTTAAAGCAAAGAGTAAGCGCGAAATATTGAACGTATCATAAAAATATGGAAAACGTAACAATATTTGCTTTATGTAATCTTTAAGCTCGAAGGAGAAGTTGGCGATACCCATTCGACAGATCAAACCAGTAGAGACGAAGCACAAGACAAGGTACGTGTAGCAAGATGCAAGTATGCAAGTTCTTGTTCAGATCTTCGTAAACATTTGGTATGTATTCGTAAACTAATACCGAAGATTCTTCATAAAAATGATCGAAGTAAAGCCACGTAAACATAAGATTCTAACAAATCGTTCGTTGATATTACGGGCTAAAAGAAAAAGGGTTGGGTGCGAAATCAGGTTTTCTTCTGGAAATCTTGGCTCTTTGAAAACTATATATTTGCACTGTGCGCATGAGCAGAGCTTATCATGGGGAAAATTTTCATGGGAATAATTCGACATCTTTTTTAGAGAAAAAAGATAATCGAACGGCTAATTCGACGATACTTCCTAGCACAAGAAGCTCGAGAAAAACAATGATTGGGAACAGCTAAGGACATGGAAGAAAGCAAAATCTAAATCATCAAAGAACAACGCATGTAGATGAAATGTCTCGACGTCTTTTAAAATAAATTCACACATATCTATCACACAAAATCCATTACCAGCCGACAATTTTATGTAATACAAAATGAAGCATATTCCGAATAAAAAGTTCGTATTTGACTCAATATTTGAGAAGGAAACAAGACAATTTTTATTTGAACAGTTATATTTATAATTTGTAACAAATTCATCATCAGACTATATGTAACAAATTCATCATCAGACTATATGTAACAAATTCATCATCAGACTATATGTAACAAATTCGAAATATGAAGATTGAAATAAAAATTGTCTTGTTTCCTTCTCAAATATTGAGGTAAACATGAACTTTTATTCGGAGTATGCCTCATTTTGTACTGCTACACAAATCATACAAATCTATAAACGATTTCAAAAATAGTGGGTAGCAACGAACTGCAATTATCTTTGTATAATCAATATTAAATATTTACGTACGAATCGCTAAAAGTGTATTAATAATTATTGAATCCGATAAAATTGATCCGACGATCAATACTTTTTTAAACTGGGCGAAATATGATAACTTGTGAAATCAAAGTTCTTAAAGAAATTATTAATATTTCAAAACAGGAAGACTTACTGGACAATGCTGTAAGTGTAAAAAGGTGATAGTGCTAATAATATCTCTTCTTATTCCAAAACTTCTGTCTTTGGTTTTTATCTGGCGATAAATATCTGAATTAACGTGAATTAAAGTTCACAAATTTAATAATTTTCGTTGGTACAACCTCTCCAGACAACGTGTCGTCAGGCTTCGTTCGGCAACAACTAGGATTTCAGTTCACAGCAATGTCCAAGGTGTGTGTGTGATGACCAGTTCCATTCATTAATCAACATGCTTTCCTGCTACACATCATAGATATGTATAATAAACTAGACAGCGCGCATTGCAATACAACGCCCAATCAAAAGTTGAAGCCAGAGTAATCGGGTGCCCCTATTGTTATCACCCGATTACTAGGTCTTACTTGAGGAGTAAAAACAAACTTTAATGTACGACGGGAGTTTGACGACGTATTTCTGTTATTTTTGGAACTTAAACCCATAAATAAACCTAGCTGATTTTTTGGGAATATGATTTTGATTGATATTATGATTACTTTTTCGTATTAAGTGGTACATTCCAACATGGCGGCTCCGGCTTCCCTGAAATAGCGGAGTGCGTTATCCAGTATATTTTCAGATCAGTGCTACAAATATTACTGACGCTTGACGAAACAAGTCACGTGTTCTGACATTTGTAAACCTTGAGTTGCTCCGACCAGAGACACTTCCCATTCACGAAATGAAATATTCGATAAAAGAAAGTGACGTCACGATCTTCGCGTACGTAAAAAATTGACGTCTACTAAATGACATCATCATAACAAAATGCCTATCCATCAAGTGGGTTTATTAATAAAACTTGAAACGCAATGATGAAACTGTGCTTCAACAAAAAAATTTCACAAGCTTTCTCTTTATGTCTAACTGTATGTATACAAACAATCTAAACGATGGTAAAATTTAAAACTTTCACCGCATTTCAAAATTTCAAGGGAAGATCTGATTTGTGATATGCATTTGTCTTTGACAATTCATCACACCTCATACTTTCATATAGTTTAATTTGTCCATAAAATGAGATCATATTTTATCTTTTATTTGTACTCAATTGCGTGTCTTTTGGGTGTTCGAATTATAATTATAGTAAACAGTTCATACATTGGATTGAATCAAGTTATTAGTTAATAATATTTAGGAAAAATATTTCTCAATTCTGATAGGTTGATTGCAGTGCAGTTTATCTGTAATTGCAATGTGAAAATGCGCTGTAGAAAAGTGTAATTGTACTGCAAATACTGTAACCTGATTGGCTGAAAAGCACTGAAAGCAAAAAACAAACTTCTTTTCAATTAAAAAAAAACATGGCGGCAGTTGTAAGTGAACAAACATTTCCACAATTGTAATCGTTTGAAATTAAAGAATTACCAAAGAATGCAAAGAATAAAAACAAAACAGCAAGAACTATTTTTTGGGTGAATCTTTTCTAAAGTTAAGCAGCGTAACGAGGCTTTTCTGAAGAAATAGGGAGAAACGAAGTAAGACAGAGTTAAACAGTACAGTTTTCAATATGAACATAATAGCCAAACATAAGACTTCTAAAAAAGTCATCACAGTAATAAAATAAAGAAAGATTTATTACTGTGATGGCTTTTTTAAAAGTCTTATGTTGGGCTATTATGTTCATATTGAAAATTCGCTTTCCGCCGGGAAAATCTCTGGCCACGATTTTAAACAGAACAGTCTAGTAACATCTCGAAGTATATTATTATTAAGTAATAGTATAGTTTCTTGTGCAATTACGGCTAAACATAAACTCGTGAGTTTTTCAATCACTACAAATAGCACTATTTCGCCGCAGTCTTTAAAAAACTCATTCGTGCATGTTTATCCGTAGTTTCACTATATTATTACCAATACTAATTGATCGACAAGTAGCTAAGAACATTAACTTCGCTGTAAAAATATTACATAATCACGTTTAACTAGCTACTAGCAACAAACAATGTCTTTTCAATTGAAAAAACCGAAATTTAATAAAACAACCTAGCATAGGTACATCTCTTGTGTGTCTAATTCGTGCATTGAAAATCATTATGCAATGAAAAAAAACAACCATTGTCTTGCGCATGCGCAATGAGCGAGCATCTTTCAGTCGGAAAATTCTCCCGGGACAACATATCAGGTATATTTTTTCTCTTCCTGGTACATTGTTCCTGTACGGTTTAACACCTCGGAAAACTGCGTGCATATACGAGAAAAATGACCACCCTCCCAGAATATTTTCCCGCAAGTCGCACAGCAGTAAAACAGCTCAATCTTATCCAATATACTCTCGGGAAGAGCTTCAATCTGCAGGCGAACGCCGCTACTAAGTTTTAAAGTGTTTACATCTAAGGGAAGCGTAATTTTTGATGACCCATTTGAAATATACTGAGAAAATAAATTGTTACTAACTTTGTGTTGTTGATGTGCCATGTTTTGTTCATGTGCCTGGCCAAGAGCTTCGTTCTCTCTTGCATCGTACTTGATGTAAGCCTTAGGCATCGATACTGTATGTTCATTCCGATTAGAAATCTGAAAAAAAAGCATTTAAAGTTTGTTGTAGAAAAATGTAGCAAAGAAGCCCAAGTATTAACATTCTTCAGAAGGGAGGTTTTTAAACAACAATGTGTGTTGTATAATTTAGGATATTTTATTTATATTTTTTATTGCATGCCAGATTTTATAAGTTCCCATGCAGAGTTTTATGTGTGCCAAAACTATAATTAAAAATTAGGGTGTATATACTTAACACTTCCTAAGTATTTTCTCTCTTAATTAATTCACGTTGTAGTAGTGCACGTAAGTCACGAAATGTAAACATATAAATAGACTCAAATTTGTAATAGTCAAAAAGATTGTGTAGATTGTTCATTGCTAATAAACTCCATAAAACAAACCGAATCAGAGTGCAGATCAATTTTCTGGACGAACTCAGTGAATTCTGCGACAAGTGGTCCTTCGAGCCGGATAGTATGGAGGAGTTAGCAAGAAAGAAAAGAGTACGAGCAGGTCATCGCGGTTACCTGACGAAAGTTGTGGCGTCGGCAGCAGGCTTAGTCGACGCATTCGATGAACGAAGAAAGAATGACGCGGAACAGCAACGCGACAAAATCTTGGAGACAGTCGCTATGCTCCAAAAACTGGATGAAGACATCCTTAACTTGATTGCTGGGGACGAAGAAGCGTCAGAACTTGACATTGTCAGCGAAGTCGAGGAAGCTGGAAGAATAAGTTCTGAAGCAAAGTCGATGGCGAGGAAGCTTCGCCAAAAGATTGACGGCAATTGCGCTTCGGAAAATAGAATGAACAGTTCGTTAAGGTCTGACGGAGGAGCGTCGGTGACCAATAGAACAGTTTGCGCAAAATTGCCAAAGCTGCACGTTAAGCGGTTCAATGGAAATGTTTGCGAATGGTAGGAGTTTTGGGATTCCTTCGAAAGCGCCATTCACGGAAATGGAAGTTTGTCCGACGTTGACAAATTCAATTATCTTCGGGGACTCTTAGGCGAACCAGTGAAGTCATGTATCGCGGGATATTCTTTGACTTCGGCGAACTACAACGCTGCAATAGACGCGTTGAAGGAACGCTATGGGAAGCCAGAATCGGTCCAACGAGCGCACATGCAAAAACTTTTGAACTTAGATAGAGTGAAAGATCCGAGAGATATTACGTCTCTTCGTCACTTGTGTGATAGTGTCGAAACACATCATCGAGGTTTGGATGCATTGGGAGTGGACAGCGCTACGTATTCATCAATCGTGGTACCTTACGTTTTGAACTTGATACCGGAATCGATTCGATTGTTGATCACGAGAGGCGAAAACTTCCATCAGTGGGATATGGACGATATGTTAAGAGCGTTAAAGTGCGAAGTTGAGCTGCGAGAAGAGCATCGAGTTCAGAGAGAGCAACGAGAACGGCATGGTGATCCTGAGAAGTCATCAAATGGAGCCAGGCGGAACGATACGAAAACAGCAAGCGCCCTCCTGACAAAATCGGGACCGGTTCGTTGCGCATTCTGCCTGGGATGTCATCGGCATGAAGAATGTGAGAAGATCAAGTCAATTGAGGAACGTAAGACTATTATTAAGAAATACGGTCGTTGTTATATTTGTTTGGAAAAGGGCCACATGGCTCGTGACTGTGACAACAATATTAAATGTAGTATATGTAAGAAGAATCACCACAAGGCTCTGTGTGATTCGGGAAAGGAAAGTAAGCCCCAGGGAACTGTTGGACAAGGGGAGGTTGGGAATGTAGATACCAATAGTAGTAATACTCTATTTGTAAGTCCTAAGAATAGTTGTGAAAAAGCAGGATGCAATGTTGCTTTGCAAACTGCACAAGCAAAACTGATTGGTAGTAAGTCGGGACGTGTAAGGGTTTTGTTGGATTCTGGGAGTCAGAGATCATTTGTTACTGAAAGGACGGCTAAAGCGTTGGGATGTAAAGTCGTTCGTGAAGAAAATCTGAGAATAGGAACGTTTGGGAAAAGGGCTTTAGAGAACGAGTTGAGAAGGGTTGTGCGATTGGATTTGAGTTCGTTGTCGGGTGGTGAAGTCGTATCTATCGAGGCATATGTTGTACCAGAAATATCAGTAATTAGTAATCAACATTTGGAGGTGGTTCGAAATAACTTTGAACATTTGAAGGGTTGTGGTTGTCTGATGTTTGTAAGGTAAATGAGGAATGGAGGTAAACGTACTCGTGGGTGCGGATTACTTGTGGTCGTTGCAGAAAGGTCGTATTATGCGAGGGAAGCAGGGGGAGCCTGTGGCTATCGAGACGGTGCTTGGATGGGTAGTTTCAGGGCCGGTTGGAAGCACGGATAAGAATCAACCCGCCACTGCTCAGGTAAATTTTTGCTCCGCTAATAAAACTTGTATCAACGTAGAAAACTTTTGGGATTTAGAAAGCCTAGGAATTAAGGACAAAGTAAGTGATGTGCATGAATCGGTCATAAACGATCTTAGTTTTGACGGTACGCGTTATTCAGTGGGGTTGCCCTGGAGGGAGGGTCACGATCCTTTACCTACTAACTATGACTTAAGTCTTAAGAGAATGAAGGGACAAATCAGACGACTAGGTAAGAACCCAGAATTACTGAAGGAATATGACACTATCATTAAGGCCCAAGAAGAGTTAGGCATCATAGAGAGGGTAGGAAAAGATAGTGTGATTAATTCTCATGCCAAAATACATTACATGCCTCATCAAGCTGTCGTGCGAAAGGATGCCAAGACGACAAAGGTTAGAGTGGTTTATGACGCAAGCGCTAAAGTACTCAAGTCAAGTGTCTCTTTGAATGATTGTTTGCATATCGGACCTTCACTTAATCATTTTTTGTTTGATATTCTGATTAGGTTCCGTGAGCAAAGAATAGCGCTAATAGCGGACATAGAGAAGGCCTTCCTAAACATTGAAGTGCACGAAAGGGATCGAGATAGCCTAAGGTTTTTGTGGGTAGATGATGTACTGCGCAACAATTTGAATCTTGTAGTTTACCGTTTTTTTAGAGTCGTATTTGGGGTGAATTCGTCACCATTTTTGCTTAATTCGACGTTAAGGCATCATAATAGCAAATATTTACAGTGCGATAGGGAATTTTCAGAAAAACTGCTAAAAAGCTTTTACGTGGACGATCTTGCCAGCGGTGAATCTAGTACAGAGCGAGCGTATCAGCTATATCGTAAGGCCAACGAACGCATGAATGAAGGCGGATTTAAGTTACGCAAATGGCGGACTAATGATAGTGCGTTAAGATCGCAAATTGAAGAAGATGTGCGTGACGTGGAAAGTAGTTGCGTTGATGAGCAAACGTATGCGAAAACCACGCTTGCTCAAGTACAGGGTCAATTTGGTAAAGTATTAGGGTTGGAATGGGATAGCGTCGGGGACGTAATAATATTCGATTTCGAAAATTTGAGTGCGAAAGCGGAAAACACGGAACCGACGAAGAGAAATGTGTTGAGTCTGTTAGCTTGTATCTTCGATCCATTAGGGCTCTTGAGTCCTACGATTGTTAAAGCTAAAATTCTCTTTCAAGATATTTGTTACAGTGGCGTGGATTGGGACGATACATTGCCTAAAAGTGTGAAAGAGAAGTGGGAGAAGTGGTTGAGAGATCTAAAGGAGGTAAAGAGTGTTTCAATAGGATGCGTCAAAGCGAGCTTATTGTGCGGTTGTGTATCTAGTAGTTTTGAACGGTAACGATGTTCGTGTTAAGTTGATTGCCAGCAAAACAAGAGTAGCCCCGATGAAAGAACTTAGTATTCCGCGGTTAGAATTAATGGCAGCTAGAATATTGGCTCATTTAATGTCTGCAGTCAGAGTATAATTTTGAGGGCGTTAAGTATTGGACTGATAGTATGACTGTTTTGTATTGGATAGTCAACTCAGGCAATTGGAAGCAATTTGTTCAGCATAGAGTTGACGAAATATTAAGGCTTAGTTCAAAAACAGAGTGGAGTCATTGTCCAGGTAAGGAAAACCCTGCAGATTTAGGGTCGCGAGGGGTCTTGATGACTGAGTTAAAGAACGCGGAGGTTTGGTGGTCAGGACCGTCTTGGTTGCGGGGTAGTCCAAGGCATTATCCTATGGTGAAGGAGATAGTTCCCACAGTAGACAGCAAGGTTGAAGAGAAAAGGTCATTTGTTGTTAACCTAATCATAAGTGCAAGGTCATTGTTTGGAATTGGCAATGTCATTAGCATAAGTAAATACAGCACACTTACACGGCTGTTAAGAGTTACTGCGTGGGTGAAGAGATTCGTCTATAATTTGAAACAAAAAAGACTAGGATTAGAAATTTTTACCGGACCAATAAAAGCGAGCGAAATGAATGATGGAGAATGCGAGTGGATAAAGTCAGCCCAGCTAGAGTTACGAGAGCAACCCGAGTTTAAGCAGTTAGAAAGACAGTACGGACTGATAGAAATGAACGGGATACTGCATTGTACGGGAAGATTGGGTGAATCAGATTTGGAGGCAGAAGCTAGAGAGCCGATTGTTTTGCCTAGGAGACAGTATTTCACAGAGCTAGTGATTAGGCAGTGTCATGAATCTGTTATGCATGGGGGAGTTCGGAGCACGCTGGCGCAACTGAGGTCGAAGTATTGGGTACCCAAGGGCAGACAGGAAGTTAAGAGAGTGAGCGGTGGATGTGTAGCTTGTAAACGATGGAACAGTAAGCCGTGTACACAAATAAAGCAAGCAGCGTTACCAGAGTTTAGGGTTAGGAGAGCCGCACCATTTGAAAATTCAGGCGTAGATTTTGCAGGACCTTTGTACGTAAAAACAAAGGCAAGTATGAGCAAGGTGTACATTGCGCTGTTCACCTGCTGTGTGACACGCGCGGTTCACTTAGAGTTAGTGCACGATTTGAGTGCAGCGACATTTCTGCGCTGTTTAAGAAGATTTTTTGCAAGTTTTGGAACACCGAAACTTATTGTTTCTGACAATGCCAAAACATTTAAAGCCGCAAAAAAGACGTTGCGCGACTTATTTCAATGCGAAGAAGTAGATAATTGCCTTAGCGCTAAGAACATTGAGTGGCGATTTAACCTAGAGAGGGCCCCATGGTGGGGAGGGTTTTTCGAAAGGATGATAGGGCTAGTGAAAGTCTGTTTAAGGAAAGTTTTGGGCAATGCAAAACTTACTTTCGACGAACTGACAACTGTTCTAGCTGAAGTTGAAGCTAAATTGAATTCTAGACCTTTAACGTATGAGTACGAGGAAGTGAATAGTGAAGTACTTACTCCTGCACATTTAGTCTATGGTAGGTGCATCGTGACATTACCCGATAGCAAGGACTCAAAAATTAATGATTTAGGACAAGATTCGACTAGAACAAACACTAGGACACGATTCAAACATTTAAGTACCATACTGGAGCATTTTTGGAGCAGGTGGAAACGGGAGTATCTCACGAATCTTCGGGAATTTCATAAGGTTGGGATGGCAGACAAACAGTCGGCGATAATTAAGCCAGGGGATGTGGTCATTGTGTTTGAGCAGGGTAAGAAAAGGGGGGAGTGGAAGACAGGTGTGATTCAGGAATTGATTTGTGGCAAGGATAAGGTCGTTCGTGGTGCAAGGGTTTGCGTGATGACAAACGGTCGTCGCCAGGTGTTGAATAGAGCGATTCAGCATTTATATCCAGTTGAGGTTAAAGACGAGAGTAAGGTTGAAGGGGTTGTTAAGGAGGATATAGTTAGCGGATGTAAGGAGAAGACTAAGAGAAAGGCGGCTTTGGACGCCAGGTGGAAGGTTAGGGCGATGCTTGACTCCTGAGTGAGTCAAGGGGGGGGAGAGTGTTGTATAATTTAGGATATTTCATTTATATTTTTTATTGCATGCCAGATTTTATAAGGCCCGGTTCAAACGTCGTATTTTACATGCGCCGAATCAAATCTGAGTTTTAGTCGACTAAAATAGTTTTATGCGTAGTTTGATTCAGACATCGAATTTAATAGTCGCATTTATAAAAGTTATGCTTCCACTTTTTCATAGTTTATTCATTTTCTTGTACTAATTTCCTAAAATGGCGAACAGAAAAATGTTGAGTTTATGCATTTCAAATATGATTCGTGTTAATAGGAAAAGACGAATATTGATGCACGTTGCAGTAAATAAACTATTAGAAACGAGACGGCAGCTTCTGCAAATTTCCCATGTTTTTCTACCCTTAATTGGTCAAAAAAATGCCTTCATACGTAGCCCTCCTTATCGATCATGTCGAAGACAAGATAGAAATTCCGGCTGGTGGAAGAAAGTTTGGAGTATTTATTCTGATCTTCGATTCAAAAAAACATTTCGTGTATCTCGAGGAAATTTTCCTTGTAAATATAATTTTTTTGCACTTTAAACAAGTGTATTTTGTTAAACTTGTGCACGAAATACAAGGGCCATTACCATCACTCGCCGCCGCCATGTTTTTACAACTTTGCGCATGGCATTTAGCATGGAAATAATTGATTTTTGCTTAGAAATATCTTAAAATAAATTATGCATTAAATTCGGCTCATGTAAAATGCGACGTTTGAATCAAAGTCGAATTTTCGTCGAATATTCGACTAACTCAGTCGAATATGCGACTAAAGTCGCATTAAATTAAAATCCGTCGAATTTAATTGATTCAAACGTCGCATTTTACATGCACATAATTCTCGCATTTGATTCGGCGCATGTAAAATGCGACGTTTGAACTGGGCCTAAGTTCCCATGCAGAGTTTTATGAGTGCCAAAATTATAATTAAATTAGGGTGTATATACTTAACACTTCCTAAGTATTTTCTCTCTTAATTAATTCACGTTGTAGTAGTGCACGTAAGTCACGAAATGTAAACATATAAATAGACTCAAATTTGTAATAGTCGGGGAGATTGTGTAGATTGTTCATTGCTAATAAACTCCATAAAACAAACCGAATCAGAGTGAAGATCTATTTTCTGGACGAACTCAGTGAATTCTGCGACACACTTATAGGAAGTCAGACATTCGAGGCTCAAAAGTTCCGGTCAACAAAACTAAAAGAACTAAAAATAAAACACACTGAAGCACTTGAACACAATAACACCGGAACATTCAAACATGGGAAGTTATGAACATTTAAACACCGGAACACCAAAACAACGGAACTCCAATGAGGGCAGAAGACTGGAACATGGGAACACTAAAACAAGTGACTATTGAAAGACAAGAATGGAAACACCGCTTTCTATGACACGCAAAGCATAACATCAAAATATATTGACGATATAAACATTCGTCGTCGCGCTGCTTGCCAGTGAAAATTCACTATCATCCATCATTTAGAATGATATGTTTAATGAAAACCGAATAGTGACGCGTTTTTAACAACGTGAAAGGTGGAACATGTCAAAAACCATAGTATTTCGTGCCGTTAACCGAACGCCTCTCTAAACTAAAATTAATGTATGAAAAGAACGTTATTATGACAAAGAAACTTTTTATTTGTGTACGAACTTAGTAACACTAAAATAGTCTCGTCTTCCTGTTCGACTTTATATCCCACCAGATGGCCTGCGTATTTTATATAAAAGCTCGCATTGTCTCTTTTAAAAGAAGTGCTATTCCGATATTCTTTCGTTTATGTGTACTGCTTGTATATAGTTCAATTAGTCCATAAAATGAGATCATATTTTATCTTTTATTTGTACTCAATTGCGTGTCTTTTGGGTGTTCGAATTATAATTATAGTAAACAGTTCATACATTGGATTGAATCAATGTATGAGTTAATAATATTCAGGAAAAAAATTTCTCAATTCTGATAGGTTGATTGCAGTGCAGTTTATCTGTAATTGCACTGTGAAAATGCGCTGTAGAAAAGTGTAATTGTACTGCAAATACTGTAACCTGATTGGCTGAAAAGCAATAAAAGCAAAACAAACTTCTTTTCAATTAAAAAAAAAACATGGCGGCAGTTGTAAGTGAACAAAGATTTCCACAATTGTAATCGTTTGAAATTCAAGAATTACAAAAGAATGCAAAGAGTAAAAACCAAACAGCAAGAACTATTTTTTGGGTGAATCTTTTCTAAAGTTAAGCAGCGTAACGAGGCTTTTCTGAAGAGATAGAGAGAAACGAAGTGAGACAGAGCTAGACAGTACAGTCAAGTAACATCTCGAAGTATATTATTATTAAGTAATAGTATAGTTTCTTGTGCAATTACGGCTAAACATAGACTCGTGAGTTTTTCAATCACTACAAATAGCACTATTTCGCCGCAGTCTTTAAAGAACTCATTCGTGCATGTTTATCCGTAGTTTCACTCAAAACTATATTATTACCAATACTAATTGATCGACAAGTAGCTAAGAACATTAAATTCGCTGTAAAAATATTACATAATCACGTCTAACTCGCTACTAGCAACAAACAATGTCTTTTCAATTGTAAAAACCGAAATTTAATAAAACAACCTAGCATAGGTACATCTCTTGTGTGTCTAATTCATGCATTGAAAATCATTCTGAACATCTTTCAGTTGGAGAATTTTCTCTCGGGACAACATATCAGGTATACTTTTTCTGTTCCTGGTACATTGTTCCTGTACGGTTTAACACCTCGGTAAACTGCGTGCATATACGAGAAAAATGACCACCCTCCCAGAATATCTTCCCGCAAGTCGCACAGCAGTAAAACAGCTCAATCTTATCCAATATACTCTCGGAAAGAGCTTCAATCTGTAGGCGAACGCCGCTACTAAGTTTTAAAGTGTTTACAACTAAGGGAAGCGTAATTTTTGATGACCCATTTGAAATATACTGAGAAAATAAATTGTTACTAACTTTGCGTTGTTGATGTGCCATGTTTTGTTCACGTGCTTGGCCAAGAGCTTCGTTTTTCCTTTCACCGTACTTGATGTAAGCCTCAGGCATCGATACTGTATGTTCATTCCGATTAGAAATCTGAAGAAAAAAAAAGCATTTAAAGTTTGTTGTAGAAAAATGTAGCAAAGAACCCCAAGTATTAACATTCTTCAGAAGGGAGGTTTTTAAACAACAATGTGAAAATTTTAATTCTTGACTTATCATATAGTTTAGCATTTGTCTGGTGTCTTCATCGAGAGCGATCTGATAGTACAACTCGATTATTCACAAGTTTACGATGCTGAAACTTGAGTAATTAGGTTTTCTAACTAGGAAGAAAGCAGTGCTACAACATAGGAAGTCAGACATTTGAGGTCCAAAAGTTCCGGTCAACAAAACTAAAAGAACTAAAAATAGCACTAAAAGAACTAAAAACATCACTGAAGCACTTGAACACAATAACAACGGAACATTCAAACATGGAAAGTTATGAACATTTAAACACCGGAACACCAAAACAACGAAACTCCAATGAGGTCAGAAGACTGGATATTGGCAACACTAAACAAGTGACCTTTGAAAGACAAGAACGGAAACACCGCTTTCTATGACACGCAAAGCATAACATCGAAAAATATTGACGATATAAACATTCGTCGTTGCGCAGTTTGCCAGTGAAAATTCACTATCATCCATCCTTTAGAATGATATGTTTAATGAAAACCGAATAGTGAGGCGTTTTTTAACAACGTGAAAGGTGGAACATGTCAAAAACCATAGTATTTCGTGACTTTAACCAAACGCCTCTCTAAACTAAAATTAATGTATAAAAAGAACGTTATTATGACAAAGAAACTTTTTATTTGTGTACGAACTTAGTAACACTAAAATAGTCGTCTTCCTTTTCGACTTTATATCCCACCAGATAGCCTGCGTATTTTATATAAAAGCTCGCATTGTCTCTTTTAAAAGAAGTGCTATTCCGATATTCTTTCGTTTATGTGTACTGCTTGTCCACGCAAGCTTCAAGCAATCGTTAAATCAAAGCGTAATATATTTCGTTAACGAGTTGAGAAATAGTCATGAAGCGGAGTGCCAGAGAAGTTGATGAAAACGAAGTACAATTCTTCGATTCTCTTTCAAGGACTGACATTGATTTAGTCAAGAGTAAAAAAGACGACGATAAGAATCCAGTCAATGTTAACGCCATAAACTCGAATGGCAAAACAACTCTTGAAATCAAAGCTGAAAACAGAGACTTTGCCGTCATGGATGAGCGGGATAAGCTTTTGGCAGCAGAGGAGGACGATTCGAAAAGTTTTCTTTTACAATGCGTTGCCCAAAACGATCTTGAGGGCGTCAAAGTGTTTCTGTCAAAAAGTCCAGACTGCAAAGTAAGTATTTACTATTTATGAAAGGGTATCCTAATAGTGTGTTAATCAAACAGAAGCTATGAAGTATGAACACAAATTATTTGCTCTTTAGATTCATCATTTTAACATATTGTACTTCAAACAAATCGTAAACTTATCATATGTATACATATAGGACTATACAGACTTCGAAAACATATTAACGACAAGCTTTATCACGCCAATAATACTAGCAGTTCAACTGGACCACCGGGAGATTTTACATCATTTAATAGTGAACAACTACCGTATCAAAGACCCGGATAAATATGAATCCGAACATATTCCAGACATGCTTCGTTCAGCGATTGCCATAAATCGCTTCAGAGGGCTTTCAAGTCCCGTCTATATGTGTTTAAGGTAAATCTGGTTGGTGAGGATATTTTTTTTTGAAAGTAAACTATGGAATTTGCTAGCTTAAAGCAAGGGATGCTAGCACTAGTAGGACCTAATTAGACTTTGATAGCAATAAAAACCATGTATCTTAGGTGCGCGCTTCTACCGTGTTTCATCTTTTTTAGCTTCCTCCTCTACATACTCCCCTACTTGCAAAAGAATAACTCCTCGCCCCGCTCTATTAATCTCCCATTCTCAGTAAATTAAAAATCACCGGGATGTCCATCACTCGATAAAATTATAACAAAACAGGAACGCTAACGAAGCTTTATTCATTGATATATGAGCGTTTACTCGTTTGAAATTTAATAATGTAAAAGTTAAAATAATTATACTTGCTTCGTGTCAAAATGTCATACAAAAATAAAGTCAATTTTTTCTTTTACCATGGGCTAAATGGACAAAATGTCAAATAAGGAAAGATAGGAAAACACTCCACAATTGAGTATGTACGCTAATGTTGCAGTTGTACAACAATACCCTTGCAACAACAGCTATAAAATTCACAATAAGAATCACATTTGTTGACATATACCAACTTTTTTTCCGAACAAGTTATTTAGAAGATAAGGAAGACAGAATAGAAGACCCGTTCTCTCAGTCATTAGATCTAATTTCAAAGTTACAAAAGCGCACCAGAGATGAGTACGAACTGAAGAACGAATACACCGAATTATCAAAAACGTGCAAAACTTTTACGACGGAGCTGTACAACAGTTGCAGAAACATGGAGGAAGTAATGGCACTCATGGACGTCGATTTTGAGTTTAAGACACGCAACGCGTTGACCTTAACGCACAAGACACGTAAAAATGTGGTAAAACGTCTGAAGTACGCCATACAATGTGATCAAAAACAGGTAACGGGAAAGAAAAATTGTGCAAAGTTCATATTATATTATAAATAAAAACGCATGGAGAATTTGTCAAAAAATGTGTGTTCCATCACAGCTTAGAAAGTTCGTGATGGTTCCATGCACAAAACATCTCAGCCGCGTACTAAATAACTACTTAACACAATTCTCGTCCAGAAAATGGTTATTGTTGTGATAGATTTATTGTCGGATGAAACATTTGAAGTTGAACGACCTATTTCAATAAAAAACTTTTGCAAATCTTGTGCGCTAATTTTAACGACGTTCTCCTAACTGTTCACTCTTTTGTACAACCTGTAGCTATTGAAGAAACAAAAACACGCGAAACTAATGCAAGAAAAAATTTATTTCCCTTTTAATTTAGAAATTTTATAGCTTCCTAAACTATGGAAAGATTGAATTTACGTACTGACAAAAAAGTGACTTTTTTCATTGTATTTTTTTTCAGTTTGTTGCGCATCCGCATACTCAACAACTCCTTAAAATGATCGTGTACTCTGGCTTCCCTTGTAAAGTCCAAAAAAAATCCATGATATCTCGCCAGCTATGGTTTATCATGTATACAATTCTTTCCCCTCTCCTTATTTTAATATATTTCATATTTCCTGCTTCAAAGATATCAAAAATTATGTCCACTCCATACATGAAGTTCATCAACCACCTTACTCAGTTCATAGTCTTTCTTTCGCTGATTGCTGTCTCCTCGCAGCAGCATAAGCCCACTCCAACAGTTATAGGTAATAAATACATCTGAATCAGCCAGAACGTTGTTTCTAGTATTGATATAATGAAACTCACTCGGTTCTTTAAAACTTATTCAGCCTTCGTTTTACCAACGTCTAGAATCTTTAATTTTCCTAACTGTCATCGGAATGGTATATCAGGAGATTCGTGAAATGCTACATCATGAACCAAAAATGAGCTATTTCTTCAAATGGTGGAATATCATCACAGTCATAATGCTGACTTTGTTTATCATGGCGGGAGCATTTTGGATTGCTGGTAATATCGTCACGGGGGATTGGTCAATCACTGAACGTACTCTCGCATCGTACGACAATAAGAAAAATGGCTATGCGCTCGGGTATACGTTGTTGCTGCTCGGAAATAGCTTTTTTGCAATGGCCACTGTCGTCAGTGTTCTTCATTTTCTCGATTTTTGTCAGGTGAGATGCATTAGAAAAGCTTAAACTAATCTTTGCACCGAAGCACATTACAGGTAAAGGTAATCTTATATGGTCAATATGTTGGTGTTATGGCCACTAAATTCGTGTTAATTTTAAATTTTTCATATAGGTGCATCCCACGTTAGGACCGCTTCAGTTATCGCTTTACCAAATGATTTTGGATGTTATGAAATTTATGCTATTTTTTGCTGCCATATTTGTTGCATTTGTCGTGGGTTTGAAGAATCTTTATTTGAACTGTACCAGCATCCAAGAAGAGATGTCTATCAAAAACAAAAACAAGACAGAAAACATAAACGAGAATTTCTTAAAGTTTGTAATAAGATATTTGCCTTGGTTAACAAAACAACAGGCTTTTAGCGACAATGTCAAAGCAACGAACCTTATTTTTTAGCCTTCTGGAAGCGTCCAAAATTATGTTCTGGGCACTCTTCGACAAAATCGATCTCGAAGACTTTGATACAAAAGATTCACGTTTTGAAATCACACAAGTAACAGGAAAACTGTTGTTCGCGATCTACTCAATCCTTGCTGTCTTCATTGCACTCAACATGCTCATTGCAATGATGAATCATTCATACGAGTATGTGTCGGTAAGGAACATGCATTAATTGGACTTAGTACAATAGTTAGAATACTATTTTAGGCGCAAGTCTCGCCAGTAACGGATCCAGGGTATATTATTAAGATTTTATGATCCAAGTCTAATTAACATCCTCACATAATGAGTTCCTGTGTAGTGTGGCTCTGTAAATGCTTCCGTGTTCACTAGATAGTCTAAAACCTACATAGAAAGGACCAAAATTTCACGCACAACAAACTCAAAGCTTATTCATGGAATCAGCACAAACATGCGCCATTTGGCTTTATAAAACGTCCTACAAATTTCAATAGCTAATAAGGTTTACTGGAACCAACTGTCCCTGCAGTTGGAATAAATACTTCAGCACTTCAAAGAATTAACTCAGTTTTGCAATAAGCTTGTCTTCCACAAACATGACAATTTTCACACATCAAGCTCAACCAGTTGAATACTGCTCAATAAATCTATACGAAACGATACTAGACATGCATGAACGACTAAATCGATGATGGCAAAAAAACATATAATGATTGCACTCATTTGAAAACTAACTAGTCATAAATATGCTCTCTTTACAGCAAGAGCAAGACAATCAGTGGAAATTCAGTCGTACTGAAGTGTGGCTGGATTTCGTACAGAGAGAAGAAGGAAACACACTACCAGCTCCATACAATCTAATACCGAATCCAATACTCATCTATCGCTTTTTAAAGAAAAAGGTGAGCAATGTAGCCTTATTTAAAGTAAATGGTTTGAACCCGGGGGTATCGTTACATGCTTGTAAATGTAGATCGTCCAGGTTGGTATAGTCCTGAGTGGGACTGTTTTTGTTGTTGTTGACTGACGTTTCGACAACCTTAGCGGTAGTCATCTTCAGAGTCAAAACGGCTTACATTAGAAAGTTGGTATACCAACTTGGAACAAACCCCCCTGAACAGATCACAGCAATTACCGGCACCTTACAAACGACTTATTCACAATACAAACAAACGATCAACTAAAAACATTTCACTTCACACTAATTCACAATTACAATACACAATTGACACCCACACATTTCCTGTACACACAATACAATGACGTAGAACCAGATAACAAATACGGCTATCCTGACGTTTAAGCGCGGGCCACACTATCGTCGAAATGCAACGAATTTCGTGACGAGTCGCTCGTCAACGACCCGTCGTGACGAGTACTTGTGCCACATTGTAACGATTTTCCGTACAAGCATGGACGATTATCAGCGCAAAAAGAAACTTCTATTATTGAAGAGAAAAATTCTACTGCTTCTAATTTCTGCAAAACGACGTACATACAAAAGAAGGTTCTGGGTACATCCCATAAATAAAAGGCGAGAAAGAGAAGGGCTTGTATGACACGTTGTTGCAAGAGCTTCGTCAAGCTCTATTGGTCGCAACTTTCAGTTCCCGAGCGACATCCTTCCAATTATTTTCCTTTATATTGCGTGTATCTTTATAGTCAGGATGAAATTTGTCCCACAAACATCGCCTCTCTCTCACTAGCTCAATTAATATTTCTTGCCAATCCGCCATTTTGCCACAGCACAGTGAAAGTAAACATTAGTCATGCGATTTTTCTTGTCCAATCAGAGTAGATATGCAACAATTACTCGTCACTCGTTGACGATTTCGGTGTGCATGCTCAACGGCGACGAATTCGTCCATATCGTCATATTTTCTCGTTGACGAGCGACTCGTCACGAAATTCGTTGCATTTCGACGATAGTGTGGCCCGCGCTTTACTCCTCATTTGACTCTGAAGATGACTACCGCTAAGGTTGTCGAAACGTCAGTCAACAACAACAAAAACAGTCCTTCTCAGGACTATACCAACCTGGACGATCTACATTCACAAACATGTAGCCTTATTTGTTGAACATTTCATAAACTGACGTCATAGACATGTTTTGATAAGTGTCTTGCAGTGCTCAATATAAGTTAAGAATGTTCTTGTAGAATCTTCGTGTTTGGTTATTGTTTTTGATGTTTATTATTTTGCATTAACGTGTTAAGCCTGTTTTCCACAAGCCACGTATCGTAAAGTATCGTAGCAAAACGTAACATGGCGCATGCGTACTTGTGAATTTGATGGTCAATAGGCACAATCACGCATGCGCCATGTTACGTTTTGCTTCGATACGTTACGATACGTGGCTAGTGGAAAACAGGCTTTAGTGTGGTATGCAGCAGCGTAGCCTGACCTTCTTGACTGGGGTGAGGGGCTTTTTTTTGCAGAGGAGCGCATGACCGTGGTCCCTTCACCTAATATAGCTTATACCAACAAGCAAATAGTGGCGAACACGTAAATAGCTATGGTCTGTTCCTTTGAGAGTATTTTGGTTAAAGCAGTTTCACATAAAGCCAAAAAAGTCGACAATTACTGCCGACAAAACTTTGTAGCATTTAAACATTTACAGCTCTATTTAACAAAGGACCAAAAAAAAACGAGGAGCAAGACTCCATTCAGCCCCTCCCTCTCCAGTAACTAAGAACAATCTAAAACAATACATTGAAGTTTTTTTTGCGTGATTTTCATAGTATTTGTAGCAATTTTCTCCTTTGCGCGTTAGCACAAAGCAGTTATGTGTCTGCCGATTCGTTTTTGGGACTGTATACCATCCTACTGTACGCGCAGTCGACACACAATTCTCAATTTTACTCATTATAACTATTCTGCATCACAGATAATCTTAAACATTTCAAGCTTTTACATTCACAGCCAGCGACAGAAGAGCCTGACTTTCAACGTGTCAAAACTAATAAATATTAACATAAGTTCCTATTTTCTTTCATACGTTCCTAGTATCAAATAATAATTATCTATTGTTTATTTTCATACGTTCCGACAGTATTATAACGTTGAGGAAACAGCTCATTTAATTCAAAAACGAGATGAATTGGAAGAAAAACAAAGAAAAAAGGTAAACAAAAGCTTTCTTAGCTACATTCAAGCATATCGTGTTTGTAGCTACCAGTAGTTGGTTTTTATCTTTTAGTACAATGCCAATGCAATTCGTGTTTATGTAATAATCGTAAACGACGACAAAAAACTTTCTTTAGTTCCCATAAATATGCGCGACAATCGTAAAGTTTTCATTTGACAGATCGTAGGAAAAAAAGAAAGCTCAAGTGTACAAAAAGAGCATTAACAAAATGAAAAAAAGAGTCAACAAATTTCACATATATAAAAAACGTTTTATGAACACTCGTATGCAGGTTGAAAGTGATATGTAAAATCATTTTGATATTTCCTTAGAGAAGAAAGGTAATAACACGCCTAATCAAGCGATATTTGATGATGAAAGATGCTCAAAAAGAAGAATCTGGAACTGCGACGAACATCAAAAAGAGCGAGCCTAACATCATAGAATTATTGACAGACCAACAAAACAATATGAAGACCACTCGACTGTAAATGCGTACAATGTGTATCTCGTCAGCCTAAGAAAAACTCAAAACCTAAAAGTTTATCTATAGATGAATGATAAAAGGAAAATTGAGTGTCTAAACACAATCAAATCGCAGCAAAATATACCTGGAAGGAAAGATCTGATTTTTGACATGTATTTTTCTTTGATAATTTATAATACCTCAAACTTTCAAAGTTAATTTGTCCGTAGAACAAGATGATATTTTGTGATCTTTCATTTTTACTCATTTACGCGCCTTGTGTGTGTTCTAATAATAATTAGATTAAGCAGTTCATACATTACATTGGATCGATTTATCAGTTAATCGATCGACAAGTAGCTAACATCGTTAATTTCGCTGTGAAAATATTCTAAAATCACGTTTAACTAGCCACTGGCAACAAACAATGTCTTTTCAATTGTAAAAAGCGAAATTCAATAAAACAACCTAGCGTAGGCACATCTCTTGTGTGTCTAATACATGCATTGAAAAATTCAACACATTACGTAATAAAAAACATAATTTTCTTACGCATGCGCAATTGCGCAATGAGCGAGCATCTTTCAGTCTGACGGTTTTACTGCATGTCAGACTAAATTGGCAAGTATGTCAGCTACTCAACTTGATATCCATTCGACAGAAAATTCTCTCCGGAAAACATATTAGGTGTATTTTTTTCTCTTCCTGGTACATTGTTCCGGTACGGTTTAACACCTCGGAAAACTGCGTGTATATACGAGAAAAATGACCACGCTCCCAGAATATCTTCCCGCAAGTCGCACAGCAGTAAAACAGCTCAATCTTATCCAATATACTCTCGGGAAGAGCTTCAATCTGCAGGCGAACGCCGCTACTAAGTTTTAAAGTGTTTACATCTAAGGGAGGCGTAATTTTTGATGACCCATTTGAAATATACTGAGGAAATAAATTGTTACTAACTTTGTATTGTTGACGTGCCATGTTTTGTTCACGTGCCAGGTCAGGAACTTCGTTCTCGCTTGCATTGTACTTGATGTAAGCCTCAGGCATCGATAGTGATCCGACTCTCATATGTTCGTTCCCACTATATGTCTGAAGAAGAAAGAATGCTATTAAAGTTTGCTGTAGAAAAATGTAGCTGGCAGTGAAGTGTAGGTATTAACATTCTTCAGAAGTGAGGAATTTAAATAACCACGAGAAAATTCTAATACTTAAGTAATTGTATAGTGCGGCCGTTATCTAGTGTCTTCATCAAGAGCGATATGATAGTACAACTTGAAACTAGGAAAGAAACCTAAGTTTAGTGTTTACACTTAGATACACAGCATCACTGAAACATCTAAATCATAAAATAGAGATTTTGTCAAACTAACAAAGTCAAATATTGCCTTAAAAAGCGCAAATGACATGCGAAATGGCCTGAACACTAAAGAAAAACTAAATTACCCAAGAGAAAACTCAAGAGAAAATCAAAACTTCTGAAAAGAACTGTTTTACAGGTATAAAACACGATGCATTTCGGCAGACAAACAGATGGCAGACGTTGACACCTGTTGAGTTGTCTGCCGAAATGCATCGTGTTTCATATCTGTAAAACAGTTCTTTTCCAGAGCTTTTGGGTTTGTGTTCTAATTCTAATACATTTCTTTTCAGAAAGCTTAGGTTTCTCTTGAGTTTTTCTCGGTTTTCTTTAGGGCATTCAGGCCATTTAAAATGGTAATTGCGCTTTTTAAGGCAATATTTAGATTATCCAAACATGGAAGTCAAAAAAACAACATTTAAAAGCCGGAACCAAAAAAATAACATCAGAATATTGGAACACGTCAACATAATGACATATCAACACTGAAACTTTAGAATTCCAGAATATTGGAGCATGTGAACATTATAAAATATAAACAGTTAAACACCGGAACACACAAAAACAACGGAACTCGTGAATTTTGTAAAATGCGAAACGCTAGCACAAGTGACGGCCAAAACACCACAACCTTTCTCTGACACACAAAGCACATCGCCAAAAATATTGAAGCCTTAACTTTTTCAAAGGAAGAAATTCTAAGAGAGGTTCTCAATTATATCAATAGTTAAAATTAATGATAATTAGTTTATTGATTAAACAAACTTCATCCTACTTTTCAGCTCGCTATGCAGCACTTAGTACAACATCTTGACGCCCGTTGGCGCAATGTATTATGAAGCGTCGAATTCGTCGCACATTTTCCCGTTGAAAATACTCTATCATTAAAATAGTATCTTTATTGAAAACTGTATGTATAACACATAGTTATAATAGCGTTGTAATTCGAGATCAACCAGATAGCATGCACATGTTACGTTACAAACTGATTCGCACAGCATTTTTAATTGGCATTTTTTTTTAATTAAGTTGCGTTGTTTTTCCGGGTGGGTTCCTATATAAGTTTACAGGAGTTCCATATAAGTACCAAGACCACACAGCTGATTGCCAAATCCGGGGACACAATATAACAAGTACAGCAAATTTTGTTGATGAGTTGAAAGAGTTATGCAAAGGGGAGAAAATCAAAACGAAGTAGAATTCTTCGATGCTGTTAAGGAAGGTGACATTTTTTCGGTGAAGAGTAAAATCCGCGACACCAACAATCCAGTCAATGTTAACGCCATAAACTCGTATGGAAAAACGGCACTTCAAATCGCGGCCAAAAACAGTCACAAAGACGTCATAGATGAGCTTTTGGCGGCAAAGGCCGACTTCAAAATGGCTCTTTTACAAAGCGTTGACCAACACGATCTTGAAGAGATAAAAAATTTGGTGTCAAACCTTCCAGAAAACATCAAGATATCAGACTATAGCTTCATCACGCCAACAATAAGAGCAGCTCAATTGGACCACTACGACATTGTACATTATTTTATATTGCACAAGTACTTTATCGAAAAGCCACATGAGTGTGATTGCAATTGTGAATTATGCAAACCCAAGTCGGACATGCTTCGTTCACAGATTGCTAAAAATCATTTTGAAGGGCTTTCAAGTCCGGTCTATATGTGTTTAAGGTAAGTCAGGATGGTGAAGATACATACAATGTAAATGCAAAGCAGTGGCCGATTACTAGTTACGGGGTAAAGTTGAGCCTTTAAATTATATTTATTCCTCTCACTAAGTTTAGTCTCGTGATGACGTTTGCGTTCTTCGAGTTCCACTGCTTTTGAATAAAAGTAAAATAAAATTTTTTAAAGATCAAACGAAATTTTGAAAATCGTTGACATAGTCAGAGGAAACTGGGACAACCCACTACTTCACGAGTTCGTCGCGCATTTAAACAGTAGATAGTATGAAAGCCTCAATATTCAATAGCTCCTACGGTTTTCAATGGAATAAATCGTCGAAATCTTTGGTTCGGTGTAATGTTATGTCTTCATGTGCACAACTGGGACAAACTTTTGACGATGACGAGCTTATGAATAAAAAGCGCAAGGATATTTACAAAGGCATAAGCTTGCCGGACGTTCACAAACATCAATTACTTTTTATAAATGCAAACAAAACAAACTTGATAGACCGTACGACAAAAATGACAATGAATTCAAACACACGACACAAATCAAGCGACGGCTAATGTATACAATAAAATACTTGCTCAGGGAAATGTCTTCAACACAATACACGGCTCTAATATTGTTTTGTCGACATCTGTTTGTTCGATATTTCGGTTGAGTAAACGACATATCATGCCATTCACAAAACGTTCGCAAGACAGAATGTTCAAAACAAAGTGTTTATCTTCAAAAAAAAAAGATTTTCATTGTAAGTGCCAATGAATTAGTCGTTAAAATAAATTCATCGTACGATGTATGCATTTAAAACGCCAATAAAAGCATGCAATTTAAGCGACAGCCAATGGACAAGGTGAAAAGTTAAGACAATTACCAAGTCTTTTGATTAAGTTCAGTGAGCACAGGTCACAACTTTGCACGAGTGAAATTTGGACAAGATGAAAAGTTAAGACAATTACCGAGTCTTTTGATTAAGTTCAGTGAGCACAGGTCACAATTTTGCACGAATGAAATTTGGACAAGGTGAAAAGATAAGACAATTACCAAGTCTTTTGATTAAGTTCAGTGAGCACAGGTCACAATTTTGCACGAGTGAAATTTGGACAAGGTGAAAAGATAAGACAATTACCAAGTCTTTTGATTAAGTTCAGTGAGCACAGGTCACAATTTTGCACGAGTGAAATTTGGACAAGGTGAAAAGATAAGACAATTACCAAGTCTTTTGATTAAGTTCAGTGAGCACAGGTCACAATTTTGCACGAGTGAAATTTGGACAAGGTGAAAAGATAAGACAATTACCGAGTCTTTTGATTAAGTTCAGTGAGCACAGGTCACAATTTTGCACGAGTGAAATTTGGACAAGGTGAAAAGATAAGACAATTACCGAGTCTTTTGATTAAGTTCAGTGAGCACAGGTAACAATTTTGCACGAGTGAAATTTGTCAAAGGAAGGGAGAATACTTTCTTTTTGCTGCTTTTGTGACATTTTGACACAAATGACAAAATTATCGTTATTCGAACTCGTTTCATTGTTGTAAAAGGAAATAAGCTTAGAACTTCAGAACTCCAAATGAACTAAAGACGTTTTTATAAATTTTTTTTTCAACGTCTCGTGTGCTTTTATGTACGTTAGTAATGTATCACTCGACTAAGTACATCATTATTGTTTAACGACCTGTACGTACTGCGTATCTATCTTTTCCTACAAGTTATTTAGAAGACAAGACAGGCAAAACGGAAGACCCGCTCTCTCAAGCATTCGCTCTAAATTTGAAGTTACTCAAGCGCGCCAGAGATGATTTTGAACTAAAAAACGAATACACCGAATTGTCAAAGAAATGCAAAACTTTCATGACGGAACTGTACAATTGTTGCAGAAACATGGAGGAACAAATGGCACTCATGAATGTCGATTTCGACTGTAGTAGTGCACACAAAGGAACAAGCGAGGAACGTAAAGCTGTTGTGAAATGGCTGACGAAAGTCATTGAGAGCGATCTAAAAGAGGTAAGTGGGAAAGAAAAAGCGAAGAACTGTTCATTCTCTACAGCTTAGAAAGACTGTAGCTTCCAAATGTAGGGGAAAATTGCCCACTCGCAACAAAGAATTTCATTCACGGAAAGTGACTTTTTGGCTTGGATATTTTAGTTCGTGGCGCATCCGCGTAGCCAACAACTGTTGAACATGGTCGTGTACTCCGGCGTCCCATGGAATATCCGAAGAAAATCCACGACATCTCTTCTTTTTGCTTTTATTCTATATACCATTCTTTTCCCACTAATTGTGTTTATATACATCTGCTTCCCCAAAAAAACGATAGTGGAAATCATGTCAACTCCATACGTGAAGTTTATCAGCCACATTTCGCAGTTCACGATCTTTCTTTCGCTGATTGCTGCCTCGTCAATGCGCGATAACCACACTCCAACAATTATAGGTAAAATACATTTAAATCAACGAGAAATTGCCTCCAGTTTTGATGCTTATGAAACGTGCAGGGTCTTGAAGATGTAGAGCTCAATTTTACGACATTTTTCTATCTAGAATACTACATTTTCCTAACCGTCGTTGGAATGATGGTTGAAAAGTTTGATGAAATGCTACGTCAAAAAGGAAAAATAAATAATTTCTTCAAATGGTGGAACATTATCACAATCATAATGCTGACTTTCTTCCTCATGGCGGGACTAACATGGATCGTCGGTTATGTCGTTAAGGCGTACGGCGCTAAAAAAGATGGATATAAGTTGCTGCTGCTCGGGAATAGCTTTTTCACGGTGGCAATTGTTGTCAGCGTTTTTCATTTTCTTGACTTTTGTCAGGTGAGATGCAATGCAAAAACCAAAAATAATTCTTGCACTAAGAACACTGGGCGAAGGCAATCTTATGGCCAAAATGTTAGCGTTAAAGTCACCAAACTCTTATCAATATGATCGTTTTGCTTTTTTTTAGGTCAATTCCACATTGGGACCGTTTCAGTTGTCTCTTTATCGTATGATACAGGATGTCTTAAAATTTATGCTATTTTTTTCTGCCATGTTTGTCGCGGTTGTCGTTGGTTTGAGAAATCTTTATTCGTATTACAACAGCATCCAAGAAGAGATGTTGGGGCAAAACAAAAGCAAGGCAGAAAACATCAACGAGAATTTCTCGAAGTTAGTAATAATTAAGATATTTGTCATTGACCACAGAACGACAGATCAAATCAAAGTGACGAACCTTATTTTAAAGATCAAATCCAAGTGACGAACCTTATTTTTAGTCTTCAGGGAGTGAGTAAACATCTGTTCTGGGCACTCTTCGATAAAATCGATCTCGAAGACTTTGATACGAAAGACTCACGCTTTGAAATCACACAAGTAACAGGAAAACTGCTGTTCGCAATCTACTCAATCGTGGTTGTCTTCATTGCTCTCAACATGCTCATTGCAATGATGAATCATTCATACGAGTATGTGTCGGTAAGGAACATGCATTAATTTGACCTAGTACTTTTGTTAGAATATTCACTTAGGGAGCAAATTTCATGAGAAACGGAGGGTAAGACATTAAATTACTATATGTTTTCAACTCAATGTACTTTCCAATCCGATTGGTAATGTTTTGGCTCTCAGGAGTATTGAGCCTGCAACTCAGCCAGCGGTAAAACGTACTTCGCGTAATCGGTCCCTGTATAGTGTTGCTATTAAATGTTTCTGTGTTTGATGACTGTAAAAACAATAGATTTTTAAAGAAACCGGTGATGATGTTTTAAAATCCACAGAGCAGGATCACATTTTCAAATGCAACAAAAACAGCACCTCTTTATGGAGACAGGGCAAGCATGCGTCATCTGGCATAATGGAACGTCCTGTACAGGGTGCATGAAAGTAGATATACAGGAACCAACTATCCAGTAGGAATTACTATTTCAGCACTTCAAACAACCAAACAAATTTTGCATTTAAGCTTTACTATTGTAATGCTTCAACTTCAAAGCATAAATTTTTAACACATCACCTCAACCAGATGAATAAGTTTAAATACATCTACGGCATCATACAAACTATCAAATCAATGATCGCCAGAAAATAAAGCGATTGCACTTATTTGAAAACTGACTGGTCATGAATATGGTTTCTTCACAGCAGGAGCAAGACATTCAGTGGAAATTCAGTCGTACTGAAGTGTGGCTGGATTTCGTAAAGAAAGGGTGCACACTACCAGCTCCATACAATCTAATACCGAACCCAAGATTCATCAATCGCTTTTTAAAGAGAAAGGTGAGTAGTATAGCTTAAACATATCATGAAATGATGTAAGACAACTTTTTTCATCGTCAAGAATGTGTTCCACAACACTCTGTTCCTGCTACAATATATTTTAATTAAAAGCGCTTTTGTAAGAAATCATCAAAACAACGTTTATTGCTGCCAAAATTTTACGGGATGTAAATATGATATTTAACATAGAGTATTTATGAATCAACGCAGATAATTGGGGCTATAGGCCTCCCCAGCCCTCCCCACATTTTCCACCTCAACTTATAAACAAGGCATATGTGTGTGTTACAAGAGCATAAAAATGGGTGGAGAGCAAATTCACGAATCAGTTCAGCCTATTCTGAAAATGAAAATTCCCCGGAGTCGCTGCCATTAATCGCTGCACATACAGAAGGGGTGACTGGGCTATACACCCTTAAAGCCCTCC